TCAATGTCTTTCAAGATGAAGTTTGTGCTTGTTGAAATTAAAACACGAGAATCATTAGTAAGTGTACCTTCGTTTTCTGTCAGAAGTACATTACTTCTCCCAATCCCCCACCAAACTCCCCGCAACATGTCTGTTGAGACAGAGCAATGCAGAATTAATGTTCCACCTTCGACAGCGGTGACAAAACCAGGTGGTGGAACCGACGAGCTCCGTGTCAGTATCACAACGCCGTCTCCAAATTCTTCACTGACACCCAACACAGTCGTCAAAAGAAAACACCCTAAAACTACTTTCACGAGAGACGGAGTGATTACAGATAACTGATTCTGTGCCATTTTCACAATACAGATGGCCAAGATGCTGTGATCCAAACAAAATGGCTTGTTTTGCGGCATAAACTGCTGGAAAGAAGCCAACTAAACAGGATGAAGATGGCGGTCTGCTCTCTTGGTATTTCTCTTTGTGGCGTACTGTCGTCTGTGCGGATGTACAAGTTTTTGACTATGTTCACGTTGGGCCCTTGCTTTTCCACTATGTTGGCAGAATGGCACAACGCCTTAGGTCTGAGCATGAAGTGGGCGGAAAGCTTCGTAATTTGAAATGATCTAATCATAGCCTTGTTTTTATAAATGTTTATTTCCTGGTAGTGGTCTGTACAGGTTGGATTGCACATATTATTGTTTTTTTAGTTTCATGGTCATGGCATGACAGAGAAAAAATAATATTCCACGGCTCAAAAACTTTCCATTAAGACTGATTTGCCTATATTGTCTATTCCTGTTTATTTCCTTGTTTCGTTTTGTTGCCATCAATCCCACATGATCGCGGTTTTTATGCCATATTCTTTTGCGCCTATTTGCTTCAGTATTGATTGTCATGGGTTGTTGCAGCGCAGTGTTGCCTGACAGCATTCTTTGACTCTGTGCCAGTTGGCGCCCACATGAGGCCAAACAGGATTTCCCATACAGGTTCAGATTGTACTTGATTTGTTTTGTCTTGTCCTGTTTGTGTTGGTCCCTTGTCTCTGTATGTGTAACTTAAAGTATACTTCATTGTGTAGTTAAGTTAAAGGAATAAATGTAATTAGTATTTATCATGATACATATTTTCTTCTACACATAATGGACTTCTCCACTTGACAAGCTTGCTTTTTGGAGAAGCCCACCGCTTAATCTTATCCGTTTATCTAATTTTTTGTCTAAACCTTTTCCCTTCAAAATGATTAAGTGGAAATAAATATGAATGAATGAATGAATGAACAAACTGGGAACTGGCAATCTTCTAATAGAATAAAAGATGGGGTAAAAGGAAAAGTAGTGAAAAAAAAACCCTCCTGATGTTTTTCATGCGAGGGCCTAATAATAATAATAATTGTTACTATCTAGCACAGACAAGATAAACCCTTGTCTCAATATACAGTGCTGGTGTGGTTAACATCAATGGGCCTTATGCACAAGTTGGCCATTTTTGTCGTGTTCCCTGAATGCATTTCATAAATTGCGAACTGTTGAGTGGGATGGTGCCAGACTACTATTAATTTGTAACTTCATTTTTTCATTTCTCGACACAAGTTCCAAAAATGAAGATTTTACCTCACTCTTAATCCAATATGGCCGACTCATAAATAAGGCCCATTCCCTTACAGCTATACAATCACACTCTCCATAAAATTTCCATTTATATGGGATTTCTCTAAGCTAATGAAATATGGAAGAAAAGTTAAATTTTGAATGACAAAATAGTACTACATGTACACACTGCACTCTTTGGTCTCCCCAAAATATCGATAAGTTGTTTAATAATATGAACTGCTTACAAAGATACTGATTGAATTTGTAATGGGCAGTCTTAATTCAAAATTGGTCCTTTAGTTCAATAGCCAATTTTGTTGCCATTTGATGGCTTATTGAAAATTGCATATTTGTGGAATGTAGTGCTAAAAACAGAAAAACAAAAAGATTTCATTTTGATAATTTCTTTTCTTCAGGGCGTGATATCCAAAAGTACAGACAGGACAGTTCTCAAGTTTTACACTCAAAAGAAAATCAAAAAAGGAATGTTTTCCTGTAATTTTCTTTTAATCACAGATAGAATATGGAGTGTCATGGCCGAGCGGTTAAGAGCACCGGACTCAAGCTCTGGTGTTGCTGATCAGCAGAGTGTGGGTTCGAGTCCCAGTCCTGACACTTGTGTCCTTAAGCAAGACACTTAACCATTGTTGCTTAGTCCATCAGAAGGGACGTAAAGCCGTAGGTCCCGTGTGTTGTGTAATGCACGTAAAAGCCAGTAAGAGAATGGGTTTGCCCCGGTGTTTCTGGCAGTGGCTGCTTAATGCGCTGCAGGACCTTGTACACCCTTAAGTTTTTAAAGTGCTACATGAAATGGGTCTCAAATTTCAAACGCTTCATTTACCTGTCTTTAAAATACATTTATTAGCGCCTTGAGTACCTAATTGTTGGTAGATATGTGCGCTATATAAGACTCAGGTATTAACATTATCCTAAGGGAATAAATAATAAATGTGTGTTTGGGAGGTATTATAACACTGTTTAAGACTGGTTGGAGTCTGGATGGGTGATAATTACCCGAGGCAAAGCCGAGGGTAATTAATGGCACTCCAGGCTCCAACCGGTCTTAAACAGATTGTTTAATACCGACCAAACACATATTAATTCCAATTCATAAATACCTTTTCGGTCAAAAAACCAAATCTCTTCAGTCCAAAAAAAATCAAAACAAGTCAAAAACTAGACGTTGCCAACCAATTTGTTCAACACTATTAATTCATGTTTTATGAAACACCCCTCTGACTATAATATAGATGTCCCTCTACAACTCTTTACCTTATAAGGAGATTGGCAAGCGCGTCACATGTACTGCGCGATGTCGCGCAAAACGCACCTTGCTGGGCTGGTGTAGTGTGAATTTCAGACCATGAAATACTGATTCACTGGTAGTATTGCGCATGCATACGTGAGGAACGTCAACATTCAACCAATGGAACGTTAAAGGGCACCAGATTTCATGGGAGTCCAAATTTCATGAGACACTGGAAAAGTGTTTAAGACCAGCTAGCCATGTCTTTATCATTCGTTTAAGATCGGCCACGTGACGGGTTCTTGACCAATAGGAATGGGTAAACTGTACTAGGTAAACTGTACTACGTATATATGAATATTATATAAATGCCCCATTCAGTTCCTTTACCAAACAGTGTATAATAATATTAAGAAACACATGAGCACAGCTTTCTATGTAGAGCTCTGCCTGTTGCCCGCAAGTTCTAAATATAACGTTCTTATCCTTTACATTGTAAATAAAAGGAGAATACATGGACGGATCAAAAGGAATATTAATGAAATAGATACAGGGTGATCCATGGCAACCCAGCCATTCATTTCCCTGAGGCAGCAAACGCAGAGCAGTGACATACGATACGGAGGCGCACATTATTAAAAATGAAAACAGAAACAATTGAAGGCCGACAGAGATGTTCTGCCCTGTTATGTGTCAATTACTGCCAAGAGAGGGCGCTATGACACTTGAATATGGCACATTGCTTACCATTTGCCTTTTTTGCTACATTCAGGTTTTAGGTTTATTTCCATACTATAAGGTAAGTTGAATACTGTACATGGGGAAAAACTTTGAATGGAACTTGAAATAATAGTACGGGGAGGTCAGACAAGAAACTGAAGCTTGTACTGGGTCTGCCCCCTTAACCTTCACAAATAATACATGTAGTTACTCTTGTGAATTGTTTTTGTTTTGCTGAAAGAACGCACAGCTTTTTGGGGATTCATAGACAAAACTTTAAAACGGTAGTTATGTTTAAAATTCTGTAACTTCAAAAGTACATAAGTGACTTGAATGATTCTTGTACAAAAAAAAAACTTAAGAATTGGGCTTTCATATCCTAGATAAGTGCTACATGCAGAATTTCACTAAAACAATGGTCCCGACATTTGGGTTGCGTTTTTTTTACCCAGTTTTTTTTTTAAGTCACTTTCATAAGATACCTTCCAAAAAGCTTCAGAACTACACATAGTGGAATCCGCCAACCAGAATTAGAAGCTTTTACTGCGGAGGTGTCTTGCTCACACGCATGTTGCACGCGTTCTTAAAGACGAGGCGCACGTGCATTTTGGTATTCCTATTGGTTGAAGGAACCTGGTGTGCGTGTGTATTACCTGAGCGCGACTCGCGTGAGCCTTACGCCACCGCAGAAAGGATCCTATCCATGGTGTTTTGAAAACCTATAGGTACTTTCATACATCACACTAACCCTCCTGCTATTCAAGCAGTCACAGACAGTCAAAATTCACTTCCACTTCCCCTGCTTTACTTTTAACAAAAGCTAGTCACCAGCAGTCAGATCATATGTCAAGCAAGCACTGTGACTAGTTAAACTGGCTCAATAGACAGAGCAGGCAAGTTGTGGCCACAGCTGTTTTATCACTCACCCGGAGTCAAAGCATAGCTGTATCAAGTTACTTAATCAGTCCAAGGCAGTCAATCCTGCTTTTTGTGGGCTGGGAATTCCAAAGGGTTGATTGATTTTGACTGCAAGGACAACTTGGCACAGAATGTATGTTTGCATACATGGAAACAGGGGAAGGATCTTAGACCCCCCTCATTCTTTTTCAAGCCCCCCCCCCCCATTTTTTTTGAAAAGCTACCAGTTTGTACTCCCTTTTGCCACCCTAATATCAGCCTAGCAATCAGATATGTGGAAATGGAACCATTTTTCTCAAGACCCCACATTATCCCACAAGAAACCTATGTGGTTTGGTCCGAACCAGATTTAAAAAAAAAAATCAAAATCAAATTCTTGTAGCTTTTGTTGTTGTTGTCGTTGTTGCTTCTCATCATCTGTGTCTCGTTATCACAAATTGTTACCAACGATTCCCATAATATCCAATAACCCACTATTGTTATGAACATGAACAGCAAAAAAGAAAAGGAGCATGTGGTTTTCAACAAAATGAAATTTGACTCACCAGTGGATAGATGTCATCATTGTTTTTGAAATCGCCCTTTCTTCTTGGCACGATATGAATGTGTACATGCTGCAGTGGATATAAAGAGTTTGCATTTAGTGTACCGGTAGCTGTTGCAAAACTATGAAAGTAGTGAGGAAATTGTACTGAAAAACAGTAATAACCCAATACCAAATTAAAGGGACTATACAACATTTGCAAACATCAAAAACAAAACTACCGAATTATCACGAAATACCTTACTAGACTGTTAGTGAATGACAGTCTCAGGCATTCTGTAAAATAGTGACACAGGGTGTGCTGCCATTTTTAAGAAAAGTGGTATTTTTGTATCAATTTACAAGGATTCCTCAAAAGCGCCCTAGGCACTGTAGCTCGCAAGCCTGAAGAAACCTGTAGGGAGAAGACAATGAGAAGCAACTACAGTTTTAGAGGTGGGAGGGAACTCAGAAGAATATTCCGCGAAAACCCATGGAATCAGATAGGGACTGAAAACCCAATCCACATATTGGCCCAGGCGGGATTCGAACCCAGGTCACAGTGGTGGAAGGCAAGGAAAGTACCGCTACGCCAACCTGACTCCCCATGACGCCAACCTGACTCCCCACTAATTGATACAACAATTCCACTTTTCTAAAAAATGACAGCACACCAGGTGCCATGATTTCACAGGATGCCTGGGACTATTATTCACTAACAGTCCAGTAGTGCAAGGTACCTCATTTGCAAATGCTGTACATTACATTTAAATCTAACGGCAATGGAATGACAATCAGTTACACTGACCAACATCCACTGGATTCCATATGGCAAAGTAGGACATACCTTCACTGATTGGCCCGCATCCGGTCCATCCTGAAACAAAAAAATTCCAAATGCAAAGGTAATTTAAAAGTCTCAGAATTCACATCCGATTGCACTTGTATTCCTTTTAAGTGGTTTGCCGTGGATTCGTGGTCTGGAGCGTTGAAATTGCGGTCTGCTGGTTGTGGGTTAGAGTCCAGCCTGGGTTATGATGAGTGTGCCTTTGGGCAAGGCACTTTGTCACTCATTGCTTCTCCCCACCCAGGAGTAAATGGGTACCTGTGTGGGCAGAGATGGTCATTGTGGTTGATTTAGCTGCTTTGCGCCGAAATGGCAGCATCGAGCTGTATACTCCCCAGGGAGCTGGAATGTTTCATTGGCCCAATAGCAGGGTAATAATGATGTAGCGCCTTGAGTACCAATACTAGTGGATACGTGCACTTTATAAAATACAGAAATTATTATTGACTCCAGACTATATACGTCAACAGTAGATGTGTGCGTGCCCTGCTCGCAAGATGCTCGCTCGCATGTGTACAAGCCCTCTGCATAATATCAGGGGTGAGATTGCGGGAAAATCCACGAAAAATATTTGGCAGAGCCCCAGAGCAACTCAGGGTCAATCCACAGTGTATGTGAATAAATAATTATGTAAAAATTGGGTAAATATCTGACCCATGGCATATTCACGTAAGTGCTGGGCAAATTGTGGCAATGTTCTTTTCTCTTTGTCAGAATGTACACCAAGTTACAAAATTCGTGATCGTGACATTTGCAGGTACCAAATAAAGTTGCTTTCCCATAAAATTTGTGTAAAGTATAAAACATGATACCGAAAAAAGAGCAGTTCTTATGTTAAAAAGAAATGAAAAAGTATCACAATCCAGAAAATATCACCTGGAAATTGACTACAATATGATGTGATAGTAATGGAGTAAATGGACCACTAGCGAGAAGCAAGAGGTCAAACTACAAAGAGCAACGAACAGGAAGACACACAAACACAGTACAAAACAGCCATGTTTACGTTACATACCAAGTGTGGACATTCCATTGCTTGTAGTTAAGAAAAACCAGTGAAAAAAAACCTTATTTTTCTCAAACTGTGAAAACTCTTTCACCCCAATTTTGTTCTATGCTTCCCTTTAGTGTTTCTCTTCATTCTGCCACAGATAAACCTAATCCAAAAATGCCTCTAAACTTATTTTCCAGAAATGGGGAAACACTGGTGGACTTGCCCACACAACATCGCTGCTACCTGGTTTATGTGGACCTCTTTTGTTCGGAAGTCCACACAGTGAATGTTATGCCTACCCAGAGAGTCATACACCCAGACACACACACGTTTACATACATAGTGTGGACATTCCCTTGCTTTTGGTAGTTAAGAAAAAGCTCTGAAAAAAGTTCATTTTTCTCTCACTGTGAAATTACTTTCAACCCAATATTTTTTCTATGATTCCCTTGAGTGTTTCTCTTCATTTTGCTGTACAGATAAACCTAACCCCAAAATGCCCCTAAACCTGTTTTCCAGAAATGGGGAAACACTGTGTGGACTTGCCCAAGTCCACACAACGTCTCCTCTACCCGGTTTATGTGGACCTCTTTTGTTCAGAAGTCCACACAGTGAATGTAATGCCTACCCACCCACGCACACCCTCACCTGTAGTCCAATTGACATTGCCGTGACCCCGTAATGGACTTCCAGTGCCTTTGATATGAGGTGCACTGACTGGAACATATCCGTCACCTCGTCCGACGTCATGTCACGGAATCGTTCCACTTTGCGCAGCGGGCACACCAGCACATCTACAAATTGCAGGGTTAGGGAAAACCTTTGTTTTTTTTTCTTCAAAAAAGGGTACCCCCCCCCCCCAAAAAAAAAACATCTGTTGGTTGAATCAACTGGAGGAGAGTCATACAAACAAATATAACACTCATGTATGAGAGAATGATGGCATCCTTTCAAATTCACTATTTGTTTTGAAAATTGTTTCTTCAATAAACTACTATCGCAATGATTTGGACAGTTTTACAAATTTCTATCTTCCTATGTACCTATAGTCTTTTTCTACAGACACACTTCCACACGTTCTGGGAGCTGAGCATTTGTAATTAAATTTTTAATTTAAAAAAAAGAGGGCATCCAAAAACTAGCTGTCTACCAACCTATCCCCCTTTCTCACTATTCCCAGGGATTCCACAAGATCTACTAAGAAAAATAATTTTGTTTGCAAACGATTCTGTTCAATTTCAAGCAAGTCTTTCAGATAAGAGGCGAACCCACGACTGCTAGCTTGCTAGTGCCAATTTTTCAGTGCTCGTACGGTTTGGGGCAGTACATGGAGTAACAGGCAGGGCGGTTTCGGGCCCTACAGGGATTTATGTTCATCTACTTGACCACCGAGCTAGCCAGCACTGTCTGGCCAAATTAAATCTCATATAACAGAGGATACTTTAATCATAAAGTTTAATCTACAATATTTGATAATACTTGCGTTACCCAAATCCAAAATTTCATTATATGCCAACAATTGCCGCGCCTGCTACTGTGTCAATTTCAGACCCACGAGTTTAAACCTGGCACTCTTGTTGACAGTTTTAGAATGGTTACAGCATCTGCACTACTGACTAAAAAGCAAGTGGTTGTGGGCGTGAGCCCCACCCAAGTTTTTTTTTCTTTTACTAACAAGCTCACGACCATGCACTGAATTTATATTACTCCATGGATATGTAAAGGACGGTAGCTTTTGGAACTTTTTGCCATCAACACTAGTGCATTAACCGACAATTCTAAGACAATGGGACCTACTTCCATTGAGCAACCACTTCTGTGTCCAGTTGCAGTTGGGAGCCACAGAGTTTGAGGCATTTTGGCTCTGCAATTTTTGACCTGCTTGATATTGTTGCACTGGGCAGGCTTCTCGATCTCTTTGACAAGCCTTGCATGTTGTAGCATTTGGCAGGGTTACTGTCCTAACTACCCTTGACGATTAGGGCTAATGATAAATCTCAGCAAATGTTGGTGGAGTGTGGCTTACTTGTTAGGGTTTGTGACTCATGATCAGAGGTTCAGGGGTTCGAATCCAGCTGCTGGCCATATGTAGTATCCTTGGGCAAGCCACTTTGCTTCCACCTGCCTCTCTCCACCCAGGAGTATAAATGGGTACCGGCATTAGCTGGGGAGTGACCTGCGATGGACTAGCATCCCATCCAGGCAAAATAGAAATATTCTCATGAAACATCATGCCAAGGAAACTGGAGATATACGCCGGCCTTATGGTCCATATTGGCTCATGACAGCTTTACTACGGCTAAATGTTGGTAAGGATACGACCAGGTTGCACTGGCATTCGGTTGACTACGCCAAAAGACAGTGGCGTCTTGAAGAAAACCTGCGTCGCTTTTATGATGTGTTGGCCGAAGACAAAGGTTCTCATGTCGTCCGAGGATGGAGGTTGTTTGGTGTCGCCCATAGGAGCTGTGCTAGACCTGCCTCAAATACAGAATGTCTTGATTTGCTGGTTCACTTTTCACTTCTCTGTGAATAAATTAATAAAAGGTGAAAATTTTGTTAAAATAGGGTAAGGCTCTCGTTACTTTATTTTGTCTTTTCTTGCCTTATCACAACCGCTCAAGATAAATCTTACTAAGAAACGCCATACAGTACTCATTCATGAAACACAGGATAGACTTAAAAAAAAAAAAAATCTAATTAAAATGAAAAAAAATGAGACCTTTACTAACTTAGTGCCTTTTCAGAGTCCCGCACCAAAAAATTGACTTTTGGACTGCAGTGCCCGCCACCTACATTTGGAGTGAGAATATGACAAGATAACCTGAACCAGTCTGATTTTAGACCCAAAGTCATATGATGGGCATGATCAGACCAAAAAAAAGCACTTGCGCGATCGGTCGATCCTGTTGAAAATCCCATGTTTTTCATTCGCCCCAAAATAAGAGTTTTCTTCCTTTGTTGTTTTAAATCGAATTTTACATTTAATGCAGAATAAGTCATCTTCTTTTCTGATTCGTAGGTCTGGAAGATTTTTATCAAAAGGGAAACAAAGTCCGATATTGCGAGAATATAGGCATACTTAGGTCTGATTCCCGCCTCCTTAATACGTCACGACAAGGTGCACTCAATTAAAACCAGCATAACCAGACTATGATTTGTCACGGTAAAAAATTTAAGTTAAAAAAACACTCACTGCATGCACAGGTTACATTAGATAATCCGAGTAACTAGTGTAACGGGACATTCCATGTAATTACATGTCCTTCTAGAATCACCATAGATTCGCCCATTGCATTGTGGGAATATTAGACTGGCTCTTTCTCTTGTGCATGCCTTCGGCCATGCTTGGTCATGCTCTTGTAAATACTGTAAATAAACCCTGACTAAACCGAATCAGAATGTAGACCAGAGTCAACAAGAATCATTAATCCCCCTCAATCCGAACCTGGTAATGGTCGGAAAGGCCGTTACACTAGTAGTACTCTACAATTAGTACGAATCACCTTTTTTTTACATGTGGAGATGGTCGGGCGACTACGAATCACATTTTTTAACATTTGGAGATGGTCGGTCGCCCGACCATCTCCAAATGTTCAAAAAAGGTGATTCGTAGAGTCCTCGTTGTAGTTAAGTTTAGGTTACTCGGACTTACTGTTCACTAACACGATTAACACTTAACAATAACAGTAACAACACTAGTCACTACAGCGAAAACAATCGGCATGATCGGGGATCGGTTCATGGTCAAATATCCACTGCCTTTGAACAAAGGAATTTAAAGCTAAAAATAACAGTTCAGAATAAAAGTTTAATTTACACTGCAAGTAAATGATCGCTATTCTTTTCCACATGTTCCATGCACACATCCTACTTTGCTTCTTCCTTATCCATGGGCGCTGACATATTTGTTTTCCACTGATTCCCGGCTCGGCACGTACGTACAAGTTCAGTTGTACTTGGACACCAGTGTACTCATTGAGCGCGAGAGGGCGCTATTAATCTTCACCATTGATGTAATTTACCGGCTTCTGCAGGTTCAAAAAGGGGACAATTGTGTTCTGCAAAACCCCTTAAACCACTTTCTATTTTCCCTCCGTATTAAGTTCTCCCTATTGACTTTGCGGTAATTAATCATATTGACATTAGTTCACCTGGAGCTCCATGAGGCATGAATAGACAAGTGTGACTGGAATATAGCCTAGCGCATGCCCACAACAAGTCGGCCTTTCCGGAGTACGTACCCTGGGCTGACCTTGTCATCTGTGTGTGCGATCAGCTGCATCCGGACGATGTCGACAACGGTCACTTTTGACACGAATAGCTCTCGTTTTGTGAACAAGATATTACGGTAAATTATCATGCATTGCAAAGCTGAATTATTTGTTTTATTACCCCATTCATTGTTTTGTGGGAAAGTATTCCATACCCTGGACATCACTTGACACCTAGCCCAGGTGGACTCCTCCCTACGTGGCTGTGCACAAACCCTATGCCATGGCATGTATGACAATTAGCCCTGGTTGGACGAAGTGTTCATTGCAATACGACTAGGAGGAAAGGGAGTCCACCTGGGCTAGTATGACATTGACAATGAGACTTGTTTGAAAAATTCTCTGTGTTTTCTCAGTAATCCTGACTTTTTTTGACATGTTTCGCTTTCTGATGGTTGATTGGTCAGTGCGGGGAAAAATAATTGATGGCTGTGTATGGAATTCATTCCGTTTTGTGTTTACGGTCATTTAGGGATAGACCCGTAAACATTTGCACAAGAGAGCTGACAGCATCATTGATTGTTTTTAATACAGCAGAGCAGAATTATTATTATTGTGAAACATTGCACAACGCGAACGAGGTCGGAGGTAAACAGGTAAAGTGTGCTTTAGGACCCCCCTGGTTTTTTGTCTAGTTCTAAAACAGTTCTTATACTTACTAGCTCCAAAATGACTTGTGCAACATCAACTTCAAGCAATTACTGCAAGCAATCTTCCTTTTAATTTATTAGTATTAGTTTTTAAGATTTCAAATAAGTAGGTCTTGGCCTTTTTTGACAAAAAGAATGATATAGGCCTAATTATCCATTTTTTATTTCAAGCTGATGACTTGGGAATCAACATTTTGTGCATTCTCTAGTACTTGGACCTTATATTTATCGCCTCTTTTAGGCGAAGTAAAAAAAAAACCATGTTTAGCATCCCCGCCCGCTTCCTTTTTAGAGGACGCCTCCTTTTTTTTTTTTTTTTTTTTTTTTTTTTTAAAGACAAAAATTGATAAATTTTAACGATTTCTGATGAAAGAAATCGTATTTTTAGACTTTTATACCGTGTATAAAGCTGTGGAAATAGTCAATTAGCACGTGCGTCTGCACGAGAGTCTATCATACATTCACCCCGTGTCAAATATTAACTGGTTCTCTACGTCTCAGAACTCAGGACTAGCGTGTCGGGTGGCCATTTTGAAAAGAAAGAAAAAAAAAAAGGGCCTCCTCCTTCCTTTTTGTCAAAGAGGCAGGACGCTAAACATGTTTTTTTTAAATTTTGCCTTAAGAACATCGAGACATGATCTGGCTAGATCATGTCTCAATGTTAAAGAAGACGGAAAGAATGTAGAAATACTACTAGTATCTGGATACTACTAGTATCCAGATGCCACTTTGGAAAAAATGTTGCAACCTGAGGCCACTTTTTTCTTCATATGTCATCTCAATGAAGGTCAGTCATTGCAAAAATGATGATAAGACATGAATCTGGGACTGAGAAACATTTCCAATTTTGTTAGGAAATACTTTTTAAAAATGAAATGTTTCTTGACTCTCCATAGACTTTGTACACAACCATTGAAGTGGCATTAGGCTGCAACATTTTTCCCGCCACTTCTTGTAAATTGTAAAAATTCCCGGATGTTCGCACCCACCCATAGACCTATTTGTGCCTTTTCCCTTCCCACAATACATTTTTGCATTAAATGCACAATCACCCCAGTGATACTTGGCCAGCAAATAAAGCCAGTACGGCGGTAGACCGAGTACATGAAAGCATTGCCTTTTGTAACATTCGGTTATGATCGTATTATTTGTCAGTTAATTTGGACAGATGCTCAAGCAATGATACAACAGAAGCAGACAAAGATTGCTTAGGTCTCATTATCTCAGCTTAGAACTTGTTTCAAGAAAATCATTATTTATACAATGACAACATGTCGATGTTTGCTGGTAACATGTTTCAGGCTCAGGGAAAGATTTCCATATACGAAGTTCACTAATTTTCCTCTGTATTGACTAACAAGCCCCCAGATAGCAATTTCATGTCATCAAAGTCAATTTGAGCAGTGAGAAAATACAAGCATTTTCTTAAAAAACACTTAGAATTGTTCAGCCCAATCTCATAGGGTTTGTACACAGGGTGTTGAGTGAACTTCGTATATGGAAATCTTTCCCAGCTCAGGCCTTGGCAATTCTTTCCCCTAAAAATTCCTGAATTTATTTCCACTTTCACCATTTTTTTTGTGGTGTAAAAACCATGGCCAGACGTCCTCATTTTGTATCGCTTCCATTGTTGTGCCATCCAGGCATGATGTAAGCAGATCTTGAGTGAGAAATGTACACTCTTTTGAAAGACTGAATGGAAAAAGCACGTGCCTATTTGGTCACACTCACAGCTATTCAGAAAGTATACAAACAACAGTTTGACAGGTGCATGTATTGTATGTACATGTATACATGAACGACTGTGGCTGTCTAGCTGTGTGCACGCCTCATTGCACAAACTGTTTGACAACTCATGTGATCATGTACATGTACATGTATGTATGTGAGTTTTAAGGGAAGATACAACATTTGCACACATCAAAAAATGAAATGATTAAATTATCATGAAATACATGTACCTTACTGGATTGTAAGGGAATGACAGTCTAAAGCATCCTGTAAAATCAAGTCTCCTTGTGTGCTGACATTTTCAAGAAAATTTGTATTTTTCCAACGCTGGTCGGCGGACCAGCGTTGGAGAGAACATTTTCTTCAAAAACTTTTTCTTTAAAAACCACTCCGAATTTTCTATAGCAGTTGTTCCGCATTTTCTTTGCAATTGATTACACACCTGTGAAGGGGTACAAGCCTGCCAGACTGATTCTCTGACCTTACAATTCCCCAAAGTCTATCAATTTCTCTGTTTCATCTTAAGTGGGTCAGCAAAAGCAAATGTTGTACATTCCCTTTAATGTAATGAACATGGGTCATAAATTTAGTCCCTGTTAAATCTGACATCTATGCTTTTATAATTCTAGATGCAGGACTTAACACGATACCTAGTATGTTAAGAATGTACAAAATGTAGTATCTAGACGCCACTTCAGTGGTTGTGTACAAAGTCAATGGAGAGTCAACAAAATTGGAACTGTTTTTCAGTCCCAGATTCATGTCTTTTCATCATTTTTGGGAAATATTTCCATATAGGAAGTTCACTCAACACCCTGTGTACAAACCCTATGAGATTGGACTGAAAAATTCTAAGTGTTTTCTAAGAAAATGCTTGTATTTTCTCACTGCTCAAATTGACTTTGATGACATGAAATTGCTATCTGGGGGCTTGTTAGTCAATACAGAGGAAAATTAGTGAACTTTGTATATATGGAAATCTTTCCCATTCCTCAATTTGGCTATAGAGTGATTACGAATAAATTGTACATTATGTACCTATCCAACCCGTTAAAAAGTTGTTTAAAATCATTCCTAATGAAAAGTGAAGGTTCTAAGGCAACGGGACAGGAGAAATGTGACACTGGGCTATAACGTTATAGAATGACCCTCATGTACAATTTGGGCGGATCCAGGATTTTCAAAAAGGGGGGGGGGGGGGGGTGGCGCCTGGGGCGTTGAAGTACAAGGTGTTTTTTTGTGGGTGGGGGAGGGGGTAGATAAGTCATGAGTCAATACATAAAAAACAAACAAATGGTCTGATGCAATTACTGTGATCATGCAATACTGAGTGATGACGTTATTCGGGGGGGGGGGGGGGGGGGGGAGGGGGGAAGGGGGGGGGGGGGGTTAGCCAGCCAACCCTAATGGATCAGTCCTTGCCTTAAGAACATTACTCCCAACAATATTTTATTCACAAAATGGTTAAGGTGAGAATGCATTAGTAAGATCTAAACAAACTTAATCATGAGAAAGTTGACCATCTTAAAAAAATATATCTATCACAAGAAACAGCAGAGATGCTCTGATCCATTAATTAAGTTTGAATTTGTTCAGACAACATTACATGTAATTTTAATGATCTTTTAAATGACTTTCAGACAGCTTTTCCAAGGATAAGGATAGTACCGTACATCATACCCATGATAATACGACATTCCAAAACGCAGCATTACTGATGGTTGATGGCACTCATGAAAGTACACAAAGTTTGCAGACTGACTTAACTGGTACATTGCAACAATGGCTGCAATGTACCATTGTTGCGCCACAGCCGAATGCTGACTGACATTGCAACAAAACCAACCCCCATGTCACATGATTGTCGGAGTAGAAACGGGTCACGACAATCTTGTTTACCTACCACATATCTGTGATCAAAATAGTCCTTCGGTAAACATCCAATGAAAGATTCTTTGAAACGACCATAATTGAGGATTATCTTGGATCACTTAGGGACATGTTATGGACCACGCATATTCAGAAATTATGGTTATGTCTGTATAGGCTTGGAGTTGGAACATCATGTACCCGATTTTGAGTTTGTGATTGTCCAAATTGTAAGGAACTTCAGTTGTTGATGTACATGTACGAACATTATGTGTGAGGGGTGATCTCTATCTGGTTCTGTTTATTTCGGAACGTGTGGAGGATATTTACAACTGCGGCCGTGAAAATAATTGTGTATTAACAGTAACGCCCTAAATATCCAGGTAGGTAGAAAAACTATATTGTTAAATGTCTATTAGCCTTTTATACAGTTTACTTTGTTTACTTATGAGTTCCGTTAACAGTATTCTGTTAATTAACCTGTTTAATTGATGAATTTTAACCAATAACACACACACAAGTTGCATAGGGAAGACTTCAAATTATTTTCAAACTAAACTTGATTTTAAATTTTTTGGCCAAATGCGGCAATAAAAAGTTTGAGGTCCAAAATTTTGGCCTAATAAAAAAATCCAGCTAGGTCGGGACGACGTTAACACACAAGGTTTGGTTAGGTTTGCAATCCAATTCCAGCTTTAAGCAATCATGGTATCGTGTTTGTCTAGAGTTGAGTGTGGTGTGTGCTCATTTGTCATGTAAATCATGTTTTAATTGGCTTCCTGTTGGTCATGTATGTAGCTTCGTCATTAGACTATGCAATGTGTTCCTCATTAGCCAAACATACAAACCATAGTGATCTACGTCTTTATGTACAAGTCTCTTTTGTTTGCCTCCTGCACAACACATCAGAGATGTCTTTTCTGGCATGGAGGTATGTTTTTGTTTTGACAAATTAGATTTTAATGTACTTAAAATTAGGTAGACTTCGCAACACATAAAAACAGTGAACTAACCCTTTAGCTTTGTGGGATCTGCATCATTGGCCAAGCAATAAATAGACCCAGCAAAATCATCCCAGACTATTCAGTAAGTATCGATAAAATGGAGCACGTGCAACTCCAGTGAAAAGGTTTTTTTAATCGAAAACAAAATTACTTGATTTTTCCCCGAGTCCTTAAATAATCCAGTACGAGTTCTTTGATGATGGTATACAATATCTAATAGTCAAGTCCAAGTACTTCTAGAGTACGAATACCATGAATTCGGACTTGGGTATTTTGATATTTGAGAACGAGTGCGAGTCCGAGTGTTCTTAAAATTTCTAGTTGTACTCGAGTATGAGTACCAAGTACGAGTACTACAACACTGGATGACTCGTTAGTCTCATGAAGATGTCTCCTTATTTTCACAACAGGAACATTACAATGTAAGATGCTTGATCCCTACACCTCAGTCCTAGAGCAGTAGCGTGCTGGCAGAATGATGGCTAGTCTTCAGGACGACAGCTTGCTCACCAAACATCAGCAGAGGGCGTTGGACCTGCTCCTGAGGCTCAAGCATGACTTTGACCCACAGCATCTCGGAGAGGCCTGCAGAGAGCTCACCAATCTAATCTTGAAACACTGTAAGTCATTTTTTTCTTAAGTTTAATAACAACTGTTTTTGACTTCATCAGTTCACCAGTCTTGTTTAGAAATACGTAGGCCTAGGTAAGTTCTCTGAAGTACCAAAAATCATGTTTCTCATCACTCTACCTGCTGATCACCAGTTTAGTTTTGAAACACTGTAAGTTATTTCTGGAGCACAAAAGAACTTTTTATGACTAAATTTAACATTGGGTTTTGCTTTTTATGGATGTTACTTTATAAATCGACAAGTCACTCGGGGGAGACTCGATCCCACGATCTATTGGGTTTTGAAGGGCAAAACCCAATTTTGAAGTTTCATTATTAATTTTTTTGAGCTGCTGGTGCTCGATTTATGCCCTTCCATGAATTTGGGGGCCAAAAGGGAAGTTCTTTATAGGAAAATGTTGGGTATTTGGTGTTCATTGTAATGGTGTTCTACTACACTGTGAAACAAGGTGTCGGGGATAGTCAGAGCAATAGAAACTGTTCGGGGTAGCATACAGAGTAAAGAAACTGAAACGGATCTGTTTCAAACGTCCAAGAGGTATTCAGTTGTATATTTCCTGGTTGATAATTGTTGAAATAGCGACCCTATTTGCATCTCTCTAAATAACTTCATTGTTAATGTGCAGTGGCCTGTGCATTAATTTGTTTTATTGCTCATTCTTGTATAAGTACATATATATTGGTATTATAATTTTTTTAGTTTAAAAGCTTGCATGAGATACATCATGCCTTTGTTGTTTCCTTTTTTTCTTTACTTTTCAGTCTTGTTAGTGTGAGTCGGGACTGGGGGTAGAAAAAAAAGAGGCACTTTGAAAATTAATAGCGTAGTTTTGACATTGACATTATTGATATTTAACAATTGTTGACTGCTTTGATGTGGGATATGATGTTTTTAACATCCAAGGGGCACATACGCGTAGCACGAGGCAAAGCTGAGGGTGCTATGTGCCCTGAGGCGATTAAAAACGACATCCCACATCACAGCAGTCAACAATTGCTTTGTTACATCACGCCAATAAGTCAAAACGATAAAATGGTTGAAACTTACGGTGCAAGAAATAAATTAAATCGGTGCGGTGTAACCCTTGATAACTGCATGCTTTCCTGCCGGACATGAGACTGAACAGTTGCGCATTGCACGCAGTTCTCATTCTCATACGCATGGTTACAGACTGGACACGTGGCCTTCTTAACCAATGGAATTACATTATCCAAACACTCGATTTGTGTCCCCCCAGAGATAAGAATTTGGGAGAGTGACGTATCTCCTTCCCCGCCCCCTTTCTCCACCCCTTTTCTTCTCACCCACCCCTCCCTGTATTACTGGTTGTGCAGAAAAGTCACTGAAATCCTTTCTTAAGAGTGGGGGTTCCAATATGTCTGTGAAAATAAAAACATTCCCATGTCACATGGAACATACATGTACCTCGCTTGATCCCCAGCAAAATTTTTGAAAAGTCAAGAGATAGGATTTCAGTGATCATATCCCATTCAAGAAAATAGCATTACAGGTACATGCATGTTTGTGTAGGCAAGCAATTATACAATGCTGTAGATCAAGATACAGATATTTTATGACAGTTAGCGACAGTTACATGTACACATTAATATTTAGACTGCAGTTGGCTCCTTTATCTGGCAGAGCCAAAGATTTAGCTATATACTGCCTACAATTGTTGTACTACCTGTGTTTGCACATATGTACTAGGCAAACAAAATCTAAGCCCTGCTTACCAACCAGTATTGTTTAAACAGTATCAAGGTTAAACATGTCATAAGACTTATTCCTCCATGATTATAATAAGGTTGGGGACATGTACGGGTACATGTGTATCTCACACAAATGTATGCAAAGCAGTTGGCAGTGAAGCTGTATAGTTCTCACAGAGAACATTTTTTTTTCTCTGACTTATTCTCTTGGAACGCACATCTGAGGTGAGTTTTATGATGCGCATAAATACGATAATGACTACCTGTATGTGGGTCATTCCACCGTGTTGGGAAGCAGTGCATGTTACATCCATATATATTATTAAAAGTATCAATGCATTCTAAACAATTGCTCAACTGTAATATTTGTCTTAGGGTGTTTCAATACTTTAGAAAGTTTAAAATCATCTTCCCTTTTTTGCCATTTTTTACACGTACAGTGTATGTAAAATACTACCCAAAGTGACATTGCATATTTACAACTCGACACCTAATGCACCAAGAAAAGCTTTTGTTTTGGTACAGTCAGGGCTCAAATATAGCAGAAACAATACTTCAAGTGTGGATGTAACAGTGTCAAAATTATTCAATGGAAGTGTGACATTTGAGTTTTACACCGTGTAACTGTTACGTCCACACAGCCAAGCTATCATTTCTGCTCCATTTGATACCTCACTACTGTAGCAAAAGCTTTTCCTATTGTGTTGCATGTATAATAGTAAGAAGAACGTCAAGTGAACTTGGATAATGTTTCACAGAATTTTTTTAAAAAGGTGCAAATGTCATATTTGGACGTAACATGCCCGAAATGACATTTTTTGCTCACATTTTTTGCTCACATTTTTTGGCAAATACATTGAAATGATTTAAAACTTACTTAGTGAAACACCCAACAACAAACATCATGTAGAGCAACTGCTAGCAAGGCATTCATGCTTTTCTTAATATGGTCATATGTCACACATTGTTCCCCAACCCGGTGGAATGACCCACATACATTCATGAGCTCCTGACGGGAACACGTTTGAACAGTGCTAGGAAAAGGGGCAGCTACAACATTTTTACTTTCAAGTGAGCCTTCCAGGTGTTCAAAAAAGCTATTTTCCTTCTTGCCAACTCAAAAGTAACACCTTGCATTTCAGGTTTGTTAATTGACAGACCCTCAACATCAAGCGTCCATCTGCTGTCATTTTGTTAGATAGCAGATTAGACCATTGAAAAAGACTATTATTCAAAGTCTTTTTCCAATGGAGATGTATTTCAATTTGCCAGCTGACCCCGGCAAGCTCCATGATCAAGAAGTTCACAATTCCACATCAGTATTAAGATTGATTTAAGATTGATACAGTATGCAGGATATTGTGGTTAATATCCCACCCAAGTTAACTTGTAACTTTTTCCAGTATTAGCTCTCAGTAAGCACTTTACTCTGTAAAGGGCAAAACTGAATTTGCCCTATTTGTAATCAAAGCAGTCATTGTAGTTCCTCTCTAAAGTAAGGAAATCCTAGATCATGTATTAGTCTCTCAACCCAACCAGGTTGGTATTCAGTCACATGTTAAAACTAGGTTAAGTACATGTCATCGTATTGTAAACAATCAACAGACCTAAACTGCTCTTACCACAGAAAAACCAAAATGTTGTGTCACTGCCAAATTTGTCGTCACTGTTTTCACAGTGACTATTTTTATTTGAGGTTTGTGGTCCAAGCAATGACTGTCAAATACTTGTCGGTTTGTGTCAGACTAGCCTCCAGATTTGCGCCAGACCGAAACTATTCCCAAAATTTCAATCAATTAAGTTTGTAAATTGAGAGACTATGAGTGAAAGTTGTTGCATATAGCGCCTTATACCTAAGGTGTTAAAGCGTTTTACAATTATTATCCCTGTTCATGAGGAATGAGATCATTTCTCTGCAGCAGCTTGAGATCAGTGCAATTTGGTCGCTACCTTCACAGGTACCCATTTATACTCCTGGGTGGAGAGAGGCAATCGTAGTAAAGTACCTTGCCCAAGAACACAAGCATTATGTTTCCCATCAGGGTTTTGAACCCATTTACCACAGCACATGATGAGTTGAAAACCGAAACTATTGGACAACAGCGCCCCTTATGATGTATCTTTGAAACAATTCAACAATATTAATGGAAAATTGATCCATAGGCCTATAACGTTTTAAAATCTAATTGGGTCGACCTGAGCTGCGTCAAATACTTTTGGCTTAGCATAACTCTGGGACAGGTGTTATGAACTTTCCGGAAGGCCAACTTGTATGAAAGGAAGTGACAAGTAATACGTAGTATGTGACACTCATACATTGTTGCGTTTTAGTTGTAATAACATTCTTTTATTTCCTCCAATAACCAATATCCTAGTATTACATGTACTTTACTCCCCATATAAATTGGACCAATCTTCAGACTGTAAGTATCATATGCAGTAAATATGTAGTCATGTAATGGAATTCCCAATTACCGGTTACACATTGTGGCTTGATTTGTAACAAAATCCTTTTATTTCCTGCGACAACCAATTTCCTGGTATTACTTTACTTCCCATGGTATGTAATGGTATGTAACAGGTTAAATGTTCAGACCGCATGATTAATTTATTTTATTTATTTATTTATTTATTTATTTATTTATTCTCATCATGTAAAAACATGAAACTTGTCTCCTCGTTCTGCACACAAATATGATGTATAAAACACTTAAAAACTTCACATTAAAAACCAAAACAAAACAAATTACATAAATGTACAAATAGGCGTAACAATATAAGAACACTGACAAGAGTACACGTAAACAGAAATAGAACAACAAATTGAGCCTGATTAAATATATAAATAAAATATCTGGATTGATAGAGCTATTATGTATAAAGACGAAAAATGGGAAGGACACAATGGCAAGCCGGGGGGGGGGGGATTAGAAAGCCAGGGGGATATGACCGGGGGAAAAGGAAACAGGGAAAGGGTTTAAACTTACATGTACGAGGGGTATAAACACACACATTTACATCACGATTTAAAAAGCATAATATCTACTATAAGTCTGATTAAAAACACGAGATTGCCCTGGTTAAAAATAAGGGGGAAAAAAAAATGTGTCGTGTTAACGAGATTTCAATTTACTAATTTAACCTGACACAAATGGGTAGATGTGTGAGGAGGGGTGGATAAGAATATTATGAGATAAGACAGAATAAGGGCTAATCTGATTGCACTAAAAACACACTACAGCACGATTATAAAAACAGCATTATCTAGTATAATTCTTGTTAAAATGTGAAACTGCACTGGGTAAAAATGAAAGGTTGTGTCGTGTTGTACGAGAATTCAATTGACGGATTCTACCTGACCTGTTTTGTACTATGAACGAATGGAGTGGGTGAGTATTGTCTTGCATAATGGTTCTCAGTTTGGATTCAAGAGCATTGTGGTACATTGATTGAATGTCCAGAACATCAACACCAATGACCCTGCTGGCAATTTTAGTGATCCTTTTCAACTTGTTCGAATTCACAACAGTCAAACCATTAAACCAGGCGATACAACAAAAAGACATGACGGACTGTATGACACTCTGATAAAAAAGCAACATAATATCACGATTAACATGAAATAATTTCAATTTCCGCAGGAAAAAGAGCCGTTGACTAGCCTTGGCACATAACTTAAGAGTATTCACATTCCAATTCAATTTACTATCAATGTACGTCCCAAGGTACTTATACTCTGTCACAATTTGGATTTCATCACCACTAATAACAACAGGTTTGATGACATTCTGATTTTTCCTAAAATCAAAAACAATTTCTTGCGTCTTCTGCGTGTTCAATATTAGGAAGTTATCTTTGCACCAATTACAGAACTTAACAATTTCGTTCCTGTATCCAGTCTCATTGTCATGACTAATCAACCCTGTCAGTGAGGTGTCATCTGCATATTTTATCATAGGACACATAGGGTCTTCACTTCTGAGGTCACTAGTGTAAAGAGTAAAAAGCACTGGGGACAAAACGCACCCCTGTGGAGCCCCTGTATTAGTATGAACAACATTAGACAGGGAATTCATGAAACGCACCCTTTGCGTTCTGCTTGTCAAAAAATCACCGATCCACATAATCAAACAGGGGTTCACATTCATCCCTCTCAGTTTGCCAGTCAGAACATGGGGTTGGATCAGATTGAAGGCCGAAGAAAAATCCACAAATAATGTTCTAGCATACGTCCTTGATTGATCAAGATGGCTATAGACGCTATGCAATAGTGTAATGATAGCATCTTCGACACTACGTTTAGCTCTATAGGCAAACTGTAAGGGATCAATGTAGGCACCTGTTTGACTGACAAGAATATCCTTTACAATGCGTTCAAAACACTTCATTACTATTGACGTAAGTGCTACAGGCCTATAATCATTGAGTACTGATGGCTTAGGCTTTTTAGGCACTGGAATCAAAGTTGATGATTTCCACAGTTTAGGAATTTGACAGGTATCCAAAGACCACTGAAAGAGGTCACAAAAAACTGATGAAAGTTCTTTATAACAATGTTTAAGAACTCTGCCAGAGAGTCCATCTGGTCCTGTAGATTTACAAACTTTTACCCGTTTAAGAGTATTTTCAACAACAGTAGCATCCAGTTTTATGAAGTCATTACTACAAACCTGGCTCTCAAGGGTCTTACGACCTTCTTCGTGAAGGGCTCTAAAGTCCAGTCTGTCAAACCGAGCATAAAAGTCACTTAGATCTTCTATGAATGATGGTACGTCGCAAGGTGGTACTACAGATTGACTATTCTTCCCTGACCCTGTGATAGATCTCATGCCCTGCCATGCTTCCTTAGGATTCCCGGCACGGAACTGATCTTCCACTCTCTTGCCGTACTTCTTCTTGCTTGAACGAATCGCTTGAGAGAGTTCGTTTTGGATCCTCCGTCTATCTGATGAGTTGCCGTTTTTAAAAGTCTGTTGTTTTTCCCTCAAGAGGTTCCGGATCTCCTTGTTTACCCAGGGCTTACTGTTCGGATATGTTTTCACTTCCTTGACAGGTACCAGCATGTCTTCACAAAACTTGATGTAATCAGTGACAACATCAGCAGCTGCATCAAGTGTGTTTGACTCAGTAAAAATGTTCCAATCTGTACATTCAAAACATGCACGAAGAGCCTGCACACTGTCGTCAGTCCATTTCTTGATGCGAGTCACCCTTGGTTTCTCCCGTTTCAGTTTCTGTTTGTATTCCGGTACTAAATGCACCATGCAATGATCAGAAGAGCCCAAGCCCGCTTTTCCATAAGCTTTGTAACCATTTTTGACATTTCCGTAACATTTGTCCAATGTCCGATCACCTCTAGTAGATATGTTGACATATTGATAGTAATGAGGCAGTACATTTTTCAGGTCGCAACTGTTAAAATCTCCAAGGATCAAGTTCACAGAGTCAGGCGACTGTGATTCAAGTTGCTGAACTATCCCGTGGATTTTAGCTGCTGCAATATCTGTATTTGCTGAAGGTGGAATATACACCATGGTGATGAATATTTGTGTAAATTCCCTTGGCAGGTAAAACGGTCTGACACTGACGGTAATCAGCTCAATATCTGGAGAGCAGAATCGATTTCTAACTGTTAGGTTATTACACCAACGCTTGTTGACGTAAATACAGACTCCTCCGCCGGCTGATTTTCCGGACTCCGTTGTTCTGTCCATTCTTTCACAAATGAATCCATCGATGTCAGTGTTATTGCTTGTATCAGTATCTTTGTACCATGTTTCACTGAAACACATTAAACAGCTTTCACGATATTCATAGCGGTATTTTGCACAGGCTTGCAATTCATCCAGTTTATTCCGTAAAGATCGACAGTTACCTGTGATGATTGAAGGTAAAGGTGGGCTATGTTTCCGCCGTCGAAGTCGTACTCGTACGCCTCCCTTTTTTCCCCGCTTGCGACCTTTGTAGTGGCTTTTCATACAGCCGGCACAGTACAATAAATGTCGAATTAGGGAATGAAATTCCCATATGACTGTTACGATCAACATATAGTATTGCAGGGTAAGTTATGAAGGTAATAGTTAACATACGACTCCGCCAGGACAGGTACGTTTCTGCTTATGTCTGTTACTGCTTACTATGATGGGATTTATTGACATCTTCATTTTATACATTTGAGTAGTGCTGTGTTACCTGCACATATTTTATTATTATACTGCATCAAGGACAAATCTTTAGGTTGACTATTTATTGGCCTGTACTGTAGAGGCATTTGCAAGGTAATGTGTCATTTGTTGTCGTTATACCTTTGTTAGAGATGTATTTGTTGTTGTTATGCCTTTGTTAGAGACAACAAATTTTTCTGCATGTTGGCAGTTCCAGCATTATGAAAGGACGTGTAGTGTCCATGACAAGCCAATTAACCATGATATCTAATTAATGATTCAGAGAAATGATCAAAAACTCCTAGTCTGTAATCTCCTTGACCATTACTAGATGATGGATGTATAAGAGTTGAAAAATACATGTTCAGGTTTATTCACTAAGCTCTAAAAGCTCTGTCATAGACAATACATAATGCTGGATTTGCAAATGTTTTATGTTGTATGATAGTCTCATACATGTACTTTTCAAATTTTACAGAAGTTTGTACATGTGCACTTTTGTGAGAATCAACAGAGCTCTGTAATTTATACAACATGAATTCAATTTGTTGTGAATCAGAACAGGTCTTCAAGTTATCACCGTACGAACCTAACCAAACTAGCCTCGCTATTTATTAGAGAAATTGAAGTCTTCAATCTTGTTGTTATTTTCATTGCAGCGGATTGTGTGCAAATCTTGGAGGCTTATCATGCCCACAGACCGGTCATGGACATGATGGAACATCGCACCTATGAAGCAGATATACAGCAGGTATGTCCATGTATACTGTGTATCAGATGAAAATAGACTCATTATCTACAAACAATCATGGTCATTCCAAAGAATCGGGCTCATACAGTGTGTAATTGAAAATCCGGGCTGAGTTGTCAGATTGTATGCTTGGATTTTGTTATGCTTATCTGAAATATTTCTTTACCACATGGGATAGGATGCAAGTCCATGGTACCGGTAGGTTTTTGACTCGGTGCACAATGTTAGAACATTACAAGTCTAACACTGCCCTGCCTCCCCCCACCACCACCTCCCCCCTTTCCACCCCCACCCCTGCCCCCATCCCCTTATCCCACAGGGCCTAGCTAACGAATGCAAACACATTCACTTGACTAGAATGCTCCATTGTATTCAATCAATGAAATCAGGTACATCCACAAGTTTGATGAGATGCATATTTTACAAGGAATAGGTATAGTGAGAATATACTGTGCAAAATCTACTTAGCAAAATCTACTTAACAAAATCTACTTATTTCATTTTACCATTTTATTAGTAAAATAAAATGAATGTACAAAGTACATGTATAATTTTTACAAGGAACTGGTCGGCCTACAGTTGGAGAATGGGTCGTTCTATAAATTTAGCGTCCAAAGTGTAACATTGTGATTTGCCATTCAAGTATCAAGAATGACTTCAAACAATTCTCTTATTTGATAGGTAGCTGGTTTGCTATTCACAATCACTCTTGGATGACTGCATTAAGCAGTGCCTCAGATTATAACATCATAAATGTCAGATGTAACAGGGACAGGAAAAATGTGGGCCCCAAATTTATAGAAAGACCCATACTTTGCGAACTGTAAACTGAAGTGTGTCACACAAAGAAAATGTGTAGGTACTAGATGTATCATTCTGTGTAGTGCAAGTGATTGTTGCAGAAACTGTTTTACATGCATACAATCTTCCAACCAATCAGAATTCCATCCTGTCTGTGCCGTCTCTAAAACTGGCCAATTACTGATAAGAAAGATATCAGCCGGTCAAATTAACCTTTGGACCCCTTTTATGTGAGTAACACTTTCCCCAGACATCTCTCCAACATTGTCGCCTGTCGTAAATGAGTTTTGCAGGCTGAGCATGTGGTCATGGTTGATAAACGGAACGTGTCCGATATAAAAATTAATATCGCAGGAAATATTAATATCTGGATGGTGTCATGCATCCCTCAGACTGTATTACGGATTCCTAGAGACTGGATGTCTTTCTTGAGCTTTCAGCTGACCATACGCTCATTAGAAAGAAATCTTGTTCGTCACACTAGGGATGAAAATGTCTTGTGAAGGTGTATAACAGACTGGAATAGCAAACTAACGAAGGATAGCGCAACTTAATTAGTATTTTTTTCTTTGTCTCCAGCTGGTGATAGTGAGTATTGTCTTTTCCCCTTTGTTTTTGGCAAATGAGTGGTTAAGATGACATTGCATTCCCTGTTTAGACGTCATTATTTGTAATGAGCAGAGGAAACCATGCAAAGTGCGTTATTTGCCAGTGTAGATAACATGTAATTTCATCTTGTTGGATTGCTCCTTTGTCCGTGTATGTAGGTGTATACAAAAAAAATCAAAGTCTATTTATTGGAGTGTGATATAAAATATTATCTTTGTGTGTACATGTAGTTCTGATATGAAATACTGATTGTGTACATCTGATGGCTTGCAGATTTATGTATTTACTGTTTTCTCGGGATATATCATCACTTATCTATTCTTTCAATTGTCCTCATGATGACTGAGCTTGCTTTTCTTTGGACTTGAACTGTTTTTGCAACTCCTCTGATTTGATTTGGACTTGATTTCCAACTGAAGACTGCTTTTCTTTCGTATGTCCTTAATTTATTGCATACATATGATTTAATATTTAAACACTCACTTCTAACTATGTGATATTATAGAAAGTGGATTTTGTTAACAGCTCCATTTTCGACAACAGTTGTACCTGCAGGACCACACAATCTTGTTCCGTAGTTGTGGGGACCACAAAATCTTGTTCCGTATTTGTGGGGACCACACACCTGTTGAGCGATAGTTATTATGGGGATTGAAGATGCTGTGGGGACAGCAGAAAGTCCCCATAACTCGGTCCTAATTTCCCTAACATTAGAAAATTGCCCCAAGCCAGGGCGCGTTTTCCAACAGAATTGGACAAACCTTCAAACTATTACTTTTCACAACATTAATCTTGCTATTCTTGGTCCTCACTCTTTTGGAAAAGGTTTTGTGGGTGGGAAATTTTAGGTTTTTAGTTGGAGACTTTGTGGTGTTGCTCTTGTGCCTTCTCAAAGGATGGCTTCCTCTTTATAACAAAGGGGTTTCGATTAAAGTTGTAATCCAGAGCTTCTTCAACAAATTAACTTGCATGCTTTATTCCAAACAAAAAGATTCTTTTTTCCTTTTTCGGATGTCTGCCAACCTCTGAAAAAAAGTTTTTATTTTGGGCACAAACAGATCCTCTTTGTGAGCAGACTGGTTACCGGTCCATACATTATCTATACTGATTGCAGGACGGGAACCAGCCTAAATTGTAAAGTAATAATTCAATAACGAAACATGGGAAGATTATTTTCGGTCCATGTCTGATACAAAGTTAATAACTTTTGTATTTATTCATAAGATGGAATTTTGCGTTGGGGCGATGAACATCAAATTAGGTTTTGCCTTTCACCGACTTACTCGGTGGTCGAGTGGTAAGACATCTGCACTAGAAAGCAGGAGGTCGTGGGTTCGAGTCCCACCCAAGTGATTTCCAACTTTCACTTAGGAGATAACACACTGAGTATACAGTGTTTATGCATCACTGAAATGCAAAACCTAATTTAACTTTTGTATTGATAGAAGAAAGCAATTTGGAATCTATTTTTCGGAATGAAACTTGAAAATACAAAAATGAAGCACTGGGAATGTATCTTTAATTGAATTTAAAAATGCCACCCAATCACTGACACAATATTTAATTAAATTTAATTACTGAATAATCATTGCCGTCTTTTCCTATCTTTCCTAACGCGGTCTCTGATCTCTCTCTTATTTCACTGATACTAGACTGGCTACGAAGCCCTTGCAGCTATTATGAGTGCGAGCAACAAACTCAGAGAACTCATCCAAAAACGCAATGTCCACCAGTAAGTACCTCTATCCGTCTTAATTTCTGTCTCAAATGAAATGCTAGAATGCCTCTGTTGCAGTCTTCTTCTGTATTGCTGTTTGCTGTGCAGTATGTAGTCTGATAGTTTAACAGTTTTGAAAACATCCCTTCTTTTTGGTATTAAAGTGTGGTTTAAATCAAGGATTTCTCAAACATGTCCAACATGCATATAGTCACTGTAGCTTGGAAGCTCCAATAAACCTTTAAAAAGAGAGAGAGAGAAAAAAAATAAAGTTTTAGTGGTTTAATTTAGACAAAGAAATGTGCATAGAAATACATGTACAGTTATGCTTCTCACACACAAAAATATGGGTTCTTTGTTTTGTCTGAAAATCTCTTTGTTGTGGATTTCCCTGCGAAGTAGCCATCATGTGATTTCCCATAACGTGACTTAATGGGAATACCCATCTATTTTTATCTGCTGTATCATCATCGGCCAACGCTAGAATAAACCCGTGGCCCATTCTCTGACAGGAGTCCGGAACCCTGAATTATCCGAAACTCCGAATCAATGATTAACTTTTGGCATTGTGAAACCAAGTTCGAGTGTTGAACTTTACCCAGTTATTACAACAATAGCGAATACATCGCCAATGCTTTATTGTGGTTTTAAATTTTTTTTCGGTAAATAAAGAAAGATCGGGAATGCATTTGTGATAAAGCTATAAAAAATACAATTGTAGGAGTTTCTTAGTGTTAAAGGGAATATACATCATTTGCTTTTGCTGTAATTTTCAGAAATGGATGGAATTGGGGGTAGCAAATATAGTTACACTGACTTTTTTGAGGTTTTGGGTTCGAAAATGCTATGAAAGACAAGAAAAACAATAATTTTCCCGTAGTCTGGTTCCCTGACTCCATTTAAGAAGAAACAGAGCAGTTTACATATATTGGGGAATTGCAAGGTCAGGAACCAGTCTAGCTGGCTTGTACCCGTTCATAGGTGTGTAATCGATTGCAAACAAGTGCGATGGTCAATTGGGGCCAGTATTTGAAAAAAAGCCAGTTTTTTCCAACGCTGATCGGCCGATCAGCGTTGGAAATTGATACAAAAATACCACTTTTCTTGAAAATGACAGTATACCAGGTGCCATGATTTTACAGGATGCTTTACACTGTCATTCACTAACAGTCCAGCAAGGTATTTCAAAACGATTTGGTAGTTTTATTTTTTGATGTTTGCAAATGTTGTATTTTCCCTTTAACAAAATCAAAAATTAAATTGTTCAAATAGACAATTCACCATAAACATATTAATTTCTCTCATTAAAATACAAACGTCAATTTGGAAATTACTCACCATCCGGTTCATTAGTAAAAGCGTCATGCATGCATGCATGCGCACCACTGATTACTAGCGCCCATCGGATAAATGCAAGGTGCGTTAACTTCCAGTTCCATTCGTGCTATGCTAAACCGTGTGAAGAACGCATGGTTGAATTGAGATGACGTCACACTAACAAACCTGATTAAGCATAGCAACTTACATTTTTGGGGGAAAAATGGGGAACCAATTGATTTTATTTTGGAACCATCTATATTAACCCTTGAATGTCAGTGAAGGGAAGTAACTTTTTTTGATACTCAAACGTCTTATTTAGTTGAATTTAAATAAAAGATGTATGTGTTGAACAATTGGTGTTTTTCTTAATATCTTTTTCAATTATGTGTTTGTTTCTTATAATTTAGAACCAACTGCTGCATGCTCAAGATTTTAAGAAACTGTCTGATCTACTCTTCTCACTCTTCACAAATTTTTGATCAATGTATCCATGGTATAGCCCCTGTTTATCTTCAAAGATTAGTTCAGGAGTACAAAACAGCTAGAAATCTGCGTTCTACCCATAAATCTCTGTTGTCACCCCCAGTCATTAAAACTAAGTCATATGGTTCCCGCTCCTTCCAATCAGCTGCAGTTCAGCTATGGAACAACTTACCAGATATTGTCAAACAGGCCGAAACATCAGAACAATTCAAAACCCAGATCAAAACATATCTGTTCAATTTGTGTAATTGTTGATTTCACGAGAGCGCATAGGGACCTCACGGTGATATGCGATAATAAGAATGGTTTTTATTATTATTTATTATTTGATGAAATCTATTCCATCTTCTTTAATAATTTGTAGAGATGTTCTGGAGATTATGAGTAAACACACCAAGGACTCTGGCGTCCAGACTGCGGCTATGAAGGTCATCACCTTCCTAGCAATGTCAGGTGAGTGCTGTAAACAATCTCAAGATTGTCTGGAGGGGAGCAGACCATTCACTAAAAGTGATGTCATAGCTCATGATAAATTCCCTTATCTAAAAAGAAATTGGGAAAATACTCAACTCTCCAAGGTGTTCGAGACCCACATCAAAAATAAAGCCTGATTTACCTTCTTTTACATTCTGTTACATTTGGTTGGGTTAACTAGAGACTTCTGGCTGAATTTGGCCTTAAAGATGGCTGTGATTTGGCATTTTTGGAAAACTGGGCACATATGTACACAGTAACCTTTCAACATTGTCATTTTAAGTAGTCACTTACAGATCTCGTGTGTTTCAACGTGTCACATTTTTGTCTGGTTTTGACCAAGTGATAATGAATTAATTTTCCAAGACAAAAAAGTGGTTTTCCCTTTTCAGTTTTCGCTCATATCTTTGATTTTCTTCCTAAAGCCAACATCTGCAACTTCCTTCTGGAGGAGCAGATACTAGAGTCTGTGGTGCAGACAATGAGGAATTTCCCTGGAGATGCTGGCCTCCAGAAGGTCGCTAACCAGGCCTTAAGACAACTCCTAGCTGAAGGTATAAACAAATTCACATGAGTTCATCTCAGTATTCAGAGTTATGTCATTGACTGCAGGGCCTGTTCAAAACGCCGTGCCACTGCCATTCCAAACTCTAATGAATTGAACACAGCAGTAGCAATTGGCTACAGCATGGCATTTTGTCTAAATGTTGGGCTTAGTCACTCTTTAGCCCTAATAACCTCACCTAAAGCTACAAAATGCTACTAGTTGTAAACTGTAGTATGCAGTACTTCAGCATTTAAGTGGGCACAACATCATAGTATCTTTTAGTATTTTGGTACTGCATACATGTACATAATTTCTGTAGTACTATGTAGTATGTGGTACTTTACCCCCAAAGTAAGCTGGGGGTTAGGGTTAAAATACATCCTAAGTGGTTTACCACAATTACGATAAGATTTTAACACAGTTTTTACACCATCACATATATGTGATGGTGTAAAAGCTGCTATTGCATTCACTTCAGGTTACATGTGGATGCAATAAAGACATCAGTCAGCATGTGCATTTGTCAAATATTCGTCCCAATTTTTAATTGAATTAGGTTCGGCACGGCAATGACATTGCATTCAGAGCCCTCGTATGCCTTTCACTTTGCTTGCAGCAAAAATACTATTTTTGAATAAAAAGTATACGACACTTTGCATTCTATTAGGTCGTCCCCAGATATAGATCTCAATAAGATAGTTTGCTATGCAGTTGGTTGGGGTAAGGACCTTCTAATTCAACATCTAAGACCTGGAGCATTTTTTCTCTCTATTTGATGGCTCATTGGTAAACTCACAGCTTAGGTGATGCTAGAACATTAGAAAATAAGTTTTTATAGGGTGTATATGTCTTAAAGGGGTGGACAGTTGATCATGAATATAGCTTAACAGTTTAGAAAATTATAAAGAAGTAGAGGGGAAAGTTTCTTGGCCCTCTTTGTGTTAAGAATGAACACATCATGAAAGTTATTAATGTTGGAAAAAGCAAACAAAAACTTTCGCCTTTCATTTCCACAGATCCTGCTGTCCAGGTTGACTTTGTTGATGCCAAGAAGCACCGTCCAGTCATAGAGGCTCTTAAGAATCACTATGACAACCCCGGTGTCCAAGAGGAAGCCTTGTGGCTATTGGCTGTCCTAGCTGGCTCAGGTATACAATATAAATATTTTGTTGTGCCTTTATAATTTTTTTTTATACTTGTAGAATGTCTTTCCGACCTTGATAAAACAAACCTTGAAAAATTATCATGGTTCTGTCTTACCCTTGTGGCAGTGTAAGGTACATGTGTTACAGATTGGTACATGTATATGGGGTGCTGTTGTCCGATGGTCACGGTGTTCGACTTGTGAGCCATGGTATATGGGTTCAAATCCTGAGGGGGAACATGGTGCTTGTGCTCTTGAGCAAGGCACTTTACCATTATGGCTTCGTCCTTCGGATGGGACGTAAAGCAGTCGGTCCCCTGTCTTGTGTAATGCACATTAAAGAACCCAATAATTACACTTATCACTAAGAGAAGGGGTTTGCCCCAGTGTTCCTGGCAGTGGCTGCAATATGCGCCACAGCACCTTAAATTCTTCTTAAGGTGCTACATAATGGGATTATACTTCTCATAATCTTCATTTACCTGTCTTTAATAACATACATAATTACCAGCACCTTGAGTACCTAATTGTTTTTTATAGTCCCACTTTTCCACTTCTTATCTCGCAGAGGAGAACTACGACATTCTTCTCCAGGAAACCCACAAGCTGCTGATGACTGCCATGAGGAATTTCCCCAAGATAGAGGGAGTACAGACAGCCTGCTTTGCCTTCATGGATGCTGTGGCGATCAACAGTAAGGGTTTAGGATTTGACCGACAGTTTTACAAAAAATTAAGCAACAAATCTGTTGCCCAGCTGTATACATGTATATATTTGATAGATTTCACGGAAAGTTATGTAGCTTCACACACCTGTTCAAACATACATTCTGTGCAAGTTGTCCTCTCAGTCAAAATCAATCAAGTGACTGTTTTTAACAGTAGAGAGCTCCCAGCCTACATAAAGCAGGATTGACTGGCTGTGACTGTTTATGTAACTTGATGCAGCTATGCTTTGACTGTAGGTGTTTGATAAGCCAGCTGTGCCTACCACTGACCTGTTTTTGTCTGTTGACTGAATTTGACTAGTCACAGTGCTTGCTTGAAATGTGATCTAACTGTTGGTGACTAGCCTGTGTAAAAGGCATGGCAGGAAAGAGGATTGATTTGTTGACTGTCCGTGACTGTTCAGACAGCAGGAGGGTTAAGTATTTTAAACATGTTGGATGGAGACACTCACAGCTTATTTTTTTGTAGTGTTTAAATCATCTTTCCTAACTCCCAAGACAATTGTCCTAGGAACTTGGCAGTGTTAGTCCTTCACTCCTTTTCTTTTTGTTGTTTTGTGTGCAGTTGAAAGTCAGCAGTTGTTAGAAGTCAACGGAGCCTCCCAGCTTGTCTTGGCTGGAATCAGAACATTCCATCTGAGCACCGACATCCAGACACTAGGATTCTGTATCTTGACAAAACTAAGTAAGTGCAAAAATCTGTCTTCTGTCGATGAAAATTGGAAAAAAAATAAAGTAGTAAACAAAATTTGTTGAATGCCAGTATTGAACATCTTTTAAAAAAAATAATCAAGTAATTGACGGTGCTGTGGATATTCACACATGAAACTGTCCAAATTTCTTTTTGGATAAGGACTCAGCATTTTAAAAATTTGTTTTTTTTGTCTGAGTGACGATGCATTTATGTATGAAGCTTTCAAACAGAATTTTTGTTTGTGTGGTATTGGGCATACATGAAATCAGTAAAGGATAAGTGCACAATTGCAGGAAAATATACACAAGCTGAAAATGTGCGTCTCCCAGAAAAATGCCAGATGACACACTTTACTGCCAATTGCACAATACCCAATTTTTGCTGGACTTGTTGGGCCAGCCTATTGGCTGACTGACTAAGGCTGAATAAAAAAAAAATGTTTCTCGTCCAGCCTTTTTTAAGAAAATGAAGGAAGCGGGCGCCTTTTCCCCTTTTTTCCCAAGATTGCGGATGGATTCTTCAATTTTCTCAACTATTTTGCTGATACACAATTGTGTAGAACGGAGCCATTACCCTTTCTACATAGCTACAATTTTGTTGGAAACAAAAAGACAATATATTGACCATATATATATATATATATATTGGAAATGCATGAATTAAAAAAAAAAAAAGGAAGGGGCTGGGACAAAAGGAGTGGGAGGGGACGAGTAACTGGTTTATTTCTTGACTTGACCTAACTGATTGATTTTACAAACTAAGAAAGCGTAGTCCTTTTTTATAATATGTCTCCAGTTTTTGTCCTGCAACCATCCTTGAGTCACCCGATTATTTCCGTTCCATTCGCAGCCGATGTTATTTTCAGACCTTTAAGTACTAGTACGATAGAAACATCAGCAGAAGACAACTGGCTGCCAGACGTATTCCTGGGACTCACTCGCCATCTGGACAGTGGAGAGTGTCAGGTGAATCAACAACACCTTCCTTGATCAGGCGTTTTGAGATATGGCGGAAACAATAGTAGGGCCCTATGTGTAGTTGGTAAATGTTGCAAAATACAAAAGAATTTCATTTTGGAAAGGAAGTCTTTGACTTCAACACCTATACATACAAACGCAGGGGCCCCACTATACACAATAATGCACTAAGAAAAAAAACATGAAATTAAACATGGAACAAACTCCACTCAGAAAAGCCAACAGCACCCTCAGAGGACATTCAGTCCCGGCCGTCGTCAGGTACCTGCAAGTACATAACGCCTTCTATTGTGTCCAGCATATCTCAAAAAGTTAAGCCCGGTTCATACTTCATGCGAAAGCAAATGCGATGCGAAATTCATGTCGGCAGCAATGATGGACGCGCTTCGAACATATTGTTGACGTCACAAATTTCGCTTTGCTTTCACAGAAGTGTGAACCGGGCTTAGGGGGTCATTCAATAAATTTGGGGTCCACCTTTCCCATATCGATGTTACATGTCACATCTATGATTTTATAATTCCGATGCACTCCGTAATGCAATCATGGTCCAACAGTGATTATGTATAGCAAACTACCTACCCAACAAATAAAAAATCATTTGAAGTCTTTCTTAATGACACTTGAATGGTGAATTACAAAGTACCAAGGTAACAGGGACAGAAAAAATCTCACACTTTGGACCATAAATTTGTAGAACGACCCTTATTTCACTTTGATTAGTGTGTTTCGTCTTCTTCCATCAATGCACCAATCCATATAAATTCTGCTGATTGTGCAAACAAAGGTCGGCCAAAATCAGACTTGGGGCTTGCAGTGTGGCATTGCAGAGGCACCCCGAATATTGCCCACGTGTTCGGTGGGCAGGGCTTAACCCTAACCCACCTCAATCCTCCAAAATCCTCATTGTGGTTTTGGAGGATTTTTGAGGATTGAGGATGAATGGTGTTTGAGAAACACGAGGATTTTGGAGAATTGAGGATGAAGGGTGTTTGAGAAGCACGAGGATTTTGGAGGGTTGAGGATGAATTGTGTTTGAAGATGAGGATTATTTTGGAGGATTGAGGATGAATGCATTTTGAGCCAGGACTGTCTGACGATTTTGAAGGATTTAGGCGTTGTTTCAAAATTTTGGAGGATTGAGGATGGTTCCTAGCAAAAAGGGCCAAGGGGGTTAGGCTTAATTATTGGTCTATTTGTTGACATTGGTAAAACTCAGAATTTTTGTAGTAGTTTTGAGAACCAATGAAACAGAACTCTGAAAAGTGTTAACACATATTTTTTTATGGTTTGTAAATAGGAGGCTGGGTGCAGCACACTCAATAAGCTGATTGAGAAAAGACCACATGTGCTGAAAGGAGTTGAGAATGGGTAAGGAATGCACTTAAGTAATGAAATTTAAGTAATGCATTTAAATCAAATTAGGTTTTGCCCTTCACCGACGTTTTAAACACTGTATACTCAGTGTGTTACCTCCTGAGTGAAAGTTGGAAAAAATCACTCTGGTGGGACTCGAATGGAAAAATTCCATCTCATAATAATGCATTTAACATATTAAAAAGTTACGAGAAATATATCCATTTTTTCGCCAGCCTGAGAAATTAAGAAAACCTCTAATGGTGCATGAAGACATGGGCAATTCTCTGTGGGCAATTATATGTGTTCTGTCAAAAGCAGACCTGGTAGCTGGTTGGAGAAAAAAAAGGCTCCTTAAATTATTGTAAAATATAGATCTTCCCCTTTACAAACCCCCAGTTTAACTCCCAGCTCCGGTGAAGGCCTAGTCAGGCCAAAAATTCAGCTTGAATATTCCTGATGAGCACTTATTTTCATCCTATTTACTTCCCCTTTACAATGACATTTTACATTTAAAAAACAGGCTCGTCATGGCAAAATAATGATGGTGAAAATTAGTTGTAACTTGGAAGTTGAAGATGTTGGATTCATTAGATACACCCAATCCTTTTTTGTTCAGCAGTATTGAGAATGCTGTGTTGGCCAGTCTTAGAGTGCATGGCTATAGGGAGGCAGGTGTCTTCATATCATCGTGTGCGTCAGTCTACTCTATGGTCATTAACTCAGGTAAGAAAAATTCTTGTGTGTTGTTTTTTGGGTTTTTTTTTCTGCTTTCTTCTGTATACTTTTAAAACCGTTCAGAATGTTGTGTTTGGGGCCGAAAATCTTGTGGCAAATGACTTGTGATAAACTTGACTACATCCACCATTGGACTTTTTTTTTCAAACCTTTTAGAGAGGATGAGGGAGAGTTTCATGGAGAAGGGAACATACATGGACATCCAAGCTGGCATGAACACTCACAGGTTGAATGACAGGGCTCAGGCTGTGGCATGCAAAGCGCTCATGGGACTATGCCTCTTCAGGTAAGGCCAAAAAAAAAAAAAATTGGTCTCTGGTCAGACCGAAGTTCCGGAATTGATGCAGCGACGCAGTTTTTTTTTTTTTTTTTTTTTTTTGGTGTTTTTTTTTTTTCAAGCTTGAATTGTACAGACAAGGTGGGTACTATTTTGCTTTTTTGTGCCCTCATTATACATTGGTGTTCTCCATAATTTGCCTTGGTGCCCTTTATTATTTGCCTTGGTGCAATTTCCCCATTCCTTGGTGCTCCTTGGTACAAAAATTTGAGGAGGTGCGGCAATAGAGGGCGCTGTTGTAGCTTCCGTGTTAATTTGAAAAAAAAAGTTGACGCGCATGGTTAAAATCGACGCGCGCGCTGACCAGAGACCGGAGTTTTTTTTTTTTGGCCTAATGGTAAACACCCCCCCCCCCAAAAAAAATCTGAGAATTGTTTCTCTGCTCAATTCAGTAGGATTTAATTTACTGTTCAGATCAATGGCATTGGAAAATTTCTTAAAGTAGGGTACATAGTAGACAGTACATATGTCTCTGGACCCAAGAATCCAAAGTGGGCGGGCAAAGGAACAGATATATAAAAAGGTGGGGGAGGGAGGTGTGGCCTTCCTTTCCATTTCCTGTGGATAAGTTCTGAGATTGTTTCTGGAGTTGGCTTCCATACCATGTATTTGCACTTTTATTACAAACTAGAAAATATTTTGAAATACATGCATGTTGAAAATTCCCTCAACTTATTGGCTGTCCCTTAGGCCAAAAAAGAAAGTCTCCAGTTTCTGGTATGGAGCTTGCCCAAAAAGTGGTGCGACGACGCGGCTGTTTTTTTTTTTACCTGTTTTTTTTGCTTCAAATGTCGGCTGATGACTGCAAATGGTGCCCGACTAAACTTAGTGCAAATATTATGGGAGACCAGAGAGGCCACATAAAGCTTATTCTCGATCATAACCCCATCTAAAAACACGTTAAAATTGTGCAGCAGCAGGAATCCAGTCAAACCAGTGAGTTTGGTGGTTTTGAGACATCATCTTTCATTGAAAAAAGACTTTTTCATTTTGCCGATGCGCATGGCTACAGCGACGCGCGCGCATACCAGAAACCGGAGACTTTTTTTTTTTGGCCTTAGCAGTGGAGCATAAACTTAAATTGCAATTTTGCAGTATGATTCACATTATATTACATTTTCAAGAGAACTTGCTATGCATTCTCGAATTGCCGTTTCTTTACAACATGAAGGTTTGAGTTCCTGCTCTGCATAAAATGAAATTTCAGGTTGGTTCAAGTTCAATTGTGACCAGACTTGAACCAACCTGATATCTATTTCAAGCATGGTGTGTTACTAATCAAAATACCATCTTTGCACCCCTGTCTCAGCCCCGAGGATAAGGAGACACTAGCCCTGGTGGGAGTACAGGTGGAAATCTTCAACGCCCTCAAGCACTACCCCGATAAACTGGACGTCTTAGAGGCCGCCATAGGAGCCATAGCTTGCCTTGCAGATGTCGGTAAGTCAATCTCATCAAATCAAATAAGCAGAAAATATGCTTAGCAAATTTTTTTAGCTTAGCGGAAATCAAATGGGAACCGGTCGATGGCAGTAAAGATCGCATGGCATTTTGGCTGGTAACCTGTGTTTGTCTTATATTATTGGTGCTAAGCAAAGTTTCTGTGCTGAGTGGCTTGATATAAATTGGCCCCTGGACACAGATCTGGAGGAGCTCAAACCACGGATCCTCTACACAAGGATAAACAACTCATCTGAGCTTGTGTACAACATGTGCGGAACGGATTGTCTACATGCGTGATATGCCGCGTCCGCGCATAGAACAACACATTGAACATGTAGAACAATGCGCGCGTGCCATGATCGCCGACAGCTGGCGTCCTGACAGAAATTTGACCACTGAAAGACTGCAGTCGTGCGCCATGTCTCGCACAAGCGCTTTCACAACTCCCAAGTGCCATATCTAACCAGAAATTTGGGGAAGTTGTTTATCCTTGTGGAGAGGATCCATGCTCTAACTGACCTGGGGCCAAACTTCAGAAATTTGCACAAATATATTGGCTTAGCAAAAACAAGTCACCCGCTAAAATATAGTACGATTTATATTGTTTGTGACTGGTGCTTAGTGGATTTTTTTTTTTTTTTTGCTCATTGCAAAAATTTGCTATACTATATAAGCATTTTTTTTTCTTTTTAGGGACTCCACAAAATTTAGGCCCAGCCAGTCTTAATTTTGTTACAGTGACCCCTGCTAAAAATAGAAACCAGGCTACTGGTATAAAAGTTTGGTACCAACACTCTTTTTCATCAATAGCTCATTCCAATCACTGTTTAGCTGTGAGCACCTGTACTGCCCCAAGGCACCCTGCCTGTTGCTCACTGTACTACCCAAAACTGCTCCAGCACTGTATGGTTTGATGGATTGATCCATGAATAAATTGAGTGTGATACAGTGTAGTTCAAGTGCTAATGGGTTATATTCAAGCAAACTTCACACACAGTTCACACGCACGGTTCATACTTCATGTGAATGCGAAGGGAATTTGACGTCATGAAGCGTTCGCTGCGAAATTCGCCGGAGTTGGAATGTGTTCAATTTTTGCGAATTCGCAGCGTGAAAACTCCCTGTGACGTTACAAATTCGAGTTTGTGTTTGCGTTCGCGCCAAGTATGAACCGGCCTTAAAGATGGAACACGTACGCTGTACACAAACTTTTCTGCAGTCATCGTATTACACCAGGAATGGTACACGCATTAGAATAGCATAATACGTACAATGCGGTATGGACTGTGGTATATGGCATAATGTAGCATGGTTTGTTGCCATTGATTGACCAATCAGAATCAAGGATTCAAGTTTGTTTGAAGAAGTTACATATCACGGGTGACATTGTTGTTTCTTTTCTCAGATATCGTCCGTTACCAGTGCATGGTAGAAGGCATCCATGAGTTAATCCTACAGAGTATGGTCAGCCATCCCAACAACAGCAGCATACAGGAGCTGGCGCTGGAAGCAATGGCTGTCCTCTCCACTGCAGGTCACTACATCAATTGTTGTAAACATAATTAAATACATATAGGATCATTTTCCATTTCATGCCTTTTGTTCGTTTCCAATAATAACACCACTCAAAATCCAAAGAAGAATGTTCAAAACCAAACCTGTTGAAGTTTCAGCTCCGTGGATAGTACGCTTTTTGAGAAAACAGTGAAAAATCATGCACAACTTTTTGATCATGAAACATGATTTTGGCTATATCTATATTTCCAACAATCAGTCAACGGACTGATTTTGTTTGTTCTTGACATTGCAGATGGCATGGCTGAACTACTGTGTGAAGCAGGTGCCTTGGCCTACACTGTGGAAACTATGGCTAGATATGGTCAATGCGAAGGTAAAGAATCTTTCCTCAAAATCTTCATACTAATAAATTTTCAACTTGTATATTTTATTCCAACCAAAAACCTTTTTCCCCGTATTCTGAACGTCTGCAACCCTCTGAAAAAAAAATGGTTTATTTTTTTTGTTTTTGGCACAAACAGATCATTTTGCGAGCAGACTGGCTCCCAGTCAGTACATTATTGATACTGATTGTGGGGCGGGAACCAGCCCACCCCACAAGAATGGAGTTATTGTCTGGCAGCCAATAATTCAAAATTGTAAAGTAATAATTCAATAACAAAACATGGGTCGATTCTTTTCGTTCAATATCTCATTCAAAAGTGAATAATCTTTATTTAGTATTGCTAGAAAAATAGCTGTTTGGGAAAGGAATCTGGCGTATTTTTTGTATGAATTAATAATAACGGAGTCTTATATAGCGCACGTACCAACCAACAATTAGGTACTCAAGGCGCTGGAAATTATGTCTATTATTAAAGACAGGTAAATGAAGTTTATGAGAAATATGAGACCCATTATGTAGCACCTTACAAGGTGCTGCGGCGCATATTGCAGCCACTGCCAGAAACACTGGGGCAAACCCCTTCTCTTAGCGATAAGTGTTACTGGGTTCTTTAACGTGCATTACACAACACACGGGACCTACGGCTTTGCGTCCCATCTGAAGGACAAAGCAACAATGGTAAAGCGCCATGCTCAATACTGTTATTGTAATTTGGTTGAGGAGTTTGTAGATAATATTACTTACTGAAATCTACCATTTTTGGTGAATTGACACTCAGGAATCCAGCAGAAAGGCAGCATTCTGCTTCAAGCTCTGGTCGCGGAGCAGAAATCCATTGACAACGTGCCGGTTGCTAGGCAGGTTGCCAGGGCGCTGGTTACCGCCATGAAGAAGTTCCGTAACGATCCCAATGTTCTTGCTGAGGTGGGTGTACTATCAAGAAATGTTGAGTAGAAAAGACCTACATGTAGCTCATCCAAAATAAGTGGACAAAATCCCTGAAGAGTATTTGGGTGGGCTTTTAAACCAAGTACATTCCTGTGTTTAGTAAAGAATTTCTGCATAAATCTCTTAAGACGATTCACATATGTGACTTTGGGCAAATTTCATGGCACTGCTTAATAGTTAGCAGAGTTGTGCTAACTTTAGCAGAAAATTGTGGTAATCGTAAGCTTTATTTCATTGCGTGGATATGGTAACTGTTACTGCACATTGAGGTTTCTATAATTACGTCATTGAGGTAAGCATGTCTTTTGCTGTGCTTACTGCTTACGGTCTCCATGAAATATACAAAGGCTCTGTTAGCAGCAAATCGTTTGCTTAGCAGGAATATGAAATTAGGCCTTGATCCCATGAAATAAGTCTTAAGGACTGTTTTTCATTTATAAGTTTTCACATAATGTAGGAAGCCTATTACTTGCTCTTCATGTTAATCAGTCGCTCAGGTTGGCATCTTAACCCTAACCCCTTGAGCACTTTTACTAGAAAGTATCCTGAATCCATCGAATCCACCAATTTTGTCAGGCAAAAAAATGTTGGAGTCCATCAGAATCCATCAGTGTAGTACATATACCTCGTACTTACCAAACATATAGCCAAGGAGTGTTGCCAAGTGTTGCGATCCTGAATCCATCAAAGTCCCCCAACTGCTCAATATGGAGGTATCCTGAATCCATCAAAATCCTGCAGTACCGCTAGGCTTGCTGTCCTGAATCCATCAGAATCCCCCAACTTTTCAATATGGAGGTATCCTGAATCCGCTGAAATCCTCCAAAACATATCCTGAATCCGCTGAAATCCTCCAAAACAGGGGTGTGGATATTAATATGTATTCAGGTACGTTAGGGTTAATGTATACAAGATATTACATGGTGAAAAGGATCACTTTTCCCATTGATTTCCATTGTTTAAGCTTCTGATCAAGACCCTTTACTCAAAAGTAGCTGTTTTGTTGGCCTGGGTCACATTTTACTTGAAATTATGGCTTACAAAGGTACCCAATGCTATGCTGATTTGTGATGATTAGTGGACTGTAAGGGCCAGTGTCACTTCATATCCGGGTCAAGGTCAGAACCAGTTGGGGGTAGAATCATTCGATTTGCCTGGAAGGAGCTCTGCTTTTGTCCTGTATATGTTTCGGGAAAATATTCACTAACAACTGCTTGACTCACCAATACTGATAACTTCATAATGGGAAGATTGCGGGAAGTTGTTCAGATTCCAGCAACTTATACCCGATACAGTGTCCGCAACTTGTCCGGGATATGGGCCCTAAGCACGCTCACATTTCTTGTGGTTAATGGGGTCAAAGAATTAAGCAGGATGTTCAGGGTTGAAATCCTGCCTTGAAGAAGTGAAAGTCATTTTTGATTCATTCTTTTTTTGTTGTTTTTAATTCCCCTTTAGAGCTGTGTTGCCATGCAGTTACTGGCAGAAACATCGGAACAGATCGGCCATGTGTTTGTGGAGAATGACGCTCATGAAGAACTCTTCCACATCATCGAAACATACAGCTCAGATAAAGGTCGGTAGGAATCTTTTCTTAGACAAGGAGTTCATAAGTCGAAGCTTTTATTCCTAACAATTCAGGGTATTTTGTCTGAAAACCCAGCACAGTGTCGCAACGTGCAGCACTACGAACCCTGCCCAGTGTCACAAGATCCATCCGATCACAAATCTTAAGTCTTTCTGTGATTCTGTGTCACCAACTGTGGCATTGTTCAATGGGACTGCTGTTATGTTGTCAGCAATGGCAGTTATGCATTAGGGTTGATGGCTTGGAGAAGCAACGTTTCTCGGACTTTGACATCTATTGCACTGCTTTTAAAAAATCTCAAAACAAAGTCAGAGGATGGGAACTTTTTTTCAAACTCTTCTATTTTTTTTTTGGGGGGGGGGGAATGTGGAAAAAACCTGAAAATCATCAATTACTACCTTTTACCCTTGACTACATGCAGACACCCCCATATGATCGTACACAAAAAAATTGCCAAAAAAAATCTGTACCTAACTACCTACCCTAATTTCAAGTGCCATATAATCGGAAGCAGAGGTATTTTTTTTTTGGCCTAAAAACCAGTTTTAATAATTTCAGATTTTATTTCATTGTTAGAAAGTTATCATTGTCTTAAAGGACATTTATCTTGTTCTTAAAAGGATGTCATCTTGTTTTGTATCAAGATATTCCACCTTAGAGAAAAAATACACATCTGGTCATTTTGTTCTTGAATTTGCTTGTCGTAGTTTTAATTGATGTGGCGTGTGAGTGTTTGTACGTCCTGTGCTGGAAATGGGACTTCAAGAAGGATTTGCTACTGTGGGCCTGCAAACAGAATAAACTAAAGGTCAGTGAAACATGAACATACATGCTGCCAACAGCCATGTTAAGCCACAGTCACATATTCACTGTCTGGAGCTACGGATATCCACGGTTTAAAATTTGTGATAAACCATGGGAGTACCCTATTCATCCTTAGTACATCTGTGGTTATCCGTCATCTTCCTTGGGTATTCGTGGAGGGGCTACGGAAGTTTTAAACTGTTCCAAACTTCTGTGGTGAATCGTCATGAAAATCAATCCGTAGTGCAACCGTGGGATGTCCGTAGGACAACCTACTAATTCGTAGTGTTATTCCTGGCTATTTGTGCATATTCTTGGAGATTCGTAGCTTCTTCATGGTAGAAATCTCTACGAATTTGCTACGAATGTCCTACGGATATGCCCATATATGCTGGGATTCTGCTAAGAATCCTAGATTGTACTTAGAATATGTATGCTTTATTCGTAGGAGAAGCGTGGTCATCCATAGCCCAATCGCAGACAACCGTGGCGTTAACGTCATTATTCTTAGTATGACCATCGATATTCTTCAACAATCCATCTATATTCTTGACAAACCATGGTGTATTAGTAGAGAAACCGTAGGACAGTCGTGGCTATCCATCCTGAAACCGTAGTGCATTCTTAGATAGTTGATTTCTCTCGACGGTTCATTGTGAACGATTGATTCACTGTGGATATTCGTAGCTCCAACCGTGAATGTGTGACTGGGGCTTTAGAACTGAGGGCTGTGAGAAATATAAAGTAAAGTGTGTAAGCGCTCTTGATTTGATTTTTGCGTTTGAAGTGGACTCGGGATTAAAAAGATGTGATTTTTACTAATGGTTGTCCAAAGTAACAAGACTGACAGAAGACGGAAGTGATTAAAATAGCAGTGAAAAATTTTCAAATTTGAAATTTTTAAACATTTTTCCCCCTCTTTTTCCAGGGAGTGGAGGTTCTGCTGCAGCTGAGTGCTAATGTCAACGTGGGCAAGGGTCGCGAGACACCGTTATGTCTGGCCGTTAAGAATGGAAACACAGATATGGTCAAACTACTACTCAAACAGGTAGGTAGTTATTCATTTTTAAAAATGTATTTATTTTATTCATTCATGTTTTAATTAATTAATTTACTAATTAATTAAGTTATTTAAATACATGTATTTGGCATTTGGCCAGGATAGCCCACTCAAGTCAATTTATTTCAAGGGGATCGCTTTGGAGACGATAAGGAAGAAAATTACAGTTTTGAGAGGTGGGAAAAACCCAGGGAAGTATTCCAATGAAAGTCCATGGAATCAGGTAGAGACTGAAAACCAATCCACATGTTGTCCCGGGCTGGATTTGAACCTGGGTCGCATCATTGGAAGGCAAGAAAATACTGCTAAGGCATTCCGATGCCCAATTTGAAGGTAGAAGCCTGAGTGCCAAACATTTTAATATTGACGAAAAGAAAAATGGATTCTCAGACAGCTTAATCGTGAAAACATGTCCAATTATTGGGTAGTATCGAAAACGAAGACCCCTAAAACGAAGAACGAAGACCGAAAACCCACTCGAAAACAAAGACACACTCGAAAAACGAAGACCCACACGAAAACTAAGGCCCACTCGAAAACACTGGGTCTTCGTTTTCGAGTGGGTCTTCGGTCTTCGGTCTTCATTTTAGGGGTCTTTGTTTTCGATACTACCCAATTATTGCTTGATTGAAATGGTTTAATGTGTGTTGTTTTGAAATAAATGGCGTTGAATGAATCAAGTAAATTTAGACAGGGTTCAGACCTCTGCAATTTTGTGCTGGAACTTTACCAACTGAAGAATGTTGCCCAACTGAGGAAACTTCCCAACTGAGGAATCTTGCCCAATTGAGGAATCGTTTTCGTAGTCTTCTTTGTCAGTTTCCCGTGTGGTTTCTTTCATAATTTAATACAAACTTGTCTACCTGTAAGTGGAAAGTGTGTTGAACATTAAGGTTAATTTTCCCTTCGTCTGTGATGTTTTTCTCACAGGGCATCAGCGACATTCACACTGCCTTGCATTTGGCTCTGGAGCTGCACCATGACGTTATCATTGGACTCCTACTGCAACACATGGGACATGATAAAGAAGGTTTGTTGAATATGGAGACGCAATGGACTCCATTCATGAACAAACGAGGGCGCTATATACAGCATTCTGTATATCTCTTGTACACACTTCAGGGTTTGCTTCAAAAGCTGATAGAGGAACACCATTAATGGAATGATCCCTTAAGCCCCGCCCCTTGATGTATTGACCAATCACATCCATGATTGCACAATCAGATAACCGTATATCTGCAAAATGCATTCACTTACGCTGGGGGGGGGGGGGGGGGACTTGCTCTTATGACCAAATCTTTGCTAATGTGACCGAATCTTAAATGGTCCATTCTTTCCATTGTTTTGTTAATTAGGTGATTTAATGTCAAAATAATAGCAAAATGTGTGATATGTATAACAATTTTTTTGTTCTTTGATCTAATATATATTGTATATGCCCATAATACACCATCTATCGCCTTGAAGCTCCTCATGTGCTTTAGTCGAGTCGAGTACATTTCCACGAGTACGAGTCTGAGTACTTTTCCATTAGTATGAGTATGAGTACCGTGCGCAGAGTATGAGTACATAAAAAATGTACTTGAGTACGAGTACAAATATGGAGTATGAGTATGATTACTAAAACAAAATAATGTGCTCAAGTACGAGTACAAATATGAGTACCACTCCAGGCATGAGTACGAGTATGAGTACGAGTACGTGTATGAGTTCGAGTGCTGCATCACTGCATAAGATTACTTTTAAAGTGACATGAGGATTTGCTTTTCTATACTTTAACATCGTTGCTCTTTTCACAGGAGGTATTGCAACGTGGAGTGGGCTGGGTCTTACTGTGCTTCAGCCGCTGTGGTTTTACCCGACATTTCTGGGTCAGATTGGACCGGTCTCTCCGTCAGTCAGAGGTTAACTAGTCTTATCTCATTTTTCCCCCAGATGTTATTTTTTGTTTAAACTAATTAATATGAATTACTGATGTCTAATGTGTATAGAGCCCGTCATGTTGCCGGTCTTAAATGGATGATAAAGACATGGCTAGCTGGTCTTTAAACACTTTTCGAGTGTCACGTGAAATTTGGACTCCTAAAAATCCAGTGCCTCTTTATACCGTGTTATTGGTTGAACATTCACAATCCTCATGTAGGCATGCACCATACTACCAGTGAGTAAGTATTTTATAGTCATAAATTCACAACGCAACTCCCCAGGTGCATTCTGTGCGACATCACGCTGTATGCGCGACGTGCGCGCCAAGCTCCATAATAGGAGTTGTTTAAATCTTACTCGCGAGCTGGACACTCCATTATTTAGCTAGAGGGGTGTTTCAAAAAACATGAAGTGAACTTGCTGAACAAAATCGGGGGGGGGGGGGGGTTTTGACCGAAAAGTTTAGATTTTTTTGACCGAAAAGGTATTTATGAATGGGAATAAATATGTGCTTGGTCGGTATTAATCACTCTGTTTAAGACCGCTTGGAGTCTGGGTGCTGATAATTACCCTCGCCAGCACCCAGACTCCAAGCGGTCTTAAACAGAGTGAATAAAACCTCCAAAGCACACATGTATTCCCTTATTACAAATACAGATATCGTTTAAGTTAATTGTACTTATTCTCATGATTCCATGTTTGTTATACTTTAGGCAACTCCTCCACGAGTCAGATAGCCAGTCGTATTCGTCACACGGAGGAGAACCGCGCCAAGCGACGCCAGGCCGTCTTCAACATCCTGAGTGAGGTTGACGGCTCGCTGAGTTCCAACCTGGCACCGGTGGTTCGTACCTCCTCGCTGAACATCCTCGTCTCGGCCGACCGGGAACTGTTCCCTGGTAGTCCGCCCCCGAAGGGGGGACCAGGCACGCTGCCGAGAACCACCGAGAAAGAAGGCGCCCAGTCTGGTATGTGGATGTCTGTTCTTACTCCATCTTGGTCTAGTCTCCTGTAGACATGCCATATATTGTTATGAAATGCCAGTTGAGGCACCAGCCAGTTATGGCTTCCGAACTTGAAACTGAAGTTGCAGCAAAATTACATGGCTACACGTGTCTATGAGATATGGCTTCAACCATTTCCATGGGCGCATGTATAATTGCAATTCGTAGCCATTTAATTCGGATGCGGCTATGCACATGGCTACGGCAAGTACACACCTATGGAAGCTGCTGAGTCCACTTCCCATAGACGCGTTCATTACTGCTGAGCATAGCAAAGTGATTCAGATGCAGTCATAGACTGTGTCTTGATCACAGCTTTGTCTACGGCTATGAATACGAGTTATGACGTGTCACCGAGAGTTGAAGCCATTGAATGGCTGATTATGATGCCAAGAGAGAGGCTTGTTTAAAATTAAAAAGAGTGAGTGACTATTTAAGTTAAATATTTGATATCTAACTTAACCAGTTCGCGCCGGGATTATTTTGATAAGAACAGAACGAGGCGTGTGATTACTTCAAGCCAGGCGGGTTGAAGCCATCACCCCCAGGCAGCACACTCGTATTTCCGGCCTCGCTCGCTGCGAGCGGGTCGCTGACAGATATTTCCGGCCTCCCTCCCTGCGTGTTTAGCAGTCGACCATTCCGAATACCGCATTGCGTGTATACACGTCATCTGGCGCGAACTGGTTAAAAAAAGGAAAATATTGTTTTTTGCCGCTCGAAGCTTTAACAGCATGTGCTAGGATATAATGCTTTGTAGCATTTAGTCTTGCAGAATTGTTCAAAATGATGTCCCTATTTTATGGCATAGTGCTGTTACCCCTTCTATCTGGCATCCACTTTTAGAACGTAAACGATTAAAAGCCATTCTGTGATTATGGAAAAATACAATAGAAATTATTCCATTTTCATTTTCTTTTCTTTTTTAAATCTTAAAAAGTAGATGTTACTTTTCATGTTATACATTAAAGTGCACTTTTTGTACTACAACATTTTTCACCCCTTCCAATTATATATTGATGGCCTGTTAAATGTTTCAGCACTGTGCAACAGAAATTACTTTTGCAAAATCAACGTTAATTTTAAATGCTTTCTCTCCTTTGCTATTAAATCTTTTAGTCCATTAACCCTAACTGCTCAGAATCAGAACGTAGATTTGTAGCATTTGCATGGATTCAGTCTAGCCAATCCACTTTCGACTTGACCTTGCCTGTCTGTCACTCAAACAGGCAGGACCAATCAGATCATGACTCTTGGTCAGGTGACCAAGTTAGCTTGGTCAAACTCTGTCACAAGCACTGTGGGGAATAAACACAAACCAATGGTGCGTAGGTTTATGGTCAAATCCGGAACAGTTCAATCAGTCCGTTTTGGACCGATGAGAAGAAAAATTCAGTCGAAATTGTGACAAAATTTCAGTCAAAAGTTGTGACAATAATTCTGAACACGTAGAGACAATATTCTCACCATTTCCATCCACCCCCACCCATCACCTCCGTACTTCCCTCTACCACCCCCACCCACCCCACCTGCGACCCCCACCCCACCCACTACCCCTTCCCCACCCCACCTGCAACCCCCATCATCAACTCTAGCTTTTCAAGTTGGCGAGGCCAACGACACTGTTTTCACGTGCACGGAAAACACCGCTTTCCTCCCCGACACCCTTGACGCTGCCAACACCGATTCCTCGCTAGAAGGTCAGGAACAAGACCAGTTCGTATCGGAGCGCCCTCCCAATCACGAGCGCTCCAAGAGTCTCTACGGTATGTCACCAGGTTTGCTTGTACGACTAAAAGTATGATACCAAGCGGTGAAGGGTTTCGTAGCCAGTCTTTGTGTGCTTGTATACAATGTACATGTGTGTTCGTCTGCTCAAGAAGTTAATGGTAGTCAAAAGCTTGATCATATTATGCTCTTGTTTAGATTACTTTAATTTAAAAAAAAGAAAATGTTAGTAAACAAATTATTTTTTTGCTGTATCAGCTTTCAACAAGATCAGCAAATGCTTTGCTTTCAGTCCTGGGATAAGCTTAGAAATTGGTAGACTTTTTGATTCTGTTTTGACAAGCTCTGTCCTTGGTTATTTCCATGTGTTCTATTTTTGTGCTGCCCTGTTTATTCAACAAAGCAAGCTAAGCGAAAGTACGCAAAGGACTGTTATAACAGTTCATACATGTATGGATTGGTCTTTTGCATTGGCACACCCAGGATTTGGTTGGGGGGTTACAATTTTTTCCCCACATTTTTTAGAAGTTAAAATTGTTTCAAAACATTTTACCCAAAATTTTGGCCGCAGAAAAAAATGGGTTTTTTTTGGGGGGGGGGGGGGGAACCGACTATTTTGATGTTGGTGGTGCCACTTACACCCCCATTATTCTACTCGAAAATAGGTCACATACATATCAAAAAGGCCAAAAAAAACCCAAACAAAACAAATTGACAACCTCTTGGGGGGGGGGGCTCAAGCCCCCGAGCGCCCCCCCCCCTTGTGTCTTTTGGGAAATCAAAATAATGTCCGTTCTTTTTGTTCTTTGAAATGGGCAAGTTATTAAAGTAGTACATCATGCTCAGGGACACTGGCAGAATTAAGGGCTTGAACTTAAATGCATTCGCTACAACCAATCAGTCCAGAAGTTGTGATAATGCACAATTTAAACACTCAGTACTTTTCTTTATTCTGCTGAATTACACTTCGTCATAAATTTATTAGAATTTTTCCTGAAAACTGATATTTCAGGTTGAACTACACAAGCAGTCAATGATTGATTTTCCGCACCAAGTTTCTTGTTCTAAACCAAGCATTGGATTTTCGTTGTCGTTTTGCAATGTTTTTGTTGTACGAAGCACCGGATTTGTCTGGCAGGCTTGCTTGGCAAGCTAACCCACGCAGCACGGCTTTATTAATAAGCAAAGTTGATAGTATATTAATGTAATTTTTCTGCAATCTAACAAGAGCACTGCTTTTTCTTTGAGATGCACTCTATTTTAATCTCTTCTACGTTGGAATACGACACTAGTGGTAACTCATTTTGGCACTGAAGTATAATAGCTAGTCAGTGACTTATTTGTGAGGCTAAAGAAAGCATTTAAGTTTCAAAGAATATGTTAGTATAATCTAAAAACTATTAGTGTAATCCACATAATTTGTTGCCGTAGTTATATTTTTTTATTCTTCCACTTTTGATTTATGTTCAAACATAAAGGTGATATACAACATTTGCTTTTGCTGTAATTTTCAGAAATCGCTAGATTTGGGGGTTAATGTTTCATAGTAAATATTGTTACACTGACCAAAGTTTTGTGCTCATAGATGCTGAAAAATCAAGAAAAAATTATGTTCTTGTTGTCTGGTTCCCAGACCCTACTTGGACGAAACGGAACAATTTATTTAAATGTCGGGGAATTGTCAGGTCAGGGAACCAGACTAGCTGGCCTGCACTCGTTAATGGATGTGTAACCGATTGCAAACAAAATGTGGACTAACTAACTTTGGTAAATTTTGGGCAGTATTTGAAAAAAAAAAAATTTCCAACGATGGTCGGCCATCCATCGTTTGAAATCGATACAGATGCAAAACAGATACAAAAATTCCACTTTTCTTGAAAATGGCAGCACACCAGGTGCCATGAATTCACAGGATGCTGGAGACTATTCACTTACAGTCAAGTAAGGTATTTCATAATAATTTGGTACTTTGTTTTTTGATGTTTGCAAATGTTGTATATATAACCTTTCAAAGTGTGAAAAGCTTGCTGAAGCAAAAACAAGTTTTTAAGTGTGAACGGTCTACTTTTGCACTATCTTAGACTAACACTTTGCTTTGTAATACCCTTTGCAACTTCTCCCCCTCAACCTGCACCTTACCCCAAAACCCACTCCCAAGACTCGGAGGTGGATAACCTGACCAAAGCCATGAACCGACGACGTCAGCGGTCGGCGGGTGAGATGGATATGATACGCAAGGTCTCCAGCAGCTTTGTGCCTTGGCGCAAGTCGCTGAGCAGCGCCAACCTGCCCATAAATCCAGACGATCCACGCTGTCTTGAAAGCCTACAACGAGGTAGTATTAACAGCAGAGAGGTTACGTTACGGGTTTTTGCTAAAACTTGTTCGTTTAGAACTGTGTGTGTGAACATCAAATGCATTGGCAAGGCACATGTAACTGTTGGCTTGCTGTACGCAATGCCAACGGAGTGATTTTTGCGTTCTTTGTAACATGAAGAAAGACAGGAGATAGCCTCTTCATTTCTCAAGCAAGATGAAGTTTTATGAGAGTTCAAATAATCTTCATAGACCTGAGAATACTATCCCATTAACCCTAAGTCCCCAGGCATTTTTGCTAGGATGCAACCTAAATCCTGCAAAATCCTCCAACTGCCTCCATGTAAAAATTGGATGCAGCCTCAATCATCCAAAATCCTCTTTTATATTTCTTGAATGTGGTCCTTGGAAGGGTGACCACTGCTTCAATCCTGCAAAATCCTCCAGCAGTCACTGTCAGTATGTTGAGGCAGAGCCAGTGACATACTGGAGCAGTGCGGATGATTTCAAATATGATAAGGGCCTAAATTTATGCACGGCGGAGCATAAACAACACAAGGTCCAGCCTAATACCTTAACACAGTGCATCCTCCGAAATCAGCTACACACTTTTGCCATATTGCCTCAATCCTGCAAAATCCCTCATTTTGCAAAGAGGATTTTGGAAGGTTAGGGTTAAACATTAAGTAGTCATCAGTGTTTTTAAAACATTCATCGTTGAACAGTTCTCCCAAATGTTAGTGAACGTACACGGATTCTAGAAATGTTCCACTTAAACCCTCTTCTGCTTCCCCAAAAAGGAACGTGAAGCTTCCAGTATGAAAACTCGTAACTTAACTTCTCTAATATCTCACAGCACCTCCCGGTGAAGTTGTTCCCGTAACTATGGTGTGGGATTGTATTTTGTATTGTTCAAATAAAGTCTAATCATGTGAACAAATTACAAGTCATTACTGATGCGGAATCATGCTGATGCATTTTTTGCGTGCAATGTTCAGGGGTGAGATTCATCCAGATATTTTGGTGATTTCAGGATTTTTTTTGTCGAGATTGATCTAATATCGGGACTTTTAAAGAATCCTGCTGAAATCTGGATATAATCTTGAGGGTTTACTGTAAAGGTGTTTTAACCTCTAAACATTAACAACCAATGAAATATGTTGTAAGGGGTGTCTTTTAATAGGCAATGCAAACATATACCATAGACCCTACGTTGCTGTGGGGCACTCGGTGACCCGTAAACCCTCAGCCGATTATTTCCTGGATTTCTTTTTATTTCCCCCCAAACTCACTCCTGATTTTTACACTCAAGGTGCGCACATTTTGGTCACCCTGTTGGCCTATGGAGCATGGTTCCGCCTCAGTAATTGATGTCACTGAATTAGTCTAGTAGTGATGTGCATCAGGTCGGGTCGACGAGGCCAAACCGACCCAAGACATTAATTTTTTTCTAAACTGAAACCGAACCTACAACAATTAGGACAACCTAAAACCGACCTGACCCGACCTGACAACAATTGAAATACTGACCCGAAACCGAACCGACACGAAAAACCTTAATATCTGATTTCGGCAAGTGTGTCCACTGCTTTCGTCTGAACCGACCCGCTTTGTGCAAAAAAATGTCAGCTTTCAGTAACTTAATCATGCCGTGGGGCACTCACAACGTAACCTACTGGTGGGCCTACATGTTATAGACCGATCGAGATAGATCGCATTTTTAGTCGCACCGCGCGCAGTAATTCTGCACTAAATAGTGCACCATGTAAATTTTCATTCTGTTTCGGTTCATTTCGGGTTTTTCCAAAATGGCTTAAGCGACCTGACCCGACCTGAAAATCGCAACCGCAAAACCAACACCGACCCGACCTGACTAAAATGATGGACAAAACTGACTTTGGGTTTGGGTCGGGTCAGTTTCAGTTGACCTGAGAATGACACATGAGCATACAAACCGCTAATTTGCAGCACTTATTCTTGCATTAACACCACAAGACCGATACTGATTTTGCTACTCGCTGCATAAATGCAAGCGCTCTGCCTGCATGTCGAATACTTGCACCGCTGCACTTATTAATCCAACACAGGCGTAGAGTCGCTGCTCTTGTAGGACCACGTGGAGTGTCATGGCCTAGCAGTTAAGAGCACCGACTCATGCTCTGGTGTTTCAGAGGCAACAGTGGCGTGGGTTCGAGCCCGGGTCTGGACACTTGTGCCCTTAAGCAAGGCACTTAACCATGATTGCTTCGTCCTTCGGATGGGACGTAAAGCCCTAGGTCCTGTGTTTTGTGTAATGCAATGCACGTAAAAGAACCCAGTGACATGTATCGCTAAGAGAAGGGGTTTGCCCCCGTGTTTCTGGCTCCCACGCGGAGTGTTTAGGAGAAGAACCAACCAAGAATGTTGTTGGGATTTGCTTGAGAGTTACCGTTCTCCCTTTTCTCCAGGACTGAGGGAGCAGACTTCAGCCAGGGAATCCTTCTCCATTGGGAGCTCCTCTCGTCCTCAGTCACCAAGCCTTCTCAGTATCGAGTCCTACGTCAATATCCGCTCAAGATCGCAAGTAAGTTTTGCGCCGGTCTCAAGTAGCGAGATACCAGCATTCCCCTGAAGATGGATAGAGTGCACATGTTGGAATCATCACTGGCACTGGTTCTCTCTAGAACCATACCTTTTCACAGAGTTTAGTCCAGTACTGTGCCAATAACTTACCACTTTATTGTACAATTCCACCATTCAATCACATTTAAGATACTAAGAAAAAGTCTCAGCTTGCTGTACTTTGAAATTAAGTTTTGGAGTAGCTGTATAATTCTTTTTCATGTCTCTGAAACTTCTGGATGGCTTTTGTCATGATAAACGGGGGCACTCAACTTGATAAATGACTCTTGCTTATGACAAAATGTTTGGCTTTAAATATCTTAAAAATACATTTCAATCTGTGCATTACTGTCCATGGTTGCAAGATGAGTTTAGCCTACGTTTCATGATTTTAAGTGAGAATGATACAAACTTGAACTATGGTCAAACATCGTTGAGAAATCTCCTGGTCCAGGCTCCGTCATAGATCCGCGATACACACTGCTATAGATACAACCAGCAATATAACCAACCTCTGGGTAACCATATATTTAGATCTGAATAAAATGTGCTCACTTATGAAGGTCATGTTTTGCCTTTTCTTTGTTTTTGTTCTTCAGCCCGAGAGTGAAATCCGAGGTGCCTTCTCTGTGAGCGAGGAGAGTGCAGGGGATCAATTCCAGTCGCCTTCAGACAGCTCTCAGCCTAGTGAGTAGTAACTGTGTGCAGGACCTAGCTTTTAAAAACTTTGTAGTTATCAAACAGCTTTTGGTAGGATTTTAACCAGTTCGGGTCAGAGGACGTGATGACACGCACTGGCTGTTTTTATACACCGGCACGGCTGACGGGTTAAGACGTCAAGATTGCCTCGACTCGCCTCTGGGTGACGTCTAAACACGCTAATCCCCTCATGTATTTTTTACACACACAAAGTCCATGAAGTCTGTGGAGGCGACCGTGTGTTGATCTTGAATTGGCCGTTGTGCACAGCCTATTGTTGTACAAGTTACGCTGGTGCACACCCCGGAGTATTGAAACATATGAGGTTTCGGCAAGAAATATCGTGACTCTTGTGGCGTTTGGCTGTATCAGAAGTTGGCAAATTTTGCCTTTTGTGAAAATCCTGGCATGAAGTGGTTAAGCATGCAACTCGTTTCATTATTAGCATGAGAGGGTACATGATGTGTGTGGAGATGACAGATTTGGGGTTGACAGTGCCCCCCCCCCCTCCAGCCCAGATAAGGGAATGGGTCTAAAGTGGATACCAAAGCATACTTTACAACACTAGCTTACAATACCATGACCTTGTGCTGGTAGCCTGGTTATAACTGTAACGTGCACTTCATGATGAAACTAACATTCACTTTATCACTGTGATCATTAAAAGCTGTTATCCGCCTTTATTTGATTAAAAGATCTGTGTGTAGACATTAAGCCTAGATTATAAGCTTAGCATACTGAAGATGATAACACACCCTATGAGATTATTGATGCTGATGTGCATGTTTACGACATCCAACCTGATAATGCTACATTCAAACCATTGCCATCTGGATTGCCTATGATACGCAGTGGTATGGTAATGTATGAATTCCAAATTTCCAGCTGAGATTTTCGGCACTTTTGTTGTTGTTACTGAACTTGTTACATGTTCTAAGGATTCAACTCACGATAGACCAGACTAAAGTATATTTCTGTCTGTGCGAAGAAACTTAAGTTTGTGGTATAAGTTTGCTTGAGTTCATCAGCACATTATGCAATCAAAATATAGAGTAAATATTCAGCAAAGTCTGTCACAAGCCAATATTGTCAGTAAGGCCAGCGTTTATCTCCTATTCCCCCATGGGTGCCAGTCCATCGCAGGTTACTCCCCAGCTCATGCCGGTACTCGTTCATACTCCTGGGTGGAGAGAGGCAGGTAGGGGTGAAGTGGCTTGCCCAAGGACACAACATATGGCCAGCAGCTGGATTCGAACCCCTGACCCTCTGATCATGAGTCACAAACCCTAACCACTTGGCCACATTCCCCCAATGAAAAGTAATAATTTGTTTTTTTTTGGCAAAGCAAGTGACACATCTTTGTATTGAATTTAATGGCAATGGTTCATTGTTACATTTTAACAACTTTGGACTGCTGTAATGAAGAACAGTGAACTTCCAAATCCACGAAGCATGTGGCATGAATGACTAAACAATTCTAGAAATATGAAATGACAGTATCCATGACACGATGTATTTATACAATTGTTGTATGCAGACGATGGTGTTTTGTACACCCGGGGGTTGCCACTATCTCCTTAGGTTGTACAAAACCCATGGACTACATTCGCAACAAATGACAAGTGTAATTTTGTTTTAAACCACAGCATTATTTTTGATAACTGTTTTTAGCCTTCCAAAATTAATAATAATATTATAAATAAAATATAGTACAATTCACCAACCCAAATTCTTTGTTTTGTGTTGACACCCGTACATATTTCTGATTCTGAAATTCAATAGTTTGTTTATTGATATGCGTGTCTGCATCACACATGCGTTGTCAATGTTGACCTTGTGTACGGGGTCTATACCAACAGGATTGTACAGAGCAGCGTGGACAGAAATATTCAAAAGTCTTTAAGAACAATCACTGTGATGTACCTGGGTATCATGAGGTGATGTTTCCACAGGGTCCTTGGGTCGTCAAATGTGATATTTAAATCGTCAAACGTGAACTTTCCTTGACCACTGAAATTTCAAAATCTTTTTAACATGGTATAATAAGCGGTGATGTGCTCTGTGGGGACCACTAGGTAGTCACACATAAATTTCTGAAATAGGTCAAACGAGCAGTTTTCAACTGGAGCAATTTCATCTTCTTCTTTTCTTTCTTACCCAGGACCCAAGACTGGCCGACTGTTCTCCTTCGGCAGCGTTAGTGACAGCAGCGCCACAGATATGGAATACAGCGAGCCCTCGCAACCATCAGGTGTCATGCCGGATGTAGTGCCTACCCCGTCCCCATCCACCACACAGTGGCATAGCACTCCCGTTCAGAGGAGTAGTAAGTATATGTCCAGCCTTAAACATTGTGGTTGCAGCATACATGTACATCATAGAGTTAAATGTATCTTTATCTTCAAGTAAACTTGAATCCTCGATCCTGAGTGGTCGATCCAAGGCAACAAGCCGTGCTACATATAACCATGTAGCACGGCCATGGTCCATACCGCACTCTGCGTATTGCGCTATTCCAATATGCGTGCGCCATTCCGTACAAACACGCACGTGTAATAGGATAACCACTGAAAGGTGCGTGTTCAATCTTTTTAGTGCGTCAAGTTTGCTTGAAGATAAATTGTGCCCAACATACCATGTGGGACACAGACGCACTACATTATTCCGTGTTCCACTCGCGCTCGCGGGTTAACTAATATTAAAAATCGAGAGCACACTCGCTATGCTACGACGGATGTGCCAACAAAGGCACACAAAACGGGCAAAACGCAGAGACAATGGTCAAAACGCAGAGACAATGGGCAAAATGCAGAGACAATGGTCAAAACGCTGAGACAGTGGGCAAAATGCAGAGATTTTACGCACTGAAAGTGCGCACATCCGGGTATTTCACAATTGTTACTATGTTCTAATTATAACACCTGGTTTTGCCCACTTACAAAATGGCCGTCCCGCGTCCATGTTGGCACGTGTACTCTTTAGTTTATGACATATAACTCTGTGATGTACATTTTTCTACCTCTTTCCTAGGTTTTACTTCAACCTCAGCCTCAAAAGCAGATCACAGAATGTCAACTTGCTCCCTATAATCTTACTTAGTCCCATAATAAGAAGGACTGGATTTGTTTTATACTTGGTGATTTCAATGTTTATACATTAATTGCAACTTTTAAGCCCAATCCTGCTCCTAAACAGCAATATTTTTTAAGATAACCGTGCACGTTGAATGGGTATGATTATCACCTTGAACCTACACACAATCCCGCACATGCCTGTTTGTTTATGGTGTAAATCAAGGATTTTCTATTATTCCTCTTCCCTTTTCCTTTGTTTGTACTCTTTTTTGCAACAGCCCTCATTGGTTTTGTACACGTTTTCTAATCAAGGTCATCTTCGATTCGGTTCCTGTCCTGGATTCATTGATGATGTTGCACATCACATTTGTGTCCTCAATTTACACCATAAACAAACCCACCCAGTCGTGTTTTACTATACTCTCGAGGGCAATGCTTTGTGTTTCCCTTTGTCCCTGTAATATAACACTCTCCCATAGACTAAGCACACAAACTTACTACAGAGGACCGTTTCAACAAAAGACCCAACTCCCAAAGAATTAAGGGATCTGTTGTTCTCCCTTTGTGTGTCGGTCCTTGGGGGTTATGTAGAACACGTACACATATTCACATTAATAACCATGTGCCTTAAAAATACATGTTTATAGTACACATTGAATTTAAAACCCAAATCTTTAACAAATATTAAATTATACTTTTTTTTTGGCAATAGGCTACCATAAAACCTCATTACCATAGCTTCACATCGGCAATATTCCTTTCACTTTCTTTCCATAATCCCTTTAGAGAATCGTCGAACCTCCAGACACATGCTTCGTCTCAGCCAGTCCATGCTAGACGTCCCCGAGACCTTAGATCTCCACGTCCACCTGCTGGACCTCTCAGCCAATCGCATCACAGACCTGCAGCAGTTGGCCCGATCAGAGGACAAGTTGATGGAACAGTTTGCCTTCCTGGAGAAGCTGGACCTGAGCAATAACGCCCTGGACGAACTTCCTTCTCAATTGACCCAGGTAAAACGACGGGCAGCGCATACTGTCCAAAACGTTGAGTTACCCCGGTTCATATTGGAACCTCACAAAAGAGATTTGTCACATGATATGGTGCATCTTTGAATTTGTATAATGAGAGCCGAGCATTGCCCTTAGTGATCCTGAAATCTTATCAGCTGCTATTTGCCAGGACGATACAGTGTTTTGATTGGCCTATAGTTCTCCAGCATGCCTTCAGGTCATGCACGCGGAACCGAGTGCTCTATTTATAATATTTGTATATGTATGAATATGTAAATTATATGTATGAATATGTAAATTATATGTATGAATATGAAAATTAAGTCGACTACTGTGTCATAGATATAGCAAAGATATGCGCTAACAGGGTTCGACCTTAACTTTTTTTATCACTAGCCAGCCGGGCTACTGAAACAGACTCTTAACCAGTCCGCGGGCATTTTCACTAGCCCGCATGTTTTCCTTTTATAGAGTGTCTCATAAACAACAATGGCAATCTTGTCAACGTTTTGAATGAACAGATCTAATAATTTAACCCTAAACAGTCAATAAAATTAGACAAAAATTGATACAGAATTTCTTTCTGAATTTTATGATTTATTTCTTCCTGTCCTTTCATCTGTGTCGTAGCCCAATAATTTTTTACTCGCCAGCCGGGCTAGTTAAGGAATACTTTGACTAGCCCGCCGCTGTTTTGACTAGCATTTGGCTAGCAGGCTACCGCTCAAGTCAAACCCTGGCGCTAACCCTGTAGGCACAGATTCCAAAGTAACGGAATGTACCCAATTCGTTCCCTTACTCTTGAATCGGGTAACCATCAGTGCAGACATTTTTGCCAAAGTTAACAGATTTTCCCTCATCAACAGATTTTCCCTCAAAGTAGCCATGAAAGGTTAATTTTATTTTCCCTAATGCAGGAGGAGACATTTTGTAGGATGGCTGCAGTTTGTGATATTCAAATGTGATCAAACTTGATATCAAACTATCACATGCTCAGCTTATGAAGCACATAACCGCAGGAATCAATCACTCTTTACAACTGAAAAGACTGTTTCCGTAGACTATTTCTGAGTTAACTGCGGTGTTTTGTTTGCATGACAGGCGCTGCCTAGGCTTCAGCATCTGGACCTGAGGAACAACCAGTTTCAGACCCTGCCTGTGCACCTGTTTGGCAACGGCAAGCTACAGACGCTAGACATGTCTGGGAACAAGGTAAGCTATCTGTTTATCATATAAGGGTCGATTCAAGCTACCTGATCAAAACTCACCAACTGCACTGCATAGATTTATTTAAGTTCATATTCTTATCACTTCAATTTTATTTTTTATCGTTAATTTTTCCCAGTGTATGTTTTCTTCCGATTTTTGTCTGTTCTATGAATCCTGTTTTGTTCACATCATGCTCTCCGAAGACATTGTAACAATTACATTTTTGATGTAATTTTATGGCCCTTGATCGTGAAAAATTCATTTTATTGTAATATCTTGCAATATTTTTGATGAAATACAAAGATGACTCCCTTAATTTACTGCATGAATCCACAGTGTGACATCATCTCAACTTAACCATACGTACTCCACACGATGTAGCATATCATGAATGGAACTGGAAGTTAACGCAAATGGAATGTTTAGCCAATGGGCGTTTGTAATCAGTGGTGAGTGCGTGTGTATGACAAAGTCACTTACGAACTGGAGAGGGCTCTCTCACTCGCCCATATGACCCGGCCTACATCCGGGTACTAGAAAGTCAGCAGTGCCATTGTAGTAGGTAAGGATCTTATAGAGCCGTGCGCAGTAGTTGTAGTAGGCAAGTCTTCAAAGCTGTGATGGATGGCAAAAACTGTGAGGAAAAAACGCGGAGCCAACAGCCAGTGCAGGGTCCCCATGATTATGACAGCCATACACGGCACAGGTAGTGACCATTATGCCATTTGATAAAGAACTTGCAGTTATTTTACGTGAAAATAAGCCCTACTCTCTAGTTTGCAATGCACAACGTGCTTGCTAACCAAACGCTTGCCTACTGCAATGGTGGTCAATCAAGGGAAAACTGGATGGCACATGGTACTTTGAGGTCATACAATCAGACCCTATACGTATTTTTCTTTATTGTATTGATTTTATGTCAGATCAACGACGTGAGCGAAGAGCCTCTTGAAGTGTCGTTTACACTGATTGACTTGAACCTGAGCAATAACTGTATTCAAGAATTCCCCATGTGGTTAGGACAGTATGCTCCGGCATTGGCTACCCTCTCACTAGCAAGGTAGGTGCTCCAACTCAACTTTCAGAGTAGATGTCATTATGTGTGGGTGGAGCGTGTGATCGATACTCGGTTTATTGGGCCTTTAAATGAAAACATCTATGAAACATGGTTGGGTGTGGATGATTAAATGGAGAAAAGGAGAGTATTGAAGACAACATGGCATATGTAAGTCAGGTAAAAATTCATTATCCAGTCTGCTTCATCTCAAATTGAACTGAGGAGTTGTGGGAACAACAAGGGGGGCTTTGAGACGCTTCGTGGCCGCAAACGCAATGGTCCTTTTCAGTTGTTTACGTCGTGTTTAAGCTAATGTGCACATGCTCAAAATGACGCAAACAATAGCAAAGGACCGGTTTGTTAGCTGCCACCAAGCATCTCAAAACTCTTCAAGGATAATTTTGCTTTCTCACAATCTTTGTTGTCTAAAGGGATGGGAAAGGCCTAGTGGTTAGGGTTTGTAATTCGTTATCAGATGCTCAGGGGTTTGAACCCAACTATTTTGTCCTTGGGCAAGCCACTTCATCCCCACTTGCCTCTCTTCACCCAGGAGTATAAATGGGTGCCGGCATTAGCTGGGGAGTAACCTGTGATGGACTAGCATCCCATCCAGGGGGAATAGAAATATTCTCAGTCGTTTCATGCCACTGAAACCGGAGATAAACGCCGGCCTGATGGGCAAGATAGGCTCAGAACAGACTTTACTTCTACTTGATTTTGTTGTATACAGAAACAATCTGAAGGAGTTACCAGCGATGTCAATAGAGCTGACTAGGCTTCAAACCTTGGACTTGTCTCATAATGGGCTGTCACACATCCCGCCAGAATGCATGTGGCATTGCAACTCTCTGGATTACCTCAACGTCTCGTGCAATCAACTCAGTAAGTTCATCTGAGTTTGTAGAGTTTATCGAGAGAAGTGGTCCTGGGTTCAAGACATATAGGGTCATTTTTATTTATCAAAAAGTAGTCTATTTAATTAATATCAAAAAGCTGGCTTGAGTTAAATATTGTATTGATACTAAACACCCCCTGAAATTACTCCGTTTGGCTTGCTGTTATTGAGAAGAAATCAAGAAATTTGGGGGATTGCCAACGATCAGCCAATTGACTGATCTGTAGAAATAAAGAGTGCTGTTGACAAATTTTATGACCAAAAGGTTGTGAACGATTTTTCACTGTTTTCTGGAAAAGTGTAATATCCACTGAGCTGAAACTTCAACAGGCTATGTTTTGAACATTCTTCTTTGAAATTTAAGTGGTGTTTTTATTGGAAACAAGCAAAATGCATGAAATGCAAATGTTCCTACATATGCCTTTCATTTCAAACTCTGTGCCAAAACAAGAGAATAAATTGCAACTTGCCCCCCCCCCCAAAGTTGCAAACTCAGTTGTGAGATTGTAATAAAAAGCTGTTTTTTTGAAAAATATGTGGGTGTTTTGCAAGATTATTTTTGCTCGATGACAAACATATTAAGTGTCATCTGATGAGCGTTCCCAGAATGCACCACATTTGACCTTGACGTCCTGTCGTGATTTCACTTCTCCAGAGAGTCTACCCGAGGAACTGGGAGAGTTGCTCTGCTCCCTGACGACGCTCAAGATGGCCGTCAACAACTTGGCGCTACCCGAGCCTTACTGCATCCCCAAAATGATCCTACAATTACCATGGTAACCAATTCCTCAAATTCATCCCAGGATTCCAAAATACAAAATACACCGTACAATTATATATCGTGACAGCGCCACCAAGTGCCAGATAGTGGGAAGTGTGTCCTTGCCCCCTAAAGGGTGTAGATCTGTAAATAGGCCCAGAATTGCCTACGCGGGCCGAATCACAATTTGCCTGCCCTCAAATTCTTCAGTATTAGAGCATTTGTTAAAAAGAAGAGTGGAAGCTGTGCAGAGGACTGCAAGCTTGTATTTCTGTGAAATTTGGATGAAATTAGGCCCTAAAATGGCTTTATTTTGCAATGGAGCGTAGGCGTCCATTTTCGATGGGCTTCAGGATTGCTTTTAGGGGTGATCATCTTTGGATGGAATTTTCTCCCAAACGTCATCAGTTAAACCCCCTGAAAAAGTTAACAGAAAATGAATGATGATGAAAAAAGATTTAGTTTGATGGGTGTCTCAAACACCTTGTAGAGTTGTGAGAATTTTAAAATAGTTTTTGGAAGTACGCGTAATTACCATTGCCGTCTATGGGAGTTGATTTGCAGGTCGCACTCTTAACTCACCTTTTGGATTTCCAGTGTTAGAAAATTTTCAGCTTTTTTCCCTCATTTTGTTTCTTTTCAAAAGTACTAAACCCCTGAATTCCTTCATTTACAAAATGAATTAAATGTCTCCATTTAATGACGTAGTTGCACCTATCCCAAACAGAAATCTTAACAAGTTGAAGGCCTAATGATTTTATTAATGTGTCTCCCAGGTTGAGGAGCATTGATTTGAGCAACAATGGCTTGACTGGTGTCCCCCCTCCAAAAGAATGGAAGAGTCAAGGTTTGCGGGAAATTCAGCTTGGACACAATAAGATCAAGAAGGTAAATCTTGTGTGTTAGTCTTTTTCAAGTTTTGGCTAATTAGTGCAGCTCTATAACGAGTTGGGTTGAGTTTGTGTTTTACTTTGTTACCTGACTAATTGAATTTTAAATTTTCTCAAGCGGGGATTTTAATTTTAAAGTTGAACAAAGAAATGCTCTGGAGCGGGGTTTGAACCTGCATACTCTTGATAGCACTGGATTGCCCTTCCAGTGCTACAAACAGTGCTGTCCAGCCCTATGTTGGTGGTTCCCCATTTTGTCAATGGCCTTGTTCAAGGGGTGCTAGTCAGAAGCCATGAACCAGCTTGCCATGCAGCCAGGAATCATGCCATAGTCACAATGCTAGCACCATTAGCAATACTGCAAACCAAGGAGTAGCAAACGGGGATCACTAGCAAAGTGTGGAATTTGTTAGAAGAATTATCCTACTAAACTTTCTCATTTTTGTTTTAAAGTGTGAAATAAAGCATTTATAAACTTGCATTCATAAATACCTAGTACAGTTTACCCATTCCTATTGGTCGAGAGCCTGTCACGTGGCCGGTCTTAAACGGATGATAAAGACATGGCTGGCTGGTCTTAAATACTTTTCCAGTGTCAAATGAAATTTGGACTCTTAAAAATCCAGTGCCTCTCTTACCGTTTTATTGGTTGAACGTTTACAATCCTCACGTAGGCATGTGCAATACTACCAGTGAGTTAGTACTTTATAGTCCTAAATTTACAACGCAACGCCCCAGGTGCATTCTGCGTGACATTGCGCAGTATGCGCAACGCGCGCGCCAATCTCCATAAAAGGAGTTGTTTACATCTTACTCGTGAGCTGGACACTCCATTATTTAGCTAGAGGGGTATTTAACAAAACATGAATAGAACTTGTTGAACAAAAACATTTTTTTACCGAAAATTTTTGATTTTTTGACCAAAAAGGTATTTATGAATGGGAATAAATATGTGCTTGGTCGGTATTAATCACTCTGTTTAAGACCGCTTGGAGTCTGGGTGCTGATAATTACCCGAGCCCAACTTAAACAGAGTGATTAAAACCTCCGAAGCACACATTTATTCCCTTATTAATTTGTGAATCTTCGCTTCTTTTCTTAACCATATTTTTTTTTCACACGAATGTTATAGCTTGATCTTAGCGACAACATCCGCTCTTGGCAAAAATTGGAACGCCTTGGACTGAATAACAATCAACTGTCTCAGGTAACAAGCTTCAAAGGATTTTTTCTTCTTCAGATTTTTAGGTTACAACTGCTTTGATCACTGATCAAATTGTCAACACACATACATTTCTAGTCATGTTTTACTAGGACCCTTAGTGTTTGGACTTTAAGTTTGTCTCAACATGTCCCATAAGGTTTGTACACAAAAACTTTCCGAGGACTTGGTCTCAGACGCAACTGGGCAACACATTCGTTTAATTTTGTAGTTCAGTAGTAATACAAGACACTGCACTCGTAATCGGTATTTATTTCTGAGACATTAAGCTGCTTCAAGAATCCTTTAAAGTAATCCTTCCTAAATATAATTTTAAGACAGTGGTGTTAGATCTAAAAATAAAAGAAATTTGACGCAAGTGTTGAAAGGGCCAAACAGAATCTGATAATCAAATTGATTTGCAATGGCCCTGATGCACGAGTTGGCCATTTTTGTTGAGTTCCCTGAATGTATTTCATAAATTGTTAATGGTTGATTGGGATGGCGCCGGACTATTTATGCAGCCTTATTTTACTGTCATATTTTTTTTTTAAATCTGGCTTAAGACATGGAATGCCTAATTACAAATGGTAAATTATTCAATGAAGTAGACTTGAATTAATGAGTAATTTACTTGCTTTCATTTCTCTTCGCAAGTGCCAAAAATGAAGATTTTACCTCACTTTCAAATCAATATTGTCGACGCAGGCAAAAGGCCAATAAATTGCATTTTCATTACCTTTAGACTGTTTTTCCTTCTTGTTTGATATCTGTGTCTGATTGGGTTTTGGGTTGTCATGCCAATAGGTTCCCAAGGAGGTGGGCCAGATATCCACATTGACATCCCTAGACATCAGCTACAATCCCAAGATCACCTGCATTCCTGACGAACTGGGTAGACTTTCAAGGCTGTGGGAGGTAAGCTCAAAGAGTGGGGGGGGGGGGGGGGGAATCTTGTCGTTGAGACAGATCTTGTCTTTGAGACAGATTGGAGTCAGTTTGGCAAAGTGGTTCTTTCCTCGCCTTCCACCTCACTGGTTCGGATTCCTGTACTGGTCCATATGTGGAATGGGTTTTTCAGTCCCTACTTGATTCCGGGGGTTTTCCCGAGAATATTCTTCAGGAGTTTTCCTCCCTCAAAAACTAGATATTTCTCCATTGGCTTCTCCCTGTAGTTTCCTAAAGAGATATTTGAGGTGAAGTGGTACATTTATATCAGAAAACGAAAGGGCATTCGCGCTAAAGAATCATGTGCAAAAAAAATGGAACTTATTTAATGGCTGATGAGTTGGCTGTTATTTAAATGTACATTATGATAATTTAGGAATTTAAACCGATTTTCAACTCGGCATTTTAAACTTGGTGGTAAAATCTGTACCAAAAGTTATTCACAGTGTCTTTCTCAAGGCAGAAATAGGTGGAAATGGGGTAATTTTCTTTTTAAGCTAATTTTCCAGTGACTGGGGTCATTTTGAACAACTGCAGCAGTCGATCGTTTAGGTATATATTGGCTCATAATTGTTTCAAAAGTTCAGATAATTTAGCCACATCTCTGGAATCGCAGTGTGACTTGGGTGTGTGTTGCATCGTTTTCATGAGATGCTGATTTGTTTTTGGCAATTTTGTTTTCTTTTGCCTCTATGTCCTATTTAGCTTCCTCTGGATGGGCTCAAGTTGGACCTCGACCCTTCCATCCTCAAAGGCCGTACCAAAGACATCATTGGCTTCCTGAATCAGAAACTCAAACAGGTACAATCATCCAAGAGACAAAAGGCTGGGCCTGTATAGTTCTATGGATTCATGAAGGAGTAGAAACAACAATAATATAATAACAGTGGCGCACGTATCCACCAGGACTGATGCTGAAGGCGCTTCATCATTATTACCCCTGCTCATTGGGCCCATGAAACATTCCTAACACCATCTCAGCTCCCTGGGGAGTTTACAGCTCGATGCTGCCATTTTGACGCAAAGCAGCTAAAAACAATCACAATAACCATCTCTGGCCTCACAGGTACCCATTTACTCCTGGGTGGAGAGAAGCAGTGAGTGACAAAGTGCCTTGCCCAAGGGCACATGCACCATGACACTAGGCTGGACTCGAACCCACAACCTGCAGCTTTATCCGCAGACCACGAGTCCAATGTCCTCAACCACTGTCACTTGCCACACAAGTTGCTAATGGGTTCAGCAAGCTTCTTGCTTTATAATGTGCTTTGTATCTTGAAAAAAAACTGTTGGGGAAATCCTGAAAATATATCCTTTTAACTCACAATATGAGTTTCAAACCTTCTGAAAACATGACACCAAAACAATTTTACCAAAGCTCATGCATCATTTTATTTGTTTACCTCCTCTCCAAACGGCTAGTCTGTTCCCTACTATCGCATGAAGCTGATGCTTGTCGGGTATGGAGGCAGGGGCAAGTCCACACTGTTGGCCAGACTACAGAAGCTGAGGAGAAGTAAGAAGGAAGCCAATGTAGCGACAGTTGGAATCAAAGTGTCTGACTGGAAGTAAGTCTCTTCTAAATTTATTTGAGTGATCCGTGTTTGCTATTTCCCGGGTTTGCAGCATTGCTAATGTTGCTAGCATCGTGACTTAGGACATGATCCTGGCTATATGGCATGTATCAGTTTATGGCTTCTGACTAGCGCTCCTTGAACAAAGACATTGACAGAGTGGGGAACCACCACCATTGGGCTGGATAGCTGAGTTGGTAAAGTACCGGAACGGCAATCCAGAAGTCGTAGGTTCAAACCCTGCTGCAGTTAATTTCTTTGTTCAACTTTAAATTATTTTTAAGGCACCTAGTCAGTTTACCTGGGGGATTTTGAAAACGTTTCAAATTTAATCCAAATCAGTAGCAGTCCTTGAAGAATTCTGGTCGAAAATACATCAAGTTCTTTCAATAGTTGGTATCCCAATGAAGGTGCACATGAAAAGTTTTGGGTTCACTGTCCTTGATGTCCAAAGAGGCCATTGAAGTATTGTATTGGATATGAATGTTTTTAATGCAGCAAAACACTTATTTATAAAAAATACTGATTGAAAGTACATCCCGATTTATCCAAAGTTAGTAGTTCCTTGGAGATGTACGTAAAACATATATATGGTAGTGGGCACATACCAGTTTCATCTTTGCGTGAGTGTCAGGCATTGGCAGCAATGCACTTGAGTCCCTCCGAACTCTCTCTTTGTAACCAAGCGAGGGGGTAGTTGTGCGCGGAGTCCCTTCTCTGGCTGATGTTAGAATCCTCGAATCAGATTGGATTTCTATATTCCTTGACTACAGGATACCAGTGAGGTGTAACAGGAAGACGGTGGATTTCACCCTAAATACCTGGGACTTTGCTGGGCAGGAGGATTTCTACAGCATGCATCCGTGCTTCCTGACGGGACGAGCTCTCTTCCTGGTAAAAAAAATAAATACTCTCACACCTACAAACCCCACTTGACACCCTCCCACCTCCGCCCACCCCCATCCTCCACCCCTACCCAACCCAACCACCTCACCCAACCCATCCCACCTCCACTTTGACTGAAGTAATCTGCTATTTTCTACCTTGATACAATGGAATGCCATAGTTTACGGCATGACATCCATATAAATGTTTGGTAAAGTGGTCGTTCAGTATTGTGTACAGAAGTATGCGTACCAGATTCAACTCTCAAAAATGGACCTTCATTGCCACATTTTTACTGGTGTCCATGACAACAAAATCCCTAGTTTCTGTCTGAATTTGTTTCTCTTAAAATTTGCACTTGTTTTTCCATTCCCACATATAGAACAACGAATGCCCTGAAAAGTTACAGTATATAACTAGGAAAACACCAGAAATTACCTTTGCCCTTACCACTTTTTTATATGATTGAATTTTGCATAGAGGAGCATGTGAATTCAATATTTGGTTTTGCCCTTCACCAATGCAACTTCGTAAGCACTAGTACACGCAGTGCTGTCCGAGAGAGAAAAAAAACAGGCTTACTCATGGGACTCGAACCCATGACCTTCTGTTTATTAGTGCAGATACCATACCACATTGAAGGGGTCCTCTATCATTGTACAGTGACAGTGGTCTGTATTGTGCATAAATTTGTAAATCAAGGAGAAACCGATCATGGATTTTGATTTTTGTTTTTACACCAAACCTGATTGTGAACTGAATTTGGAACTTGTCGCAGGTGGTGTACGATATTAGCAAAGGTCCCGATGAGGTCAAGACATTACGGCCGTGGCTGCTGACCATCCAAGCCCTGGCCCCATCCTGTCCAGTGGTGGTGGTAGGAACCCACAAGGATAAGATACCCAAAGGTTAGTATTGCCTAGAAAGAAACAACTGTAAGAAATAAGATATATTTTTATATAATTTTTTTTTTTTTGAACTTCCTTTTTTCAAATTGTGGGTTTTTTTTTATGAGTTGTAAAAATAAAAAGTGGTTAATCAAAATGTACACAAGTTGTGTAATTTCTCATACATCTGATAAACTCTGTATATTTTGAGCAGTTTTGTTTACTTTTAAAAAGATTTTGAAAAAAAATCTTAATAAGATGACGTCCTCTTAAAAACCAGATAAATTTAGCATGTCACTGTCTACACTAGATTTGAGAGACATTTGTTAAAGGGAAAATACAACATTTGCAAACATCAAAAAATAAAACTACCAAATCATTTTGAAATACCTTGCTGGCCTGTTAGTGAATGACAGTGTAAAGCATCCTGTAAAATCATGGCACCTGGTATACTGTCATTTTCAAGAAAAGTGGTATTTTTGTATCAATTTCCAACGCTGATCGGCCGATCAGCGTTGGAAAAAACAGGCTTTTTTTCAAATACTGGCCCCAGTTGACTTTACACTTGTTTGCAATCGATTACACACCTATGAACGGGTACAAGCCAGCTAGACTGGTTCCTTGACCTTACAATTCCCCAATATATGTAAACTGCTCTGTTTCTTCTTAAATGGAGTCAGGGAACCAGACTACAGGAAAATGATTGTTTTTCTTGGTTTTTATAGCATTTTCAAACCCAAAACCTCAAAAAAGTCAGTGTAACTATATTTGCTATATATTTCCAACCCCCCAATTCCATCCATTTCTGAAAATTACAGCAAAAGCAAATGATGTATATTCCCTTTAATGAAATTATGGAACATTGAAATGAGTGAAGGAAGCCAAGTTTGTCATCTGCTAAAATGTTCATTTCTGTTCAAACAACAAACGTTTGCTGATTGAACATGTAACTGAAACAAGTCAAAATTTCACATTTTGTATACTGACAGAAACTACTTCTCAGCTGACTATAACAACAATGCTTCTCAGCTGACTGTTGCTTACCAACAAAATTGACTTGGGTCTTTTTTTCTTCAACTAAGCACCTTCAGGAAATTGCTCTAAGGTCTTTGTTATCAATAAATGTCCTGGACCTTCCTTTCTTGACAGACAAGGAAGAAGAATTCATCAGTGATATGGAGATGAGAGTGCGGAGTATCTGCCAATCACCAGGCTTCCCAGAGATCATGGGTTTCCGAGCTGTCAGTTGTACCAGCGAGAACGAAGGCCTGGAAGCCTTGCGCCGACTCATCGTGGAAATTGTTGAGACGTAAGGCGTTCACACAGATGTGTGTTCTTTTATTTACTGAGAAATATTTGCAATTACATGGAAACTTAGCTACCGATTTAATGAGAAGATCCTTGCTTAAAGTGAAGATAGGACTGGTACCAAATAGGCTGTGAAATTATTACGCCTGAAATGTTATCTTTAGGAAGAAAACAATCATTGAAGGTGGTTTAAGAAAATGTGCCAGGAGGCACAGCAGGTTTTTACGTGTTAACAACGGAATCCAGTTATGAGCTCCAAAAATTCTGCATATATTTCTCTCTGTTTTCTCAAAATGTACAGTATCCACTGAGCTCAAACTTCAGCAGTAACTTGTTATGCACCCTTCTTAAGATCTGGGGCAATTTTGTTGCTTCAAATGACAAAAACATGCACAAAAAGCAAATAACTCTAGGTACCTTTAAAGGGGACAGCTACAACTGGAACTGTGCTTCATCATCAAAAACTGTAAACAGGCATGAGAATCTTTCCTCTTTGAACAGGACTTCCTGTTTTTTGTTGCCCAAATGTCCACGTTTTTATTTCTGTTGAGCCTGTTTTGGGGCTTTTTTTGCAGATTTCACATCTTTTTTTCCTGATTTTGCACAAGTTTCCTGTTTTTATATATTGAAATTCATTCTCATGCCTGAAAACAGAAGCCACTCCCACCTGAGCAATAAAAAGTGTTTACTCTTTGATACTTGGCACCAAGACAGATGTTCAATACAATGTTGATAACTTCTTTTTCTCTCATTCACAGTTGTAAGATTAAAGGTCAAGCAGTCTTGGGCCAGATGATTCCCTACAGTTACCAGGTAGGTCAACTTATGTCACCACGTTGTCATTGCTCCATGGAAAGAGACACACTGCATACGCAGGAAACCTTACAGATGGGGTTTGTGGGGTATTTGCATTGTTCTCCTTTTCTCCCTCGCATTTCAAATTTCTCTTCTGGGATACCATTAGACAAAGACCAATTAATAGGATACAGTTGTTCCCTTTAGCCCCTGTCACACCTTTGCGTATCCTAATTCCTTATGAGTTCCTTATCAAAAATTTTCAATACGCAGCCGTACGCTCAATTAACGTCGAAATATTTTGATCACTTTGACTTATGTGCGACGCACATCTAGCGTACAAGTAACGAATTCAGCGCATCCATTGCGTATGAGTTGCGTATGCAGTGCACAACATTATTTTTCGGGCTGCGAATAGGTCAGTTTGCAGTGCGCATGCCTAGCGTATTCCGGATGCACCCGACTTATGCCGACCACATGCTTGACGCACTTTTGAGCGTATTCCCGCCGCATTTCCGCCGCTCGCCGTTCAGCGTACGTTGCATCTGCGATGCAGGTACGCTATGTATACGTCCAATACAGGCGGCTCATATGCTGACGGGGTGCGTCACGAACACATAGCGTACTCGTAACGCACTCGACCGATGCGGGACCGATGCGCTGCGTATTTATAACTTATGACCTGCGTAACAGCGTACGCAGCGTAGTTTTGTGCATGTCCAAAACTATCCTGCATACTGGGCCGTACCATGCGTATATCTGCGTACATAAAACCTACACAAAACGATAGAGATGCATATGAGGTGCGTATTGTGCGTACGACTGCGTATGAAAAAAATGTCAATGCGCAACTCATAAGGAATTAGGATACGCAAAAGTGTGACAGGGCCCTTTGTGCAAGTACCCCATAAGGGCAGTCCACAAAAATACACAGGGTCACATGCTCGTGCAAAGTATGAACAACTCATTTTTGTTCTGAACGTTAAAATCCCTGCCTCATCGTTGCCTGAAGGCGCTGTCTGCAATGTGTTCAAATGTCTCTCCCATCATTCTCTGCCAACTTGCGCTTTGTACCCAATAGGCATTTTTCATGCTGCCACCATTGCAGTCATGTTCCCTGTATCCAATAACAGTGCTGAATGATAATGTTTTGTGAGCAGAAAGGAACCAGACTATTTTTCCTTCCAGCCTCACTTTGGTTACGTTGATTTGAATGGGGAAAAATCAAGACAGCTGCAACATGATAATGGTCTATTGGGGGTATTAATGCTTCAAGTCTATCAGTACAAGTCCTACAAGATATCCTCGGGGTTTTTCTTGTCTCATCAGCGTCTTGAGGAGTTACTGAAGGAGGAAGCAAGGAGGATGAAGGAGAATAAGGAAGCACCTGTGGTGATGAGAAGACGGTTACTGCAGCTGGTACGAGAACACTCCCTGCAGTTAGACAGTGATGAACTATCTCAGGTTAGTAAGTTAGAATGGACATGTGGAGTCATGCCAAACTCTGTCAAAATGACAATGAAAGCGCTTCACAGAGATTAAAAATAACAAGAAATGAAATTAAAAAACCTAAGAAAAATTGTTACAAGAAAATGTTTGACAATGTAACGGTGACCAACTCAGTGTGATTGTACATAGGTTTCGACCAGTCCAATGAAACGTGGTACTTATGTTCTTTAGCAAGGTGCTTTACTACAATTTCCTCTCTCCACCCTGGAGTATAGTGGGTATCTGTTAGGGTAGGAACCAGACTGTACTGATTTCAAGGGCTGACCACAACTTATCTTAAATAATTTGGCTAGATTTATTAAACACTCTACCCCTTACATACATGTAGAATAAAGTTTCAAATGCCAGAAGTCCCAATTCTTCGTTAATTTCTTTTCAGGCTGTACGATTCCTCCACGAGACAGGAGTGTTGCTACACTATAACGACCCTGTGCAGCAGCTGAAAGAGATGTACTTTGTGGACCCTGAATGGCTGTGCAAGATCATGGCACTGGTGGTGACTGTGAGGGAAATCAACCCTTTCATCAGTCCTAACGGGGTAAGGGCTGAGCTTTGCCATTCACAGTGGACTCCATTTAGGAACTATAGAGGGCACTTGTGTGCTTCTTGTGCGACTCGGTACGTGACTGCAGTCTTTCAGTGGTCAAATTTCTTTCAGGGAGCCAGCTGTCGGTAATCATGGCACGCGTATTGTTCTACATGTTCTTTTCGTTGTTCTGTGTGCGCACGTGGCTTATCACGCATGTAGACAATCCGTTCCGTACATTTTGTACACAAGCTCTGATGGGTCGTTTATCCTTGTGTAGAGGATCCGTGCCATATTGCAGTACCGGTCACTGCCTAAGATTCAAACCAGCCAACCGACTCTTGTGAGCTGTAATAGTAAGCGGGTGGTCTTTGGTTCAAGCTCCACCTGAGTATATGAATTTATTCTTGAAAGCCCTCAGTCTGCACTGAGTAAACAGTGAAGGGCAAAACTCTATATTGAAATAATCCACTGAAACTGCCTTTATGTGAGTGGATTGAGTCCACAACTTAAATCAACATCAGGTATTTCTACCAGCAAGGGCCTAGATATCCAGAGAGCTTACGAAATCTGATTGGGAGATGGTTGTTAGATCACTGAAAAGTTCTTTTTAGCAGAATGAAGTATTTATTCAGAATGACACAGATACACCTACACTTACTTAGCTCTATTATATTTCAAATTCCCCAGCAAATGAGGATCATTGACTTGCCTATACTCTTCACAAGATCCGAAGATCTTCCCATCAAACGACTCCTTCCACAGTACCTCAAGCTACTTGAAAAGTAAGTATTCTACTGAATATCTTGAAGGCTCAAAGTGAAGTATTGCCAATCCATTCAGCACACCAGTACTTTCAAATGGAGTTCATAAGGGAAACAATATACAGATCTTTTGCATTGCGGCCATCTTTAAATTACCCGTTTTTGTTCCGCAGGGATACGCATGAGACCTCTTGTTCATAACATTTTACGGAATTTAATAATAAAAAAACACCTCAAAGGTTGCTACTGAATGCAATGCATGTATTGACTCTGGGTTTAAGGAGCAGCGACTGAACATAAGTGCGCCCAATAGAGCATTATCATGTTGCGGCCATTTAGAATTTTCCCATTCAAATCAATGTAACCAAAGCGAGGCTGGAAGGAAAAATAGTCTGGTTCCTTTTTTGCAAAAAACCCACATTATTATTCGGTACTGTTATTGGATACAGGGAACATGATTGAAATGGTGGCATCATGATAAAGGTTTATTGTCATCGTTATCTCAACTCATTTGAGTCTCAGCAGTGCAGATAGGTGGTCAGTGGAGGTTGGAGCATAAAAAGACCAAATTAAAAAAAAACATGTCCCAACAACTAGCATCAAGTGTACGCATGTCAAACTTTTGTTTAACAGCTGTTTGCAAATAACCCATTGATGGGTCAAACAAAAGCATTCTTTCTATACAATTTGTTACATATTTTGCAAATTTTTATTACATTTTTTTGAAATTTGCATTGCAGGTTTGAGGTTGCACTTCCAATTACTGACACGGAACTTCTGATTCCTTGCAAGATGCCGAGTCAGAAACCAGCAATCAGTCTACCGTCCTCAAACAGACAAGGTGGGCACAAACTTGTCTCAAATGCTCGTTCTATCCAAATTGGAAAAACAAATGCGACCAAAGAATTGACTTTCCCTTCTGTTTGTGGAGGCCTGTTGATAAAATCTCATTAAAAAAAATCCACATCCACTGGTTTTGTGTAATCATTGTGTAAAATGAAGTCTTCTGGGGACTAATAGCAAGTTTTGAAAATCGTATGAGATTTGAGAAATGACTTGTATAAAATTTGTTCAAAGTTGCATTGTTGAATTCTACAGCGTGTCCCAATAAAGATTGTGCATGAATAAATCGCTGATTTTCTCAAAAGTTAGTCAGACTAGCTAATCAAATTTTGTAGCATTTTCAAACCTATGGTCTTGTATATAATTGGTGATAAAAAAAAATCAAGAAATCCAACGATGCTAACCAGAGATATCTTTGATTTGGTAAGGTTATGTATTTTTCGACCTGCACGATGTAATTTCTACACTTAGTATTTGCTTATATATACCAATTATTGGGTTATTGGTATGTGTTATGCAGTGCTTGAAATATTGCATGGCCTTCATGTTGCATTTGGATAAGGGTGTTCACAGATAACATTTTGGGTACATAGCATTATATGATCAAATCTAAAAGCATGTGGTAACTGCTCTAATTGCAAATTACTCGAGCGTCAATGTTGTATAGACCCTTTTGACGTTCTTTGTTAACATGCTTAACTACAGGATTCTAATGGTGCAGGATGAAAATAATATAGCCTTACAAAATCAACAATATCTCTGGTTTGCATTGATGGATTTTCTTGATATTTTCACCAATTATAAAAAAGTTGATTACCTTGTATGACCACCTTTTGAGCAAATCAGCGATTTCTTCATGCACAATGTTAATATTGGGACCCGCTGTATGCCAACCTAAGTTGGCTGGTATGGAGTATTTGATATTTGTTTGTTTTAATTGGTTCAGTTGAAATTCCAGTGCAATATCTGTGTTGGTAACCGATGATATATAAATCTATTGACTGATATTTGTGGGTTTTTTTTAAATCTTAGATCTATTACACCGAGTCTATGACATGCCGTATGTTCCAATCGGTTTGTGGTCTCGTCTGATATTGAGACTTCTCGTCTTCTCAACGCAGATGCTACAGACAGTGAGTTGTTGCCTTATTTGTTTGAGATTCCTTGAAAAACTGGATAGGGACAATTCTTTGTCAGGCTGAAAAAAATACAAAGTAAAAAAAACAAACCAGAAATTAATGGAACAAAAACTAACAAAAAAAACATACATCAATTTGAATTTACAACTGGAGGGTGACATTTTGTTAAAAATAAAAATACCTTTTTTGAAAGACTTACACAGTTCAGATACAAACAAGATACATACACACAAGTGTGTATTTGCCTGCAATCAGGGACCCCCATTGTCCCTCTTTTGTTTGTACTGTAACTTTTTAGGAAGACCTCCCATATGTTTTGTACACGAATCCAAATTGGGGACCTCTCAGGAATTGGGGACCCTATTGTCCTCTATTGTTCAACGCCCCCTATTGAATGCAGAAACAAACTCATAGGAATAAAAAGCTAAAGAAGATATCTGTTGGTGAGTGTCATAAATTATTTGAAGGAGAAATTGAAAAATATTTAAATTTTAATTTTTGTTAAGCCTTCCTCTGTTGAGTCTGCTTCCAGTGATGACATCTCCAAAGTCACCAAGTACTGGAGAGAGGGTATCTACGTCTGCTGGTCAAGGGTGAGTCTTACTCTGGCAGAAATTGGAAGGAAAAAAAAGCAATCCCCATGTTGACTTGGGTTGGATGTGAACCAGGGGCACATGAATGGAAGGCAAGAAATGTACCATTTAGTTGATCTGACTCTTCAGTTTCCATTGTCACTTACCTTGAATGAAAGAAAATGGTTGGGAAGTGTTGGCTAGTGGATAGAGTTTGTGGCTCATGATCAAAGGGTCAAGGGTTCGAATCCAGCTGCTTGTCAGTTGTGTCCTTTGGCAAGACAGTTTACCTAAACTTGCCTCTTTGTCACCCAGGAGTGTAAGTAGGCACTGGCATTAGCTGGGGAGTGATGGACTGCCGTCCCTTCCAAAGAGGATGGAAATATTCTAACTAATTTCATGCCAAGGAAAAGGTGATAAACGCTTGCCTTGCGAGTCATATTGGATTAGAACAGATGAAAGAAAACTGACCTTGCGTCATATTAAGGAAAACTTAATCAGTGAATGTACTAATCTAGAAATTGTACCCATTTTGTTTGATATCAGGAAGCATTTTTTTGTGTTGAATCGCTGCGGAAGAGCCTTGACGGTCTGAAAATCACCGTGCCACAGACTAAAGACGGAAATAGGTAAGAGCTTGTAGGTCACTACAACTGTAATAAAGCTAACGAGAGAGAAGGAATATGTTGAGATTTCATTCGAACTGTTTTAAGCTTGTAATTTTAAGAAGGGGAAAAGCAAGATCCTGGCAAGAAGTTCCACGATGAGGCGGTATGAGGGAGACATTTGAAGAGTCCTTCACTTCCTTGGAACACAAATGGTGCATTGATGTCACTAAAAACATGAGGTCACAATATTTATGACAAGAAGAAAATGGCATGTGTATTTTACATTGGTGTTATACGTCATTTGTCCAGACTGCTTGGCCTACTCTGCGATCACGTCGATGACCTGATAGAGGAATGGTTCCCAGGGCTGACTGAGATGGACCCATTGCAAGGCAAGACGTTGGTTCAACGGATCGTACCCTGTGTGCTATGTGAAGGTAGTTATCATTTGTTGATTCATTTCTCATTCTGCATTCGGCCGGGATAGACCAATTCGGGCGATTCACAATGCGGTGCACCACCAAGAGTTCACCATGGAGAGTCAATTGTTCAAGTTAAGGGTTGACAAAACACGGCCCATTTGAATGAGTGTCAGTAGACAACTTGAGCTAATTTGTTATAGATAAGGGCATAGCGTTCTGCCACCTTACACAAAACACCATATTGTTAAAAAGAAAAGAAAAGGGCAAACATATGCTCGAATCATATGCTTACGAAACTACTGACCGGAAAAAAACTAACAATTTCAAATGTCCTGTGCTGCGAATTTGTCGACCATCTCCCACAATGCACTGGGAAAAATTAACTCTCCATGGCAAACTCTTGTGGCGCACTGCATTGTGAATCGCCCGAATTAAAAACCCACTCCACATGTTAGCCCAGGCAGGACTTGAACCCTGGTCACAGAAGATAGCAGGCGAAGAAAGTTTTACTTCACCAACGCTCAGGTCATTTAGTCCAAATGAAAAACCACTCCAATGCAGTCCATTCACTAGCTGCAAAACCTTTTATTAAACAAATTTATTGTGAGAAATTTAAATGCAGTTTGTCTTAAGAGTTTTGACAGCTTCACATCTGAAAATGTAAAGTAATGAGCATTCATATGTTTGGACCATTGCTTGCCCATCAGATTGTCAGTATATTACTTCAAGAACTGCATGAATTTATTTTGATGGTTTTTTTTATTCAGCCTACTCCTTCCTCCTCTGATATTATGTCTTTCGTTTGTCCTCCATTCCTCCAAGCAGAAAACAAGATCTACCAGTTTCTTCTGGACGACCTGATAGAGAGGTCAGAAGACAGCGACTACATTGTCTGCCCTAATCATGTGGATATGCAGGTGCCGCTAAAACTGCTGGTAAGAGCTTCCATACATTCCATTAAAATACTAGTCTGAGCACCGACTCAAAATGACAGATTTTTGTGGGCAGCCGTTTAAAGTCTGGTTCTGGCCAGCGTGTCAATTGTCAGGCTGACCTGTGACGTAAGGTCAGCCTAATTTAAATACCGAATCTGACATGTCGTGCATTTCTGTTCTGTGTCTGCTTGTCAATTAGACTAAAAAGATCTATGGGTACGAAAATTTGTCACAGTGCGTAGCAACCAGTAAGAAATCAGAAGAAAAAGGCCGTTGCCTGTCCTCATGTACATGTGTGTGTTATGAGTTCAGGTTTCCAGTCTGTGAAAATACTTGCTAAAATGTGTTTACTTCCTTTGCTTGTTCAGAAAAGGTCCAAAGTTTTTTATTTTGTTACAAATTTATACGTTTATGGCTATGTTATTTCATTTAGCTATGATTGAATGCATATGAAGGTTTTTTCAATAGACGTGCCTGTAGTTAATGAAAAAAAGATAAATCGTGTTAATGGTAATTATTATCATACTCCCCAACGTGTTAGGCTCCTTCTGTGTTTGTTTGAAACCAACAAAAGATGGCAATTATTGTTATCATTTTTCTCTCTACAATTCAGGCTCCTGACGTGATGCTTGCTGACCTTGACGAAAGATTCCATATTGACCCTCAACAGTTGCACTTCACGCCAAGGTAGCTTTTAAAAAAAACTATCATCAGGCTGAAAAAAATGAGTCAACATGGGTTCTAAAAATTTTTTTTAATGATTGTAATTGCTCCGAGGAGGCTTGAAAGTTTTAAGTTTAAAGGACTTGAAAGTAAAGTTAATTAGATTTTATTTCAGTACATATTTTCCTTTGACTACAATCCCTGATGAAAACAAACCAAAACCCTGAAATAATTTCTCAATTTCTTTATATATTTTAGTCATTACGTTCTTATATTTTGTTGCATGGGCCCCTTGCAGGACATGCATTGTAATTGTACAGCTCATCCCAAAATGCCAGTAACAATTTTTGCAAGGCTCTAGTGTCGCCACGGAAACACGCACCGCCATTAATTTTATATCATTTTAACGCTTGGAACCTTAATTTATCCCTGGTAAGTATTGGTTTGATTTTCAAAAGGGTTTTGAAATGATTCGTGTTCAAATAAAGGCATGTTAAAAACAAACTCAACCAATTTCAAGGAAAATCAATCATGCGCATTGTTTTCTAATGTGGAAATGGTTCATCATGTTCATGATGTGACGTTCTCATTGCCTTTAACTTTCTGTTTCCTATTCTTTTCGATCCACGTAGACTACACCTTAAATGAATACACAATATTGTTCTTCATTTCAAGTTCAATTTTGAAAATCACGTGCAAGTATGTACCTATTCAAAAAGCGCGCTCAAAGTGTGACACGTCTGATGTATCGCATCATTGATTTTCCTTGAAATCGGTTGAGTTTGTTTTCGACATGCCTTTATTTGAACACAAATAATTTGAAAACTCTTTTTTAATATCAGACCAATACTCGTCAGGGATAAGGTTCAGATTCCATGCTTTAAACTGGTATGTAAATAATCACGGTACGTGTTTCAGTACCGACGCTAGAGCCTGGCACAAAAAATGTGCGGGTATTTTGGGACACGCTGTATACGCTACAAACAGGGAAGTAGAAAACTCTCCAAAATGTTTATTTTATAAAACTACCTATTTTTTTCAGGTGTTACACAGCAGGACATGCAGAAATAGACTGCAGAATCCAATTTCAAACAAAGCTGAAATGCTGAATAAGTTTTCAATATTCCTTGGCATTTTTTTCAGTTCTTCGCAAATGCTTGGAGATGGGAGTTTTGGATCTGTATACAAAGCCAAATACAAGGATCAGGTATTTTGAAACCTTTCAATTTTCTATGGGTATTCTATAAATTAAGGTTTCAAAGTGTGACATTTTCCTGTCCCTGTTACCTTGGTACTTTGTAATTTGCCATTCAAGTATCATTAACAATGACTTCTAACGATTGTTTATTTGTTGGGTAGGTAGTTTGCTACTCATAATCACTCTTGGAGGACGACTGCATTAAGGAGTGCATCAGAATTATAAAATCATAGATGTCAGATGTAACAGAGAGAGGCAAAAAGTGGACCCCAAAATGTATAGAATGACCCATTCTTACAGATATTTATCTGTATTCTTGTGTTAATAAGCCCTAAAAATCGCAATCACGTTGAAATTTTTTTTTTCTAAATGTGCCCACGTTAACTGACAGGAACTAATGCTTAAATAATCGTTTATTCCATGTATTTATAAATATTCTAAACTTTTATTAAAAGCCGAAATTAATTTTGGATTGTACCAATGAGCTGTCCAGCACTTTGTTTCCCATCTTCCAAATTTTCCATTTTCCATTTCTCCTTAGTATGTTGCAGTGAAGATGTTTGGCATGAGTCCAGATGTGCATCCCCATCGATTGCTCAGACAAGAGGTTTGTCTTGCATTTCCAGATCTCTATTTTCGTTTCAACTTTCTAGGGCAAGGCAATTCATGACTACAAATGTTCAGTGAAGTCATCAATAATAAATATGCATTCATAAATACCTAAGACATTTTTAAAATAAATACGTATTTATAAATACCTAAACAGTTTCTCATTCCCATTGGTCGAGAGCCCATCATGTGGCTGGTCTTTAACCGATGATAAAGACATGGCTGGCTGGGCTTTAACACTTTTCCAGTGTCACATGAAATTTGGACTCCTATGAAATCCAGTGCCTCTTACCGTTTTGTTGGATGATTGTTCACAATCCTCCCAACAGCCGCATCTGCACGACATCGTGCAGTACGCGCAACGCGGGCACCAATCTCCATAAAAGGAGTCTTACTTGCGAGCTAGACATGCCATTATATAGCTAGAGGGGTGTTTCGAAAAACATGAAGTGAAATTGTTGAACAAAAATGTTAGAAAGTTTTAGTTTTTGACTTGTTTTCACTTTTGGACCGAAAAGTTTAGATTTTTGATCGAAAAGGTATTTATAAATGGGAATAAATATGTGCTTGGTTGGTATTAAACACTATGTTTAAGACCCGTTTGGATTCTGGGTGCTGATAATGACTCCAACCGTTCTTAAACATGGTGTTTAATATCTCCCAAGCATACATTTATTTCATAACTGTTATTAAATTTGCAATACTAATTGTGAAGCACTTGGTGACGATGGTTTAAAGCGCCATACAAGCACCGCAATATCATTATAATTCAATTCCTCTTAATCCAGGTAACCATTCTGAGACAGTTGCAACATCCTAGTCTAGTCTCCATGGAAGGCGTTGGTTTGAACCCCAGGGTTCTTGTCATTGAGTTGGCCCAGCTTGGATCACTGGCCTCTGTCCTGCGCAACAAGAAAGTGACTAGTAGGAGTCTACAGCACCGTATTGCCATGCAGGTATTTAAAACTCTATTTTGTTACATGGCTCGATTCAAGTACATTAAGTGAAAACAGTTCACAGATTTAAAGTTGAGTTTGTAACAGACCTATATTTGTTGCTTTGGGCCCCAGAGTCATGATGTCTAATTTTCAAATATAGTAGAAATTTACCAAATCAGTTGATCAAATTTATGTTGCAATGTAAGTCCAAATAGTAAGTGTACATGCCAAATTTTTCAAACAAAGACTTTTTATTGAGAACTCCTTGGTATGGGCCTTTCTGTCTTAAATCCTAGTTTTTGAAGCTGAAATGAAAAAAATATTTCAAAATTTGATAACTTCTGGGAAATTGAAATCAACCAATACGTTTGCTTCTTTGTGTATTAGATGCTTAATGTATTTGTGTATTACCTGCATTGTCAAATATGAAAGTTTGCACACATGGTCATTGATGCTATTTTTCGTCTTTTATTTTCTCATCTACTGTAACAGGTTGCTGAAGGATTGATGTTCCTCCATGAGCATCGCATCGTTTACCGCGACCTGAAACCAGACAACATCCTCATCTTCTCTCTCTCATTGGGAACTCTGGTCAGTATATGCCCTTTGACCCCTTGGAATATATATTGGGTTAGGAGTAATGGTTTCCATTTTATTGGGAATTCGAGTGTTAAAAAATGGACTAGGTGTCAGATTCACTTATATTTATTATCTTTGATATGTCTACTACAAAGGTGTTCTTTTTTTTAATGAAAAACAATTGGCATCTTTCACTATTGAAGTAAAACACGGATACCCGGGCACCCGTAAAGGAAATCCAACCCCAAAATTCAAATCCCGGAAGTTGTCTGAAGGGCTTTGTAGCTTTACGCTGTAAACCGCAACTGATTGCAAGTTAAAATGCACATAAACATGAAATCTGTTTTGATTTTCAATGTAGCCTGGATTTCATTTTGAAAATTCCACAAAAATCACATTCAAAACCTTTCTTATTCATTGTCTGAGAAGTTACTAAGTAACTTGTAAAGTTGGTTATACGGGTGCCCGATCCCATAATCTAGAACCAGTTCCTGACATCAGTGGTTAGGTAGTCGGGTACCCAGTTCCGATGCTCACCCCTACTACACTCCCTCACGAGTTGTCTGTGAGTGAGATTGGTAACCAGTCCAAGTCACAAGTGACAGCCAGTCAGTCAGTCAGTCGGGGAGTCGGTCTTGTACAAAGATGACACCAGGCTAGCCCCCACAGCTAATTTGTCGTGTTATTTTTTACCTGCAGCACAATGCTAAGATAGCTGATTATGGCATATCTAAGTTTGCCACACCATACGGTCTGCGGGCACCGGAGGGTACCCCAGGCTACCGAGCACCTGAAGTCATCCGAGGGTTATCTACATATAACACTGAGGTACTCAACTCAAGGAGACAATTTTCTAAATCCACAGAAAAATTATTGTTTCTCTAATGTTTATTTGGGAAAAAAATGTTGCAACCTGATGCCACTGTGGCGATTGTGTACAAAGCCTATGGAGAGTCAAGAAAATTTTCAAAAACAAAATTGGAAATGTTTTTCAGTCCCAGATTCACGTCTTATCATCATTTATGCAATGAATGGCCTTCATTGAGATGATATATGTGATGCAATCAAGCTAAATGAGTCGTTTGTCGGGAATTTTCATTTGGCGATTCAGGCCAAAATAGGACCACTTCATCACATCACTTCATCACATCTCGAAAGTGTTCCGAAATGACTTCATCACATCTCTTGATGTTCAGACTTCCATAATTTTTGAACCAAAGATGGTACCAGCGTGCGGTTTTCACAGCAGTAATGCTGAGATTGTGCTCTTTTCAAATCTGTAATAAAAAAAATTGTGACCAGGTCGACAAATGACGCATTTAGCTTGATGGCATCACATATGAAGAAAGAAATGGTGTCACATTGCAACATTTTGTCCTTTATTTGTGACATGAGCAAGTTTGAGTAACTGGCCTTGTAACCCTTCCTAGTGTAAATTTGGAACATCCCGGTTCCACCTAATTAATATTTAAATGACTTCTTTGCTGTTGTTCACAACCAAGACCTCACAGTCTCTGTGGTGTTTGTTTTCCTCTTCAAGGTGGATGTGTATTCTTTTGGCATCCTTCTGTATGAGATGGTGACAGGGGGCCACAAACCATTTGAAGAGTTGGAGTTCAGGGCCGAGTTGGATGAAGCTGTCATGAAGGTAGAATCACATCCTTGTATTTTTAACAGTTCACATTATTGTCATATGAATGTGATTTTATTCTTCTTGTTTGTTATTTCTTACTTTTAAACTTGCTTTTGGGCCAAATTGATATAAGAATTGACAAGATGCTTCAAGCAAAACTTGGAGTGCAGTTTTGACCGAAAAATGATGTGGTTTTTTTTTGCTTTTTTTTGTTGAAATTATTATCCTGTTTTACTCATTTTTTTAGACACATAATTGCTGGTTATTGACAAAGAAACATTGGTGCTTTGTTGCAATCTGAACATGGCTAAAATTACGACTTAAAAGTTTAGCACCATTTCTCGGTTTTCAACTTTGTGACTTCGTGAACTTCAAATGGGTATAATGTTGACAAGGAAAGAACATTTTTGAAAATTGAACCATCAGTGTAGAAAAGGAGATCTATATCTTCAACAATATTTTAATATCTATTTTCCAATCAGCTGCTTGAAGAGTTTGTTTGACGGAACACATCGCATATATTTAACAATTTTAGGATACTTTGTTTTATAGAGCCTGCAAGTCTTGCCAGTCCACGTTCACTTTTTTATGTGAACGTCTTGGTACCAAACATAGTCTAGTCACAGACTCCTGTGTTTAAATTCACCCATTTGTTATCTGCATGATTGATTAAATTTGAAGTTGAGGTCAACAATTTCAATTTTATAATAGTGGTCAATTCGCAATATTTTCAATAAGTTGTAAATTGTTATGCTTTCTTTTATTTCAAAATACCCATTTGTTGCCCTTGATTGGATGGGCCCAGTCAGGACACAAAATAAATACAAAAAAATAGGACATTACACACGTAGTAGATCCTATACATGGTGCCCGGACGTGCTGTATTCTCGTAAATCTGGCAGGTTTTTGAGACCAACTTGCACGCTCCATTCCATTGAAACTATTGTTTTCATTTTTAGTCTTTTTGGTTCTATTCGTTTCCCCAGGGTCGTCAGTTGCCGCCACTGACCCACAGCGGCATTGCACCTTGGCCAGATCTACAGGAACTCATTGACTACTGCTTGGAGCATGTACCACAACACAGGCCTACCGTGAGTCCCTGCCCTGTCTACTCAACACTTGTAGTATTCTGAATTACAAGGGATGCTGAATAATAAATGCCATGTGGGCCCGGGTTTTTGGTAGTCTTACTTCAAGACTGGATTGGCTTTTGTTCCACTGGTCCCAATCCCTGGCAAACGCTGTCCAGTCAGTAGAGGGCACTGTCAACAAGATGAATCAAGTCTAGTCTCAGGAACGTTGGCGCTCAGACCCGAGAAATTCTGAACAAACCTCGCACGCTATATTCAAGCTAATGCAAACGCTTCAGGTATGCACCGATTTTCTAGAGTTCCGAGTTAAAAATTCCAACGACTTGATTTGTTTCATCTTGTTGATAGCAACCTATACTGCCGTGGCTGGCTCGACTGCACTTGCCAAGCACCAGCAGCACGGCTACATAGGAGAACAAAAAAGCAATTCCAGTTTTGAACTAAGACTAGGGTTTGGAAAGGACAGCACAGTCTAATACAGAAAAAAATATATATATCAACCTACCTGTGATTTTTTTTGTATGACTATTTTTTTGGTAAATATAAAAACATCATGTGGACTTGTAAACGTTCAATTGTGCTTGTGAAATGTTAAGAGAACTGGCCAGTGTTTACGGTGTTTGACTCGTGTGCTGTGGTATGTGGGTTCGAACCTGACGGGGAGTATGGTGCTTTTGTCCTTGGGCGAGACACTTTACTACAATTGCCTCTCTCCACCCAGGAGTATAAATGGGTACCTGTAAAGGTAGAGACCAAAATGCTCTGATTTCGAGCTGCTGCAGAAACTGGTCTCATGGCCTGATGAACAGGGGTAATAATTGTGAAGCGCTTTGAGACCTTTGGTTTAAAGTGCTATATAAGCACCAAATTGTTGTTGTTGTTAATAAGAAATATTTTATCCGGTTCGTTTATGGCATACATGCGTGCACCACTGATTGCTAGCACCCATTTGATCAACACTCAAGTTGCATTAGCTTCTGGTTCCAATGATTCCAATGCAACGTAATAGCCAGAGGGCCAGGTTTAAACTGAACTGACGTCACACTAACGAACCGGATAGTGTATATAGTATGAAACAGAATGATCGTCGAAAAAATAAACTACATGAACTGAGACAAACCCGCCCTTGGATAACAATGCAGCTTAGGCATACAGCAAGGGTAACAAATTGGGGTCGTAGGTCAGAACTTTATGGGTTGTCTAAGCTGCATATTTAATTAATGTGATTTCATTTTGTGTGTGCACAGTCGGAGCAAGTCTTCAATTGGTTGAGTTCTGCAGAGTTACTGTGCATCAAGAGGGAGTATCCTCTACTCATGGATGGCTGCGTGGAATGTATGGCAGTGCGGGTAAGCACATAAATTTGAAACAGTCACCAACTCTGCCTTAACAGGAAAGGTACCAATGATTTTAATATTGGCTCTTCCCCGATTTAATGCTATAAACACTGTGTTTTCTGCTGTTTTTTGGTTAAAAGCTTGCTTGGGTGGGCTTAAACTTACAAACTCGGGCTCACGAGTGCAGAAAGAACGTAAGACTTTACCACAACAGGTTTAATACCGATGAGGGTAGAGAGCGGATCATCTTAAGGATCTCATGGGATTTTGATATTTACAAGGAGTCATGGGAAGTTGATTTTCTTCGCGGTTATGTGCATTATTTGGCAATGGCAGTCTTTCAGTTTGCATTCCAGTTGAGTATACTTCCTGTTTACGCATGTATGCTCTGTATTTGAAGCATCTTCAGTGCACCATTGTGGTGCTTTTGTGGTGCTCAGTGGTCTTTTGTCAAACTGGAAGACTGAAAAGGAGTGCTGTCCCTAGCCTCCAGAGCAACATGAACCTAATGCCGATAAAACATTGGAATTGGTCAAGGAAAGCCCTAAATTTGCCCCAGAAAAGTCGTGGAATTCCATTTCAGGAATTCTGTGGAAACCCTGCTGATAACTAATTGTAAAGAGCTTTGAGACAGTGGTGTAAAGCACTATTATAAGCGCCACATTCATATTAAAACGTCAAGTGTGACTCCTCTATGTTGCTACCTGTTCAGGTTTATCAGTCGGACGGAGATGACTGCCAGGAGGTCTGGCTGGCTGGAGGGGACAGGAAGTCCACAATGGTCTCGTGGATACAACCCCTCAACACTGATCCTGAAAACTCCATACAGGTAAATAATCCTTATTACATTCACACACCCCCTCAACTAACCCCCATGCCCCTCCCCTCCTGAAAGGACTACAATGGTCTCATGGATTAGGGCTGTCCCTAATATACCGCATATTCAAATATTCGATCATCAACCGAATATTCAAATAGCTTTTTTGCCAGTTGGAATTTTCAAAAACAAAAACAAATACACACGTACACACATGACTCTGGTGTTATTGTATCGTAAAGTTTTGGCGCTTTATTGTCAGGTGCCACTTGTTTGTCGATGGTAACTTTTTGTCGACGGTGGTTCATTTTTTCCCATCCTTTTAGCAGGTTAACTCCCTTGACAGTTAAAAAATATTTACTGCAAAACATTCCAGTGGCCCTTATCGATCGTCGCATGCCAATTTTAACTGGCGCGCTCTGCGTGCAATTTTTGACCGGCGCGGCATGCATTAGCTGATGGCAGTTTCGAATATCCGAATATTCAGTCAAATGCAGTGTCAAGTAATCGAATACTAAATTATTCGAAAATTGACAGCCCTATCATGGATGCAACCTCTTAATACTGTTCCTGAAAACTCTATACAGGTAAACAAGTTTTAAGAGTTTCTAGTTGCCTTTGCTCTTTCCCCTGGATATTTTGGGTTAATAATCTTGCTCAAATTAGGTTTTGCCCTTCACCGACGTATAAATACTGTGTACTCAGTGTGTTACCTCCCGAGTGAAAGTTGGAAAAAATCTGCACCTGCACTAGAAAGCAGGAGGTCGTGGGTTCGAGTCCCACCCGAGTGATTTTTTCCAACTTTCACTCGGGAGGTAACACTCTGAGTATACAGTGTTTATACGTCGGTGAAGGGCAAAACCTAATTTGATTTACATCACCCGACGCAAAAATTCCATCTTATGAATAAGAATCTTACTGTTGTTTTTCGTCAGGGTATGATGTTGCACAAGGGCCGAGCGTTATGCATGACCGCAATCGGCGACTACTCCATGGTCATCGGCACTCAATGCGGCGAGCTGTGTGTTTGTGACCTGTCTTGCTCCCCGTACCGGCTCAAGCACACGCCGCCGAAACTGGGCGACGCTGTAGTCTGTCTGGCTTACTGGAAACGGTAAGAATCTGATTGAAGTATTGACCCGTTGCATTCAGCAGACATCTTTGGGTATTTTGATTCAGTACAATGAATGTACAAGAGACTTACTCATCTGCATTTTTTTTTCAAAGTTATTTGTATTTTGTTTGCCTAGGGAACAAGAGCCCAGCTTAGTCTTTGCTGGACTGGCTAACGGAAAACTGGCCATTTACAAAGCACACCGACTGCAGAATGTAAGTATTTACTCAATGAGGGTGAATGCTCCCCTAGTATGCCTATTGGATTGTTACATAATTTCACTATTCACCTGTCAAGTGATTGCCATTAGTGAGGTGTTCCAAGGAGCCTATGCATGTCACACATTCTTAAAGGCATATAGGCCCATTTGCTCTTCGTGCATTTTGTTCATACAGGGCAAGTCCAAAAAAGCGGATCCCAAACCCCAAAAATTACATTTCCTATTTAAAAAATATGTGGCACCAAACATAATAATGACTGGAAAGCCAATTTCATAAGCTACTTTTAGATGAAAAAAATACTGAAATTGCTCAATCCGTTCAAAGAATATCATCGTTTAAAGAGGTTGTGGAATGCTCGAAGACATTTCAGTCATTTTTCGGGTATATGTAGCCTAAGGCGTTTAAAGTATGCTGCATCGGGAGTGATCAGGAGATGCTTTTCCTAGTAACTGTGGTTGATTCCTTTATTTTATCTAAACTCCCCTGCCTCTCACTAGGACAAAGATTGCCAGCCAGACAAGATGGTGCACATCGGCTCCAGGGACGACCCCATCAAGTGTATCACCCTGACTCGTAACAAGGTCTGGTTAGCTTGCAGTGCTAAGGTCATCAGTCTAAGCATCTTTGATCTGGAGTCGGACACTAGTACCACTTTACTGGAACCAGACCAAGAAGAGAGGTCAGTTGTTCGCTCTGTGGTAACAAGTACCGTTCTGTTGACGCCAATGACTCGTCTTCATTTTTTGTTATATATGTAGGTAATATATAGACCATGTTACCTTTGACATCATGATGTTTAGAGTCCCCTGGGCAACCCAAACATTAAAGCGTATTATGTATATAACTTGGCCCACATTGGACAGTATATATATCAGCACTTTCAAACTGTTCATATTTTTAGAGATATACATGCAATGCTGAAGAGAACCATTTGCTGAAAGTTGGCATCACGAGACCACAACATGCAATTTTGTTAACTTTGACAAGGTGCATAATTTACAGTTCAATCATGATGTATTTCAACACACAAGTGCTAAATGAACTTTATTGAAAATTACTTAATCAAAAGGGGATCTATTGTAACCCTCTAAAAATGTGTTACTCCATTGATAGTTGAATTCTGAATGAAGTGTAGACAGTTTAACCTTTTTTAATCAAAATTCTACAGTTTAATTAGGGTGACTTCCTGTAAACCATAAAATAAAAGTAAAGTCTGCCACAAGTCAATGTGGCCCATCAGGCTGGCATTTATCTCCGGTTTCAGTGGCATGAAACGACTGAGAATATTTCTATTCCCCCTGGATGGGATGCTAGTCCATCGCAGGTTACTCCCCAGCTAATACCAGTAGCCATTTATACTCCTGGGTGGAGAGGGGCAAGTGGGATGAAGTGGCTTGCCCAAGGACATAAGATATGGCCAGCAGCTGGATTGGAACCCATAACCCTCTGATCACGAGTCACAAACCCTAACCACACGACGATACTCCCCACTACTTCCTGTACCCCTTTCAAAATATCTTCCCATCCTCCTGATATTATAGCGACTTTTTGCAAATCACTTGCCCAGATACTTCTATCAGTTTTCAATTTTTACACCAAGTACACGTTCGCAAAATCAGTAATCATTTCTCATTACATATTCCTATCAAACATGATTAAATTCTGCGTTTGCATCAAACGTAGGAGTAGTCACCGGTTGGCTCACATGAAAATCTTGCGAATTGTTGAACCAATGAAATGTTCAAATCTTCTTTTCAGTGCTAAAAGGTACTCAAAGCAGTCTAGCGGATTTTGTTTTCCTAGCAATTTACCGATAATATGACACTTTTGCTGCTTAATTTGACACTTCAAACAGAATTTGTAAATAAGACCTTTTGCCAAATTTTCAATAAGAATTAGGGGGACAGAATGATCCAGTTGCGACATGTTGGAGAAATCATCACATATTTTGTTTGTATCTGTAGACCAGCCATGGTGAAGTGCATTGCTGTAGAGAAAGCTATCTGGCTGTGCAGAAGAAACAGCTCCATCATTGAGATCTGGGACGTTAGCCGACGCAAGATGACACTGACCATTGATGTGGCTGATTTCATCAGGTTGGAAAACTGGCAAACTACAAAACTTCTCTTCTTTTTTTGTAAAGTGGGTGGCGGGTAACATTGCTGGTATGTTTGTAGTCGAAACCATCACAAGTCCTGTCTCTAGTCCATTCTCAAGTCCAGTCTCAAGTCCAGTCTCAAGTCCAGTCTCAAGTCCAGTCACAAGTCCAGTCTCAAGTCCAGTCTCAAGTCCAGTCTCAAGTCCAGTCTCAAGTCCAGTCTCAAGTCCAGTCTCAAGTCCAGTCTCTAGTCCATTCTCAAGTCCAGTCACAAGTCCAGTCTCAAGTCCAGTCTCAAGTCCAGTCTCAAGTCCAGTCTCAAGTCCAGTCTCAAGTCCAGTCTCAAGTCCAGTCTCAAGTCCAGTCTCAAGTCCAGTCTCAAGTCCAGTCTCAAGTCCAGTCTCAAGTCCAGCCTCAAGTCCAGCCTCAAGTCCAGTCTCAAGTAACAGCAGATGAACAACAACAGAGGCATGCATTTGTCACTGTTCATTTGAATAGCTTGTGACTTGAGACTGTAGACTTGTGATGGACTTGTGAGGACTTTTAATAGACTCGACCATAACACTGTCTTTCCTGTCACATATCCAAGTTATACATTAAGACCAATGTGTTGACATGATTTGAGCATTGTTTTTTTTATGGGAGGTTGGGAAAAAGATGAAAAAGAGGTGTTGATTTAAAAAAAAAAATGACTTGAGCAGGTTTGGAACCCATGACCTCCAGATAACCGTATTAGTGCTAGATTGAGCTGTCCAATGTGCCAAGCTCCCAATTTGTCAATGTGTTTGGTAGAAGGGTGCCAGACAGAAGTTGGCCAGTTTGAAAGGCATAAGGAAAACCTTTGGACATTCCAAAGAATGACGTTTAGAGAAAGAAGTATCCTGATGACATTTTTAACACAAGTGGGGTTTGAACCTAGACCACAGAGGTGGAGGGATATGAAACTAACCAGTGCTTAAAACTGAATTCTTGAGGCATACTTGTCTATCGTTCTTGTCTTCATCATTTTGTTGACACCAGCAAGCCGAGTGGTCTAATGGCTAAGATGTTTCCAGTAGTGAGTAGGTTGTGGTTCGAGTCCCACCCGAGCAAACTTGTGATCCTTGCCGTGAATACAGTATGTAACATTACATTGATTAAGGGTAAAATATTAACATTATTTTGTTGTCATTCATTTGTGCACATGCAGCAAGGAAGACAGAGCTGAGCCATCCAACTGTTACATCAAATCGTTACTCCTCCAGCCCCGCGTTGCATTGTGGGTAGGCACCGCGGGCGGTCACCTGATTGTCATCGATACCAACACGCATCAACTGGTATCCATCAGCAAACGGTACACGTCCAACTTGAGAGCAATGGTGGCCGTCAAAGGACAAGGTTAGTTCAGGTTGTCTGTTTAAAACTAAAAGCTTTGTACAACCAAACATTGAGATACTGCTGCTTCATTTGTATCATCATATTCACATATGTGATGCGATCAAGCTAAATGAGTCGTTTGTCAGGAATTTTCATTTGAAGATACAGACCAAAATAGGGCCACTTCATCACATCACTTCATCACATCTCTTGGTGTTCAGACTTCCATAATTTTTGAACTAAAGATGGTACCAGCATGCAGTTTTCACAGCAGTAATGCTGAGATTGTGCTCTTTTCAAATCTGTAATGAAAAATCATTTGACCAGGGTCGACAAACAACTCATTTAGCTTGATTGCATCACATATCTTCAAAAATCAATACGTAACTTTTGTTAGGCGTTCTGGCAAAATGAGACAGAACTGGGCGCAGGCCGCAGTGGAGAAAAATGAAAAAAGTGAACGGGGGTGGTGTTTTTTTCCCTTCAATTTTCAGATTTATTGATATTTGTAGTCTTTGATGTGTCTACTATGCGTGTTTGGAAGAAATATTATAAAACTCGTGGAATACAAGTGTTTTTAAGGAAAAACAATTGCCACCTTTTATTTTCATGAATAGGAAACTCAAAACTTTAAAGGCCTTTTTCTCAGTATTTTCCTTTTTGACATGTCAATAAATGCAAACTTTAAACACCCATAGCTTGTCAACGGAATGTCTGATTGAACTGCAACAAACAGTATTGTAAGGAGAAATTTATTCTCAATCCTAGTACCTGCAAACCCTCAATTTGACCTCTGCCCTGTTCTGTCTTATTTTGCCAGAAATCCTCACATTCATCAGGACCCCAGTGGGTAAATAGGGTCTCTGCATATCGTCACACTCAGTGGTAAAATAAATAAATGTAAAACATTGCTGTTATTGTCAACAGTTAGGGTTCCAAGTCATTCTCGATATCAGGGAAATTGTTTTTTAGGGAAACCCTTTTTCCAGTCAGGGCAATTTGGGAAAAATGCCAAAAATCAGGCAAAACTCATGGAAATTGACAGTGACCAAGAAGAGAAAGGTTTTTGCCAGTTTGGCGTAGGTGCGTCTTGTGTCGTGTATCCAAGTTGTGTCCATTGACTGACTGGCTATGGTGCCTTGTTAGTGTTTATGCAGTGTGAATATCACACACCTCTCCAGACAATAACAATTGGCTGTGTTACATCACCTCTTGAAGTGAAAACATCTTCATGGAATTTTGCAAATTTCTCAGGTAAATATCAGGGAAAATGCAGAGAATTTGTTTTCTGGGAACCAGCAGTTCTGTCCTGCTTTTAACTCAATTGTTTTTCTTTCACATAAGGACAGTACAGACAAGAAACTTCTCATTTTATTCTGTTGGTGACACAAGTACAGTCGAGTCTCGTTATAACAAACTCGTTCGGACCAAGCCAAATTGTTTGTTATATCAGAATTTTGTATTAAGAGGAACATCAGTCCCATTCATTGTGCACATAAATGCACAGTCGGGACCAAGGCTTTATGTTTGTTATAACCAGAATTTTGTATTAACAGAGTTTGTACTAACGAGAGTCGACTGTATAGCTAAACAAACAACAGTAAGTTGCATGTGTTGATTTATTTCACCAGGATTAAACAAGTCCAATTCTGTCATTGTGACGTCAGGATCAGGCTTCGTGCGCAGGCCGGGTGTTCCAGACCACACAGGTAGAAAACTGAAAAATTCCATTTTAATGAAGAAAAAAATGGATTTTTCTGTACATTAGATTTGCATTCGTGATATGCCTGAGTACATTCTATCTGCAACATTACTGTTTTAAACAAAGTAGAAATGCCTTGTTTTTATTACCCAAAGACAAATAAATTGTCTTCAAAACTGAGTAAATAAACATTGTTTCCCACTACCTGTTTGTCCTTTTTGAGCTAGGTTATTTTTCCTTGACCCTAGACACCCAATTCACCCATTTTCAGTTTATGCAAATATGTTATCCAAAATATGTTGTATAAATACTCTGAAAGTTTTGGTTAGAAAATTTGTCTCTAAAGATGAATTTTTGGATGATTTGTAGAGACATACCGGTTCAAGAAATGTATTTTTCCTGATTACCTCAACAAGAAAGTTTTATTTTCAATAGCATAATTTTGTCAAGGATAGTCCACTTTCCAAAATTGTACCATTATTGCTATTAATTTAGCAAATGATCTACATTTAAACAATATTTGAAAAAAATTATTTCAACTAGCTGCCCAGAAGAGTCTGTTTTTAACAGATTATGTTTTAGAACTGCATCCTCTGAGTAATTACTCATTTGCTGAGTATCTGTCTGTCATCTTGAGCTACTGTTGTTTTTCCCCGCAGATACTCAGTACACTCACGTCTTGGTCTGGGACGCCGAGTTCAAGTCCCAAGTCCGCTATCTCCAGTCAGACATGGAGAGACGTCGCCAGCCAGAGACCCAAGCCATGAAATCCTGGCACAAGGTGCAGCATTTCATTCGTACCAGTCACGCCTTCCACCTGAATCCTAAAGTCGTGTTCCCCCATGTCATGCGCTGATCAACCAAAATCCTGCTTGAAAAGAAAAAATCAGCCACTTAAATGCAATGCTTTTCATTTTGATGGGTTCGTTTTGGATGTGATATGGGCTCCGTGCTCCAACAAAAGAGGGCATGTTTTTATCACTTTTAAGAGCTCCGTGGACAGGACACACAGCGTGTGCGTACTGTACTGTACTGGTTCGCACGCGAAGTGTGCATGAATTCCTGAATGTGCCAAAGTTATTAGCCACAGCGTCTTTGTGTGAGTGTCAGGCGTCGTCCGCGCACGAATACATTCGAATTTAACTTGCGATGGTCTCCCAGACTTATCCCCACCCCCAATAACTTTGGATCATTCGAAATATACAGTGGATGGACCGGAAACCAGTCTAGGTCTCCCCAACTCTCCTTTTCTGGTTGTTGAAGTGGTACTTGTGCACGGAGCCCATATGCACCATATTATTATTGGCTTTCATCACAGAATGGCTTTCTTGGATGTAATGTGTACACATGAGGATATTGAATAGTCTGGTGCTTGTCATTGGTAGTTGGCATCATACTTTTCCGTATATAGTATACAGGGAACTAGTCCAAGATGGCTACATTGTTTAAAGCTCCATTGATTCCTTGTACTTCATGCAGCTGTTTATATTTTGCTTTGGTTTTTCGCTGGATTTCCATTTGAATCATCTACCATTGCATGCATTAGGAGTGACTGTATATATCTTCTGAAAAACCTGGTCATTTTCGGAATTGTTTTAAAAATCATCATGCATGTGTATTAATATGTATATATTTGTAACATTTGTATGTATATGTGTATGCACACACAGATTGTCACTATTTTATTTTACCATATTTACGATTCGTTGAATGATGCATGTATATCACATTTGTACTTAATCGATGAGGAACAGTCTCACTTTTTTGTAAACCATCATCAATAGCCGTAATGAATTACTGAATGGAACTCATTCAAAAGAGATCATTTCATGTACAAAATTGTGTAAAAAGTGTATGAAAGAAAATATAATAGGATTTTCGTATACATGTAATAAGAAGAGCTGAGCTATCGTTACGATTTTGAATCGTCCTTGTAAAGACATGTACATACCTCCTTTCATTTCATTTCATTTCAGTTCAAATTGGTTTATTATAAAGCATCATGAATCGCAGCCAAGGGCTGAATTGCACATGATTTACATTTTCGTTTTAACAGCTAAAAAAATTACAATAATACTATAACATTACACAAAATATATATATATTAAAATGTTCCTGATAAAGCTTACACAACACATCACAAGAAAACAATTAAAATATAATAAAATAAAAAGTTCCCCCAGTCTGTGAAAACTAAAACCCAATTTTCGTAAAAACAAACAGGCACATTAAGAAAACATTGGATATTATACAATAAAAAGCCTCAATTAATCCACGTTTGAAATTTTGGCCTTGTTCAGTAAACTGATTAAGTATGGGAGCGCACTTTTCTGCATACGTGTTGATTTACAACGGGGCTCAGGATACTGATTCAGTTCTCCTAGATGACATCCTATTCGTATGTTCAGGGGGGAGGAGGTTTCTAAATTGAGATGTAGTCTGGAGAGTTTTATCAATAAAAGAAACAGACTGTGACTCCCTACGTTCCTCAAGTGACATCAGGTTACATTCACACAAGACATCATTGTAGGTGCTATATTCACTGCCCATTATGATACGAAAGGCTCTTTTTTGTATTCTTTCAAGGATTAACTTATCATGTTTTGTGAGTGCTCCACTCTTTAATACAGAATGGGGCAACATCCCATTTGCCAGATACCAAGATAATTCCTCAGGGTTTAGTAGAACTGTTGGCACCACTGTTGTTCATTTTTTTGAATTCTTGCATGTGCTTGTGTATGTTGTCAAGTTGTGATTCTTTGCCTCATTCCTTTCATTTTGGTGGCACAATTTGAAATTCTCAAAAGCAAAGTTGGCCATGTTTTGTTTGCAAATAAGGGTGCTACTATGGGAATTTTTTGGATGACACTTGCATTAGAAATATCACTTTTATTGAAGACATTTAGCAGATTTACTTCGTTCTAAAAATTTAAGATTTGACAAATGTATTTTTTTTTAATATAAGCAGCACGTAAAATGATGTCTAAACCTAAGTTTGTACCCACAAGATTACATCATTATAGCGCCCTTATTTGCTACAAAAATATGACCTATTTTTATGTTGCCTGTAAAATGTGTTGCTCAATGGCAAAAATAGCCTGCTCCCAAAAGTAGTAAAACAACATTCAACTTCTTCAGAAATGTTTAAAGAATTTTGTCAAAATGTCACTTTTTGCCTCTTTTTCTGTCATTGCCCGATTTTGTTTTTATTAAACTGATTATGTCATTGAAGCCTAAATGATGAAATGATGATTTTTGTTTGCTTGGAGGTGCCTTGTTTTCGCATGGGGTGTTCAATCTTTGTCGAAAAAAATGTCTTAAACTATGTTCATTTTCAGCTGGTGCTCGAAAATGTAGTCGCTTTCCTCTTGTGGAAATGTTGGTTCCTGTAATGTATGTTGTCGTTTGTATTTTTTAAACATTTGACATAATGAAACATTGACTATTTGTTAGGTATGCAATACTTTCATTATGTCAAACTACGTCTGTATGATGTGTCTTGTAGTAATTGCATGATTGCCAAAATTAAAGTTTGTCCGTCACCATTATTCCTTTTTGACTGCATATGTGTACACGTAATGATTTATTGACCACATCACCACAATACAAAACTTACCTAGTAATACCAAGACATTGTACTCAATGGTTCCACTTACCTCAGTAACTTGTAGCATGTTTTGAAATGATCATCTTCAGCTCACACCTTGTGGTAGGCCAAGCAATAATTTCCCTCTTTGTAAATGTGGTTTTGCACTCTCTACTTTGTTTGAGTGGTGTAGTCGAGTCTATCACAAGTCCATCACGAGTCCATTGCACGTCCAGTCACTTGTAACACTTGGAACAAAGGAATGCGGTAACAGTTCATTTTAATAAATAGGTTAATTGACTTGGGACTGGAGGAATTGTGATGGACTAGTGATGGATTCGACTGCAATAACGGTTTTGTTTCTTTATTATGTTTGGCAGGGGCAATATAAATAGCAAGGATCGACACGAGTGGGCCGCATTATTGGCCCCAATTTCTTGCTTTTTTGTTTATAAAGGTTTTATAATGGTTAGGAATATATAATTCAACAGCACAACCGAATCCAATCAGAACCTTTGTTAAGTCTTGTGTGATTATATGGTTTACTGCAACAAAATCAGTATCGATGCCAAAATTAGTGTCAATATTTTTAGTCGAAATAATCTTGTTCTGTGTTCATGAAACTTAATTATGAAGATTGTTCACTCAACCTCATTCCCATGGTGTCGAGCAGTACGCAGCAATCAACTGGTCTCTTCGAGGTAGACAGTAAACCCGGGGAAAGAGGTCGATTGTTCTGAGTTGAATCCTGGGGAGTTTTTGATTGGTTGAATGAGTCTGTAATTTTAATCGATATTCTGACATTTTCAACTTACATTTTCCAGCTGTTCATCTTATAGTTGGATTCCATCATGATTATCACAACACACGCCGCCCCACCCAAACCAAGGTATGCTTGCTTATCTCATGAATTATGCATGCTTATCTCATGAATAATGCATGACACAGATACTGTGTGTGACGTGACAGAATCTCATTCAGGTATCATCATCGTCATAGTATTGAACATGGGACAGGTGTTACCAACGTGAGTATTGGTTATAATGGCAAAATAGACCCACATTTTGAGGAATCATTCACAACTCGACTGTCATCTGCTGATCGAAAGAATGCCTACATGAACAAAACATCGCTTGCAATGTACAGAATTCATGATTAGATGGCATTTCATGGTGTGTCCTGAATGCATAAATAATGAGTGTTGGAATATGCATATAGCTGAGGTATGGTTTAGCTTCAACAGATAACGAAACTCTCTTCAGAATCAGTTTTCTCTTATTTCTAAACTTTATGGTCGTTAACCCTGCAGTGACTTGAATATTGAAGACAGGGTAAATTTCATTAATACAAACGGGCGCTTATATGCCAGTTAAGTTAGAGTGTTGTACGCAGTTTTATCAAAGGACGCAACTAGAACGTTGGCAACTGATATTGTTAACATTGCACTGTCTATAAAGAGCTAACAATGTTAGATTAACTCAAGTGCATAATGATGAACTTCATCCAACAAATTTGAATATGAAAATTTGTAACGTTATTAAGAGCGAAACAAAATATCGTTTTCCTTCCCCCCCCCCCCCCCCCCGTTTATTTATATGGGACAATATTGTAATAGGAGTAGGCCAATTCCGCACGGTCTTTGGTACAAAAGAGTGTCGTGTATCTCCCATTGTTTCGATATTTAACTGAACTGGATATGGTGTCCTCTTCACTCCGATGTGAATTAAGAGGTCATAGTTCCCATTAATAGGGGCCAAAATTGCTACACTCATATTTCCCCTTGCCTCTTTCAATCAGGTTCCGTTGGGTCCGTATCGACATCACCGCGGCCGTAGGGTTAGCGAGTTTGCCTTCAGCAACGACTTCGAGGATCCGCCCAGCTTCACGTCTAAGTTCCGCAGGATGTCGGTGATGCCCCTGATGGTCTGGTAACTGGCGTCATCAAACAGCCGTTGTTTTCATTAACCACTAGCACCTGTACTACATTGTATTGTACCAATTGATGGATCAATGAAAGCAAAAGGTTTCTAGGCGGTTTGGGGCTATCCATACAGCACAAACCATTTCCCTCTAACTGGGTCTTAACCATAGAGGTATATTAATATTACAATGGGATCTCGCAAGTCAGTCGTTAGAAAACTCGGAGTAGGCCTACCCCACAATGAAACAATATAAGTTTGACATTTCAATGAACAAAGTTAGGACATAATAGACCTTTCTACGTTTGGTTGGCAAACTGAATTTTTGCCAACCTTGGGTCGCAAAACTATGGGAGGTCCAACACTGCAAAAATGAAGAAGAGTTATTACAGATAACCAAAATATTATTTGATTGTCGGAAATCAACATTGTCAACAAAGCTACAACATAATTCCTAAGCTTGCCTTTTTTACTTTGTATTGAGGGCGTTATGGGGACTTTTTTTAAGAAAAACATGTTACCAACCACGGCTCCAATTTATGCGCTTGCGGCAGCCCATATAAAATGGCGCCAATGTTTACAAAAAAAGAAAGGTCTATAAGGTGTACAATTATTACAGTGGTAGGCCGTATCCCTTCAATATTTTCTGTAGGAACTATCAAGTGATGAAAACCAGGCTATGGTCTGGTTAACAGCACAGTTTCAGGTTAAACGTTTATTAGTCAAAAAGCAAGAGTATGCAATTTTGTTAATTGTTTTATCTTTAAGACAAAGCAGGCTTCTAAAAAAAATCTGTTAGGCCAAAAAAAAAAAAAAAAATACTCGGTCTCTGGTCAGCGCGCGCGTCGATTTTAATCATGCGCGTCAACCTTTTTTTTCTCCAAATTAACACGGAAGCTACAACAGCGCCCTCTATTGCCGCACCTCCTCAAATGTTGTACCAAGGAATGGGGAAATTGCACCAAGGCAAATGATAAAGGGCACCAAGGCAAATTATGGAGGACACCAATGTATAATGACACAAAAAAGCAAAATAGTACCCACCTTGTCTGTACAATTCAAGCTTAAAAAAAAAAAGCCACCCCCCCCCCCCAAAAAAAAACGCGTCGCCGCATCAATTCCGGAACTTCGGTCTGACCAGAGACCGATTATTATTTTTATTTTTTTGGCCTTAGTTTCAACGGTAACATCACCAACGGATGCATTTGATGATGGAATCAATTTAAACGTGAATTCATTTAAACACGCGAAATAAACGCCAATTTAACCAACGGACTCCGTGTACAAATCGACCTATCGCCATTTGCGCGCGAACCTGTACGCGAACGCGCGGTGAGTCCACAGAATTGTATTGTTGAAATCGTATGAATGTGCTTTGAAAAGCGCGTAATTTCACAGGTGCATAACATATTAGTGTGTGATTAATAAAAACCCAAAGCTTATGATATTGCCATACACTCTATGCAAATCGAGTATTTTTTAAAGCTAACTGCGTCAGAAATATTTATAAAATGAATTGCGGGTGTTTAAGAGTACTACCATTAAGTGTTGCAGTGTTCGCCATCACAGTTTATTGATTTTTTTTTTGTTCTCTGATAAGACATGTAGACCTAATGTTGAATTCGTAGCTAATGTAGAGTTATAGCAAGTTCTGAACCTTCTTTACGTTTGTGACATTTCTGACTTAATACAATCTCTTCAGAGCATGGGGGTGGGAGCGAAAATAGAAGAAAACAAGAAAGAGGTGTGACGTCGTAATTCGTTTGCTATTCATTTAATACATATTTAATAAATTGGGCGTCTGCAGGGGTGTCAATGGGGGTGGGGTTGTAAATGTCCCGCCTACCCTCGGGAAAAGAATTATAAAATGAAAACATGCTAGAGAAAGTACAAGGATCTTGGGGGGAAATGTGATTTCCCCCCCCCCCCTCCGAAAAAAAATCCTGGCGACGCCCATGCTTCAGAGCCGTACACGTAGTTGCGACGACAGTGTGCTGATGTGTATACCGTGGTTTCTGCCACTGCACACAATAACATTACATTTATCGGACAATTTTAGCCGTTAACCCATATCAAGCTACGACAATTGTTGCAACTCTTTCTGTATGTCTTTACTTTTCAATATGAAACAAACTTCAAAATGGCTGCTGAATGCCTACATCAAAGTTGAAAGCAGGCATGAAAGGTGCCCGTCACAAGACGTTTATTAGTTACAAGCTATAAGTACTGAAACCCAAGTTATTCTTTGCTTCTGTTTATATATTGATAAATAATTGTACGTCTCTCTGTATTAATACATTTCCCATATACATGTGTATCAGATAATTCAGTCTGATTGCAACGCAGTTCTAATTTGACACGTCACTGTAATATAACTGTTTGTATATTTTGTTTAACTTTGTAAGAGTAACCATTTGCAAGGCGCTTTTTTTGTATATCAGCACAGCCAATGTTTGTACTTTAGAGTTGGGCTGCACTTGACAAATATATTTATGACTTTTTATTTAAAGTTAACATATAAGCTTTTTAGCAATTAAAATACTGATTGCTATCAATTCATGAATTCACCTGCATAAAAAAATATGACAGAAAACGAGAAGCCGTCATGAGGAATGCATATTATTACTGATACATGTTACCTCATTTTCGATGGCATAAATATTAAACGAATGAATTTCTGTGTATTGTTGTTATTTTGTTACCTTTTTGGTTGGTTTGCAATGATTGCCAGTTCATACAAGCCTGGTTGAAAATTTCTTAAACCAATTTTATGCACTACATTTACATTAAATATAAAATTCGAGAGAATCACGCAGACATTATGGGTCAATACTATGTAAAACAATGTAAGCCATGTAAGAAAACCTGCATTTTATGAGAGGAAAAACAGAGGGCGCATGTGGGCACCTGTGTCTGGGAATAACAGAAACTTTTCCCCCGCATGTTTGCAATGAATAAAAAATAACAGAAACAGCATGTTATTTTACCTTCAAATGTTTTAAACCAAAATATAGAAAAAGTTGTTAGAAGACATTTTTTTCAGCGAATGTACTATAAATCAACCCATGATCCACATGATTATGACATGGAGTGATCTCGAGATAATCTTGATGTCCCTTCAAGATCATTAACCTATTGCGACGCTGCAAGGGTTTATAATGCTGCTTAGGCCAAAAGAAATAAATAAGTCGGTCTCTGGTCAGCGCGCGCGTCGATTTTAATCATGCGCGGCAATCTTCTTTTTTTCCAAAATGTTCTGCGATAGCTCCAACAGCGCCCTCTATTGCCGCACCAAGGAATGGGAAATTGCACCAAGGCAGATGATCGAGAGCACCAAAAAAAAAAAAGCCGCGTCCCCGCGTCAATTCCGGAACTTTGGTCCGACCAGAGACCGAATATTTTTTTTTTTTGCCTAATATACCCAAATCGAAAGAGAACAGAGGTCTGGTTTGTTTCACCATCATGCTCGTACCCAACGTACTACCCAAGAACGCGCTGGTCAAGAATCTCAAATTATCGTGTAGGAAACGTAAAGCATTGTGGGTATATGGTAGCTTACCGCCGTTATTTGAATTCCGTAAAATCTGACCAATGGGAGCTTAGAGAAATGTGAAGTCACCAATATCAGCGAAGACACTGTAAGCTGACTATAAAGCCACTCAAGGCACATAGGATCATTTGCATTTATTCCACAAGTAGCCTACCGAATTAGTATCAGAAAGCTTACTTGGATTAAAGATCGTACTGGTCCTAAACACCCCGTGAAATTATTTCGTCTGGCTTGCTGTCATTGAAAAGAAATCAAGAAATGTAGGTGATTTTTAACAATCGGTCAATTGACTGATTTTAAGAGTTAAGAATGCCATATTGACGAAATCGTGTTTCATTACCAAAAACTTGTACATGATTTTAACAGTTTTCTTGTTAAGTGTAATATCCACTGAGCTGAAACAGGTTAGGTTTTGAACATTCTTCTTTGGATTTTTGAGTGGTATTATTATTATTGGAAACGAACAAAATGCATGAATGATCATATATGACTTTAAACACTGAGCAATGGTTATTAATATTTATACTTAAAACCTAGGTTTCAGTTTAAGCTTGATATCGTTGGTTGCCTTGTAAACCAACTGCAATCTGGCAACCACTTTGTGATCGGGATCCAACTCGATGTGAAATCTTCTCAGAACTCGAGCTAGTATCACCTTCTCCTCATTCAGGGCAAAGTTCTGTCCAATGCAGTTCCTGAACAGTAAAACAATCAATTATTTAATAAGGATACATGGCAGGTCTCCGTCTATTCAAAGAAAACTCGTGATATAGAAATCGTCTTTGCAAGGTAAGTGTAACCGTTGAGGCAAACGGCTTCACCCTGAGAGGACAGGATGGGTTGGTTATCCATTCAGACTGAGGACTTGGGACAATGGGGTGTGTGCGATTTCAATGGGCCCGAGGACCTGGGCAATAGTCCTCTGGAGAATTTCGTGTACAAACCTTGTGGGAGCTGTCGAGAAAAAGTACAAACAAAAGAATGAAAGGGGCAAGTCCTCATGAGTTTAGTAAAAACGAGCTGGGTGCATGTGTTTGTGTGTACATAAAAATACACATTCAGATCGTGGATTTTGAACAAGAGAGGACAATACGATTGACCGAAGGTCCACTTTTGAGGTGTGTGTACAAAACATGGGAGGTCTTAATTTTTTTTTTAAAGTCTTCCTAAAAGTTAAAGATAAAAAAAAGCGGGACAATAGGGGGTCCACCACTGAGGGTGTTTACAAAGATGTTAACGTGAATCGCATACACCCGAGGACAGACAGACAAAGGGAGAACAACATGTTCTCTGTTTGCCCCTGTACGGGATATCATATCAAGGAGTTAGCACAGTATTTTACAGATACAGATACAGAGAATTCATCTGTTACTGAAAACGGTCCTCGCTCGTGAGTTTGTTTGATTAGTCTATGTGAGAGTGTTGTATACAAAAAAATGTTAAAAAATACAATGCCTTGTCCTCGAGAGTTAACATGACTGCTTGTGTATGGGGGGGGGGGAGAGGGGGAGAGGAGGGAAGGGGAGGACGAGGCAACACTTTTACCTTGGGCCTGCCGAAAATGGTACGTAGGCGAATGGATCAATGTCCACAGCATTTTCTGGCGCGAAACGATCTGGAATGAACTCCTGGAATAAATGACATTAAATATTCATATTTTGTTATACAAATTGCGGTGTGTGCAAATAGCAGGCCACATGTCGACCACAGGTTATAATTTAGGCCCATTCACATCGATTTAATGACGACTTTACTTTAATACAGTTTAGGGACTACATCTACATCAGTTTACATTTTACATCAGTTTACATCTGGGTAGAGTTCGGATATTTTTAGCAGGTCCCCGAGGCCAGCCCCGAGTTTTCTTTGCACCTATCTCAATCACTCACTGACTGTCACTTGGGTGCTGAGCAGTGCAGTGGTATAGGATTACCCCATATAGGATTACCCCGTAAATATATATTGTAGAACGCCATATGGTCCAGTGGTTACGGTGTTTGGCTCATGTATGAAGGTGTGTGGGTTCGAATCCTGCCAGGAACATGGTGTTTGTGCCCTTGGGCAAGACACTTAACTGCAATTGCTTCTCTCCACTCAGGTGTATAAATGGGTACCTGTGAGGGTCGAGGACCGATTGAGCGCTGATATCGGCTGCCGCATGGTATCATGGCCTGATGAACGGGATAATAATTGTAAAGCGCATTGAGGTTGTTGATACGATGGAATGAGCTATATAACTAATTATGCCAATGAATGGGTTAATCGAATATAATGGTTCCCTCGTCTTGTTTTACTAACCATGGAATTCGGCCAAATCTCTGGATTGTGGTGCAGAGCATAAATATTCAGGTCTACCATTGCGCCTTTAGGAATCAACCTGTCGTGGACCATGATGTCTTTCTCTGCAACAATACGCTGGATCAGAGGTACTGGAGGGTAGAGTCGCATGGCTTCCTTGAGACACAGAATCAAGTAGTTGAACTTGCCAAGGTCCTCCCTAAATAGAAAAGGCAAACACTCATGACTATTGGAGATGTAGTAAACAGTAGATTACGGCAGTTTCTCAACCGTACCTGTAGGCTTTTGTGATAAGGATAGAGGGCTGAAAGACGGGAAATTGCCTAAGTGGACTTACCATTGAATTACCTCTGATTCCCTGCCTTCCATCACTTCATCAATTTCCTCCTGGACTTTCCTCTGATGTTCAGGGTTGGTTGCCATGGCATACAGCATCCAGGTCAGGCTGCTAGCCGTGGTGTCGTGACCCTCGAAGAGAAAAGTGTCCACCTCGTTACGGATCTCTAGATCCGTCAGTCCCTTGCCGTCTTCGTCTCGAGCAGCTAGCAAGATGCCCAAGAAATCTTGGGGCTGGTCTTTAGATTTCGCGGGCTCCGGATCAGTCTCTTTCTCTCTCTGAACAACAAACGATTGGAAATGCATGTATAGCACAGTAATTAGCCCCTGGATTTCAGGATTGATTAAAAAATGTTTTTTTTTTCATTTTTTTCATGTTTTTTTTCATAAAAAATGTTCGCTTAACTTTTCAACAACATCGGACCCAAGTAGAAAAAAAGAACTTCAAGTGCTGCTTACGAGTTTGTCTCGCCGTTTTTTGATAACCTCAGCAGAGATCTGATGCACAAATTCCACATTTTTGGCGAAAATCTTTCCTACTGAACTCCTCTGGAATATAAAATCTGGATAAAGATAAGGAGTGCTACAGGGGAAGGAAATGAGGGGGGGGGGGAAAATGGATCGGTTAGTAATTCTGTTGTAATTAAAAGACAAAGGGCGAAACTCTCTACACGCAGTCAAGAAAGGAAAATGTAGGCAACATCAAAGATTGCGTCACAAAGGCATGAACGTAAACATTCTTTTCCACAAAATTCAAGAAACCTTTAGTCGCTTCCTAGATCAACTCATTAATTCTTATTGTTTCTCCTGTTGATGTCCTAAGTCTGTATATAATGCACACATTTTGTGCGAGGTCTGTGACGTTCTCTTCTTTTGTCATTACTGTAGGGAACAACTTTTTCTTGAAATGTCCCATAATATTTGGACAAGAAGACTTGATTTCAGATCTTTGGAGTTACTGTTATCCCAGGTAATCCCTTGTTCCACGTCATAACCTGAACACCCATAAAAGCTGCTATACAGGGTGAGTAAACAAGAAAGAAAGAAGGAAACCCAAATGGCAGGACTTTCAAAATCTAGCATATTAAAACCCAGGCATTAAGCTTCCTTTTAGTACAAGAATCATTGAAATCACTCATGTACTTTTCAAGTTACGGAATGTTGAACATAAACACTGTTTGAAAGTTCTGTCCACGGATCACAAGTGTTCTTTCAGCAAAACTAAAACAATTTTTATAGGGATGTATGTGAATTGTTTTCGTTTTGCTGAAAGAAGACTTACCTTTTTTGTGATCCGTTGACAGAAGTTTAAAACCTTCATTGCGTTCAAAATTCCGTAACTTGAAAATTACATGAGTGATTTGAATGATTCTTGTACTGAAAGAGAGCTCATTGATTGGGCTTTCACATCCTAGATTTTGAAAGTGCTAAAGGGCAAAACTTCATTCGGTCCTTCAAAATTGGTCCTGTCATTTGGGTTCGTTTTTTTTACTCACCCTCTATAGCATAACGTCCAATTATTATGTTGCGACACACCAAGCTGAATCAAGTTATCTCACTCGACCAGAACTTGCAAGGAGAAATACCAAAACGTCGTTTACCTGTTAAACATCATTCTATATGTTCTGATTTCATATATACACACATTTTTTAATTAGTGTTTCCTCTCAGTGAAAGCCAATGTCTATTATTGAGAGAAAAATAGGCCTACTTACAAAACACGATCTCTGTTGGCGAGGATGATTGCATTCACCGCAGTAACGTACGGGTGACTGTCTCTGCAAACAAATCATGTAAGATTATGTTCCGTCATGGAAATCATGAAAATTACTGAAATCATAACTTATGTTTCAATTTAAAAACAAATAAACAACCTGGAGCTCGGTTGTCCACTAATCTATTACACTGCCTACTGAGGCATGCCCTCTCTTCAAAATATTTTGATGTGATAAAATGCATTGGCCAATGAAATTGCATTCTGGAGGTGATTCGAAATGTAATGGCAGATATGTAATGGAGGAGATTTATTATTAATGAACACTTTCAAATATAATCTGAAATATTTTCTGACCAATCAAAATCCCGGACCCAGAATTGACCTCCTACCAAGTAAAATGGCATGCAGCGCGCTGTGCCGTCCTGAAAAGTGCTTTCCTATTGGCTGAACAGTTATTACAGACTTGAATATTCAGTGCGTATATCGTCACAAAGCCTACGCAGGGGATCTGATTGGCCAACGATGAGTGTCAAAATAGTAAAAGACTCAGCCTCGGTTTCCTCCATTGAGCTGTTAAACAGATTTAGCCAGGGCATCTATACGAAGTAAGCTGGTCCCGGTAATAGCGAGGATGCATGATACACGTACCCGCTTATTTGGCAGCCGGATTCATAAGAACAAGCGCACTTGAGCAAGATATCCAACGTACACAGACTGACGTTCTTTGTCACCACAAAACTCTCACCACTTGCTGCACATTCACTCATCTTGTTCTGTAGGCAACAGAATAAATACGGAAGAATATATTGGAGACATTAAATCCCATTTTACATTAAAAACCTTAAAGATGCTGATACCTACCATTCAGGTGAATGGTTAGAAATCTTGATGGAACTTTTTAGGAAGCTTGCATTTACCCGAAATAATGAGCTTTAAAATGGTTTGCAGAATTCGTACAAACTTCTGTTAATCTTGGGACCATTATGCTTAGAGACTACATGTACATAATGTTGATATTCACCAGCAAGATGTCGGTAGCTTTGTTGTAGATTGTCATGTAGGTCTTGAGGATCTCAAAGTGGAATGCGTGGGTAATGAGGCGGCGATTGCGAAACCAGGTATCTCCACTAGCAAGAAGCAGACCATAGCCCAGCCAAGGCAGAAGAAAACTGTAGCTAGGCATAAATTTCAAGAAAGGCTTCGGATCTGAAATGAATTGAAGTTTGGAGTTGGTGGATCATCAAAAAATCCTGTTTCTAATTCGGCAACAAAAGAGGCATGATGATCAAACGGTCGTAACAACTAATAAGAACCCAACAGGAAAAACTGAGTTTTTTTGTTTTTGTTTCCTAGACTGCACTTCTGACTCCGAGTGCTTGTACATTTGGTGGACAGAACCGAGCAGTGCAATCGTATAGGATACCCCGTAATGCCAATGAATGGGCTAAATCTGGCCCAATGAAACAATTCAGATATATTGTAAGGCTTCCAGTGAATAGCCACTCTTGGACAAGCATTACTATACAGAATTAGCCTTGCCTCAACTTGTTATCGGTGGTTCATCAAACATGACATTGTGCCCACACCATAACATCCACCTACCGCTTCCCTTCATAACTGCCCGCATTATATCGGGATGGTTGGCCACCACACCCATGCCTAGAGCTCCGTGGAACCAGCGGTAGCCACGCGGGAATTTAACAGTCATTTCCCGCCAAACTCTCAACCCTTCCTCGGAACCGGCTGCTCGTATCTTTGGATCTCTCATCGGGTTCTGCAAAACAGTAACAACTATGGTTAATTTGACATACAAATCTTAAGGGATTCTCAGACTCGGACCTAACGTCTTCGACAATTCTAATGATATACCGGGCCGGGCTTACATGCCCCTTATAAGGTTCTGTCATGCGGCTCAGTGATCCGAATAGATGTTTTAAAACCAACCTAACATGCTGATTAATAACGTGTACATTAGTCGTGTTAAGGCATCAACAAGGCAAAACTGTAAAAGAATTTGTCCAGTTGATTCAACCAAACAAACCCCCTCCAAAAAAAAATAAATAATAATAATAATAATAATAATAATATTAATATTAAAATAAAAAAAATCGGACTTAAAAAAAATGGCAGTCCAACTTTTGCAAATCTGTGTCAAACACCAAGGGTTATACTTCTAGAATTAGAAGGCACCTCTCGTTAGCTAACGAGAGGCGACTTCTATTTCTAGAGGTGCACGGGATACCTCAGTGCTTTCACAATTAAACTGTCATGCTGTCAGATCTACGGAATGGTCCACCTTGTGTAATGTGATAGTCTACTTTTGTTTTCAAAATTTAAATCAAATACAAATCAAAAGCTTATCGAGAAAATTGCACAAAGAATGAACGAGTGAATACTTTACAAAATATCTTACCAGCATAAAAAAATAACTGCAGCAGGGAAGGTCAGGGGCAATGGAAGAAATTAACTGGACATGCAAATACAAATAGGCCTAACACTAAATCTAAATAATCAAGTTGAATTGCAAAGTGGTACCAATATTGTCTGCATCATGTACATGTACATGTAGTTCTATACTACACGAACATCTATGTGCATATCCAGCTAACCCCCTAAGGGTTCATCAATCAATCAATCAATCAACTTTGAACTTTATTTCCACATAAAAAAGGACTACCGAAATCCAACAGGGTCCAATGTTTACTTCCTGCTCAATCCAACAGAAGCCAACTTGCCTAATTTTTAGTTGTCCGAGTGCTGGATCCAACAGAGTCCAACTTGGCGTTATTTATCAGTATAGTACCCGATATACATAATCCGACTCTGAATATGTACATGTACGTTCATTTTTGTACAAGGGGTTTACGATACAGTTGGATCCTCTTGCATTCAGCAGGGTTAGGGCTCTATGTCTGGTCTGCTAAAAATATCTCACCTGGTGAAGATTACCGTAAAGCCAGTGGTCTGGAAGTCCCGGCCAGTGTTTTATTAAAATTCCTCGAATTCTGCGCTTCGATTGAACATAACGCACCAAGACACAGACTGCATACGTCAATGCAGCAACCAAACCAAGACTCAGAATGGAAGCTAGCTCAGCCATGTTGAGTTGTACACTTGTATGTTATAATGCGTTTGTGTGATATTCAACAAACAGCAGGTGAACAATGTGCTCAGTCAATGCGCAATGTGGTCCGACATTGCTCAGGAAGCGCGTCAATTCCTTCCTCCATGGTCAAAGTCAAACGAAGGCCATAGCAGTTTCTGTCTGCGATGCTTCGCTTTCAGCTATGCGCAAGACCATGACCTAACATAACAACCAACGTTGACAGCCCTGTGTATTCAGTCCATAGATCAGATTGTGACAAACAACATAGCCACGCATGTGTACTAGTAGTAGGCCTACTCTCGGTCCATAGATCAGATTCAGCCGGCCGGTGTGGCAGGTAATTCTGTCCCCCGGTAAAAGTGTCCGGGGGGACAGAATTACCTAGGTAAAAGTGTCCTCCCTGGCCCGTTAATTCTGTCCCCCTCCAGGTAATTCTCTCCCCTCCAGGTAATTCTGTCCCCCAGGTTTTTTTGTACCCCTCTTTTGAAACCCAGAAGGTTATTGTTTTGATGAATTCACTCTACAAGGTATACATTTTGGACTTTTAGTCTGCCCTTCATGAATATAAAAAATATTTAATTTAGTCTATTAGATGATACGTGAACACAATGTTTCGATTCGGAGTACGGTGAAGTCTATCGCGATTCTACCGCGATAGGCCAACACAGCGGCGATGCATGGCGATGGCCCTCGTCGCATTGATAGTATGATACAACGTCTCCTTGGATTGGTCTGTGTTCCCATCATGCATAGCGCGTAACGAAATTTCCTCATTGGACGAATTTCCATTGTAGAGGGAGACGCATATACACCTGTTACACGTATAATCACTGCCTCAAATCTTGCAGCATGTACTGGCGCGTGCAACACGCTGCTGCTCTCATTACATACTGCATGGGGACACATTTACCAGGGGGACACTTTCACCGTTGGGCGTTTTCTCGAAAGGAGGGTAGAGAAACTTGGCAGGACACTGTTGAAGTTCATTCATATCTTTGGAATAAATTGAGCTACAGAAATAAGTTTGATTTAACATGATGTACATGACGTGAAAAATAAAAGGTTGGAGTTATTCCTCATTATGCCATGGCAGGTCACAAAATTTGAGGACTGGACGGGACATCGTCTGACACTCGCTGAAGAACACCACCCGTCGGACGGTGGCTTCGATTACACACGATCCTTCGTACTCCTCTCCTCTGAGGCGGAGAGGTCGTCAACCTTATCCATAATTATATTGGGAGTCATCACATCCCATACTCCTCAAACAACGTCTTGGACGATTATGAGATCACTGCATGGTGGCGCTGAAGAGCAAAATACGATCATTGACCGAGTTGAAATCAAGTCTAGCTCAATGCCAGATCATTAAATTAAACAAGTGCATCGAATGTCGGTGTAATTCAGTTAAATTAAAAAGGTATAAAAGACATGACGCTGGCTTAATAAGCAATGTGGTATTGAAATGGAGCCTCAATGATTATCTGTAAATAATTGGGCCACATAATGTCTCAGAGTTTTCTTTCGGCTCGTGTCTACAGTTCCAGGCGGGGGCGGGGGGGAGGGGTGCAACGGGGGCTATGCGGCCATGATGCCTCCAGGGGGTGGATCGAGGTTTGCTACACAGGGTGACCCCCAGAAAATGCAACCCTGAAACATTTTGCCCTTTTTTCAAAAACGTGATTCAAAAAAGTTGAGAGCTGCTGCGAGCCAACGAATTCGTGAATTAAAATAAAGACGTACAAGTTCTATTGGAGTGACCGCAAATTTGAATTATTTGCAAATAGATTTACCGAAAAAAGATGAAATTGATACTTTTCATTTTTTATTGCGAAGGCATAAAAAGAAACCAGAAAATACATTATGAGCATTTATTTCTTAAATTGAAGAATTCTTTTGGCGCATCGGAATGCCCCGATACGCATCATGGGGCAGGGCGGCGGAACGCTTTTCAAATTGGGGGGCAACACCAAAAAGTCCCCCAAACAGTGGGTCCACAAATTCACGGCGTGGGGTCCGGGCCCGCTTTATAAAGTGCCCCGAAAAAAATATGGATATAAATGCTATGTAACCAATGCATTGTTACCATTTTTTTGGTATTTTTGGAAAAGATGGAGGTGTACCTATAGTGGCTGCCTTTTTTGTGACTTTTTTTGGGGGGGGGGGGCATGGCCCCGTTGCCCCCCTCCCCTTGGATCCTCTCTTGGGCCTTTGGCACACCCTCCGCCCCCGGCAGTAACCTCTCTGGATCCGCCCATGAATGACTAGTTACGTAGAGACAATTTTTTGTTTTTGAATTTAAAATTCGGAGTATTTACCTCCTAATATTTTGAAAAGACTGCGCTTTTCCATTTAAATGCCCTTTTTTCACAAGCGCTTACCCCCCCCCAACATTTGTAAAGAGTTCCCTTTTTTTCTTAACAAGTTCCCTTTTTTCGAAGAAAGTGCCCTCTTTTCCCGAAAAAGTGCCCTGTAAATTAAAAGTACCATAATGTTGTGCTTAATCGTCGGTTTTCACAGCGCCCCCATCGGCAGAGAGTACCCCCCCCCCCAAAAAAACGGGTCTACATTTCAGGACGGATGTGCAAGTGCCCATTTTAAGAACTTTTTACCTCCAATAAAAATGACCGTGCTTCGCCACTGCAATGTCTGATTGCTCTTGCTGACTTTTTTTACTCCTAGATACTGCCAATATAATATTTATATTTGAATATTCAGATTTAAAATGGTAAAAAAGTAAGGCAAAAAAAGGCTCCAGTTTCTTGTCTGCGCGCGCGTCGCCGTAGCCATGCGCGTCGGCAAAATTATAACTTTTTTTTTTCAATGTAAGATGATGTCTCAAAACCGCCAAACTCACTGGTTTGACTGGAATCCTGCTGCTGCACAATTTTAAGTTTTTTTTTTAGATGGGGTTACGATCAAGTTTAAGCTTTATGTGGCCTCTCTGGGTTCCTATTACATTTTGCACAAAATTTAGTCGGGCACCTTTTGCAGTCATCAGCCGACATTTTAATAAAAAAAAAACCAAGTAAAAGAAAAAGAAAAAAAGCCGCGTCGCCGCACCACGTTTAGGGCAAGCTCCATACGAGAAACCAAAGATTTTTTTGGCCTTACCCTCCGTTTCTCCGTTTCTACAGAAGACACTTGAGGTACAACAAAATCGTGAAAGACTTGACTCAAAAATTGCTCAGTGGCAAAAAAAGAAGAAGTTTTATTTCCATTTTAACGAATCCCATTTGCTTGCCATTGTGTCAGCCTAATTTGACAGCCAGTATTTATGCCAACGTTTATCTTATTCTATTTTAAATTTCACCCTTAGTAAGTATGATCCTCTTCTTTACTTTTTCGTAACCGCAAACAATAAACACTTGTCACATCATCATAAATGTTCACTTTACGAGGTATATTATCACGATATATGAGAAGTATACAAACTCTGAACCCATATAAAACCATAACACTTATTCTATTCTAAATGCCACCCTTAGCAAATGATCCTCTTGTTTACTTTTTCGTAATCGCAAACAATAAACACTTGTCACATCATCATAAATGTTCACTTTACGAGGTATATTATCACGATATATAAGAAGTATACAAACTCTGAACCCATATAAAACCATAACACTTAAACAAACCGAAACCACAGATGAAAATTTCAGCAGGGTTAAAAAAAGGTATCCCTTACTGCTCTTTAATCAGGCCTATTAACACAAAAATGATATATTACTACAGTAATCTACACATACTGTCAAATTGATGAAAACGTGCAAAACTTATCCCTTCAATCGTAAAATTATTCCAGTGAATTCATATCAATAAAACTTCTGGATTCATGGTACGTGACACGTGTGATCCTTCATATTAAGTGTTCTTAATCTTCGACCTTTCAAAAGTCAAATACATATCATGGTCGTTTGCGGATATTTCCATTTTAGCCGCAGGTATCATTCAACTCTCCTAATGCAGTTCAGTGTTTTACATGTAAAAAATTGACAGTGTGTTTTGATGATTATCAAATTAAACGTTTTTAAACAAATCTCTGCGAGTGGAAGGAAAATACTTTACACGTCTTGTATACCAAAAATTAATATTGCTCATGTAAACTGTATTCCAGTATTTCCCGTTACATCCATAGTTTATACTCTCTTTTTGAAACAACGGTATCACATGATATCTTCTTGTCTTTGCTTGCGATATATTTCTCTCTCTTGAGATATATATTTCTTTACTAACATCAATCATCACCAACGTTCGCTAAATTTGTACGTGTTTCAAGTTTAATTTTTTTTAAGCTTCAGGTTGTAATTAAGACATGACTGATCCAAATTTCCAATACAAAACCTTCTCTCCATGTCTTCTGTGCGATATACAAAGGATAATCATGAAAATATATGGCTCTCTTCTACAACAGTTTATGAAAAAAACTGAAACAATTCTTTAAACTAGAAACATCGTACACATATATGCTTAATGATCCTCAAACATGACTCATCAATCTTAATTAAATGCAAATAAATGATATCCAAATTAAACAGATGTAAGACTATTCCCTAGATTAACGAGGCAATTTCTTTGGGGTACACTCCAATGCATATAATAAAGTCGAACTACGTAACTGCAAAATTAATACCAAACACGTTTTCTTACCATATTTTTTTTAAACTAACAAACAACTGAATTACGATCTATATACATAAAGATACATTATTTCCAAACATATTTTAAGTGCGTGGCAGATACATTTTCTTTTAAGCTACACACTAGGCCCTATTTCTTAAGCCATGAATTTCTAAAGATCTTGGTGTAATAAAAGTGGGAAAAGTTACCATTCAAAAGAACACGTCTGTTGTATTTTGACACTAAAAGTTGGCCATTGCATAGGCCTAATGCTTATGTAACATTTCAATATCGCACGAATGTTTTGTACCGCCACAGTTTTTAACACAAAAAAATTATAGTAACGCTCGGCGACCACTCAACCGAAGATACTGAAAACAAAGTATTCTCTTACTAAGCTACTTTTATTTAAACTAAATCTGCTGCTGATATCTATTCAAAACAAAATGATCACGAAACTAAAAATTCATTCCATTTGAAATTCTCATTGTATCAAATTCACAAATTTCAAAGGCGCGGATCGATCCACACAACAAACTCTAAGTTCTGTATTACACGCGTCAGGCATATGAATGACATGTAGACACTCGTACAAGTATTTGCTGGCCATGCTAAGCATGAGATAATTATGTTTTCTTCATTTACAGCTAGTACTTGTAGTACTTTTATATTACGTTTACATACAACACAAAACTTTCAGGCTCTTAATTAAGTTCCTACATAAATTGCTACAAATACTAAACAAATGTATACATCCTTGCACTTGATTATTTTCCTGTCAAGTTCTTTATCGAGTATAGCATTTCTTTAATCCTGCCTCTTGTCTATGTAACCTTAAAAAAAACACTATCTACAGTTAACAAGCTCAAAAGCCTCTCTTTGAACAAATCAACTGCTACTTGGCTACGAACAGGCACAATACAGATTCAGGCGTATAGGAATCTTCGAAAAGCTTTTGACAGTATCAACATTTATTTCAAATCAGCATCAGCTCCCTACTTAGTTGCTCAGTTATCTCAGTGCATATATACAGATGGGAAAATAAGATATTAGTCAGTACATCCAAGGCTGCAGTGCCTCCTGGCTCGGGTTTTTCTGACTAAGACTTATCAATCGAGGGTACGCGCATAAGAAAGATACAGGCCCAGATGAGTACAACATTCAACATACTAAAAATGAAATGAACAAAATACGCACGAATTAACAGTTAGGCCCTTCCAGCCACATATTCATTTATTTTAATCAAGGGAATAAAGCTTCTTGCTTCAGCTTCGTATCATGTTGTCTAAAACAACCTAATACCGATTATGTCTTGGACAAGGTTCAGCAGTTCTCCACACTTCCTCAAAACGTCCGCTGTGCTGAAATCACTGTATTCTTGTCCACTTGTCTTTGAGTTCCTCTGTGGGTAGCGAGGTTTACTGAAGTCGCAATTCAGATGAACTAGTTCATATGTTACCTCAGACACTCGGCTAGAAGTTACTTCCCTGTGTTGGCAAACTGCCCTAGCTAGAGATATTAGATCGTTACAGTTCATGTCTGGACATCCGTCCAGACTGTACTGAGCTGCTTTGAGAGCAGTTTCTGCGGCCTGATGTACCTGGAAGGCTATCCACTGAGTTGGGACTGGTTCATGTTGGCTCGTCTGCTCGGCAACCTTAAGGTGTTCCTTGGCCTGACGGAACCACAGCCGTGCTTGTCGTGGATCTGGGGTCTCTCTTGTAAAGGACGGCGGCACAAAGTTACCATATGATCTGTTTGATCTGGCGCTGGACCGACTACGGTAATACGTCTCTTGATATCGTTTGGCTTCTTCCCTGTCCCTATTGACCTCTGATTCCCAGTAAGAATACTGATAAGAGCACCGCTGGTTGGGCTCACTACCCCTTTCATGCCTATTTATTTCTTGTTTGAGGAATTGGAAGGCCCAATTGGCACGTTCCTGCTGGCTTTGATTCTTATCGGGATGCCACTTGCGATAGAGACGGTAGAAAACCCTTTTGCGTTCCTCCGGCGGCATTCCAAATACCTCGTCAACCTCCATCTTAATTTGCTCTTCGTCTTTCTGCATGTCTTCTGGAAGAGCTTGGTCAAAATGTGCCGCAGGTGGGACATTAGATGTAGGTTCCCGGCTGAGAGGAACGACTGTCATGTCTGGTTGTTTCTTTGGTCGCAGAAATTTATAAAGTCTCGTCACTTTAACAATGATGGGCTCCTTTCCTCCAACGTCGATTTTGTATCGTCTCGATAAGTTGACCGTCTCATCACTCTTGTCAATCTGCTCAAGGATTTTTGCATAGATTTTCTCAGTAGCACCATCCGGCGGTGTTTCTGACGGTACCAAATCACCAGGGCCCGAGGCAAGGTCGTCACTGTCGTCATACTGCAACTGGTCTCCTTCGTCAATGTCTCTTTCATAACCTACTATCTCATCTACGAGGAAACGGTTGTAGGGGTCATGATCAAGCAGGTGACGAATATCTCTCGGTATTAGAGTACCCGGGATGTGCTCGTCCGGTTGGACAGCACTTGTTGTGATATCATACTCAGGGATGCCAGACTGGGAAATAATTGTATTCATCTCCGCAAGATTCTGACAGTCCAAAGCGTGCGCACAGTGACGTACATGTTCAGAATCTAGTCGATGTCTCAGGAGGGCATTGCAACTGTCTGCAATTTGCCCATAAGTCAAACCCTTCTGCTGAGAGAGTGATGAGTGCTCTAGGTGTATTATTCCCGCCAATTTGTCAAAATACGCTTTCCGCGTGTGCCTGTGCTCTGCAATTTTACGTCCATCATTGTCGTATAAGCCAAGCTTCAATTCTGCTTTGCAGACGAAATTGTCAAATTCCTGGAGTTGTGTTATGCGCTTTTTGATGTCAGCACTCAGTTGTTTGTTTTCAAACTGGTGTTTCAGAAGTCTGAGCAAAACACGAGTCATCTCCTCTGATTTCACCTTTCGCTTGATGCCTTCCAGATACTCACAATGCTGTCCAGCGAGGCAGTCTTCATTGGTGTCTAACGGCTTCTCATTCATCTCATCCCCAAGATTCTTAGGTCGGAGAGACTCTGGAAGAAGTTGAATGAGACGTATTTCATCCTCAACCCGAAATCCGCACTGCTCTACGGGAAAGATGAATTCCCTGTCCGTTGATGCAATGTCATATTGCCCCATTTGGTTACGGTCAGCATAATACAGTTCAGTCGACCTCCTCAAGAAGTATTTTGTATTAGGTAAATACAGCTCAGATGCGGAAAACGTGGATTGAACGCTCTCATTGTGCAACAGTAGGCCGAGCATTGCTTTAACAGCACCCACGGCTGTCTCCTGTTCATTTGGACCTAGACGTTGATTACCACATTCCTTTTTCATTGACGCCAGTACTCCTGCCAGCTGGTCAAAGGAACATGAATCCTGGGCTCCAAGCAGTCTGAGGACAGTATCAAACTTTGTCAATTCTCGTGGTGCTTTGTACAAGTATGGACGCAAAGACAGCTCAAGATCTTTGTCCATTTCAAATACCAACTGATCTGCTCTCACCAATACACGTCCTGCTTCCACAAGACATACTGGAGTACACTTCAAACGACGTTTAATGTCATCACTGTGCTTACGCATGCTTCCATTCAAGAAGCCCAAAATCTTGCCCATGACGCCTTTGAACGCCTCTCTCTGTTCTGTAGGCAGTGTGTCTTCTTTGTGAATAGCATTCTTTTTCTCCATCAGTCCACAGATGTTTTGTGTATGCGATAGAACTTTGTCAGCACTTGGATATTTTACAATGCCAAGACAACTATGAACAGTTACATGGTCTTTTTGGGTTGAATTTGGAGGTACGATCTCGTCTTTTATGGTTGAATTTGGAGGTACGACCTCGTGTGGTAGTACCATACACACTGTCCAAATGAGTTTCAAATGGGTTTTAGGCACCGATCCTTCGAATGCAATGAATACAGGTGCTCGGTTGTTATTGTCTGTTGAAGAGCAGGCAGGGTGGATTTCAAGCAGTTTAGACTTGATTACGACGGATGGAACGAACTTGATTGAAGCGATTGTCTTCAGGAAGTGTGGATCATGGAGCTTACTGTTAGTGCCAATTTCATTTATCAGAGTACCAGAGTTGACGCACAATTCCTCCCGTTTTTTCTTGTCTTTCACTTCACTAGCCCTCTTTTGTATGTCGTGTGCGAACTGAAGGAAGTCGGCTTGGGTAACTGTTGAATGGAAACCAATCTTCTCCAGCAAATATTTCAAGGTGTTCATGGATTCAGGCAACAAGTTGATTGGGTCGATCGAAGCCTTGAAGACAGGGTTGGCACTGTCGTAGAAGAAGCTGGCACGTTGCAGAATACCTCTTTCATCAGGAATGAACGGAATGTGGGACAGTTGCTTGAGAATTTCTTTTTGCTTTTGATCTTCAGTCTCATGCATGACGTTGTTTATGATGAATTTGAAATGCTCCAATTTAGCCTTTTGGCTAAGCACTTGGAAACTGGGAAATATGTACATGAGGTACATGTCAGCTTGTGTAATTGGCGTTATTCCAAGCTGATGGTATATCAGATCCAAGCTACGATTGGGCTCAAGAATAGCACAGTGCATGTTGTCCATCCAGGTCTTTGCGTCAACCATCAACATTCTGCCGCCTTCTGCAGTGTGGTAGTGATTAAAGCGATAAAGGTCAATGGCCTTTTCTTCTTCAATACGTCTAAAAACCGGGAGCCTTTTGACAGTCCTGATGCTGTCATCTGTTAGGCTTTCTTCCCCCTGAAAATAATGAAGGAGGGTGGTGCTTTCTGCGAGTGTCAGATCACCAACAACACTACCTGTCTCGAGCACATAACTGATGACACTTATGACATCCAGCCGTGACTGTGGTAAAGCCAAGTGCTTTTCCAGGAATTCTAGTAGCAACGGTGGTGCGTGTGGAACTAAAACTTTCTTACCAGCAATATATTTTGGCTTGAGCTCGCACATGGCCAATTTTTTAATTTCTGGGAGACCAAGTTTACGCAATGCATTGACCGTCTGCATCCCAAATCCAACTTCACTGTTTTGCAGGAGTAATACTGTTTTGGATAAAGACGGGGGCACCAGTTTGTCAGACGTAGTTGGAAATATTGGCCAGTGGCTGATACAATCAAGGGAGCCTTCCTCTAATGTCTCACTGCAGATGAATGCCCACAGGTGTCCAAGCCACGACTTGGAGGGATGACCATCTTTGCCTGATGTCCACTCAACGTGCTGATTGCAACCTTGCCAGCTCTCTGGCATATGCTTCCCAAGGTGTTGGGCCAGGTCCATTATGGTAAACTGCTTAAACATTCCACTGCTATCAGTAGCCTCGGAATTCTTTTTCTTAAGCTTCTCTAACCAATCAATGCACGGTAAAACAAGCTCGCTGTGAAGGAATATATTCTGCAGACAAGGTAGTACCCTGGAGTGTCCTGTCACATATGAACCATCACACGTTGAAAACTCACGCAGTTCGCCATCATTCGTCAGACGGATGGGCAAGCCATTCAGCTCAGCTGGATTTTCGATACCTTCAAGGCAGTACTCGAACACTGTACGCAAAGTCTGGATGTTCTTGAATTTGGTTTCCTCCAATCGAGCAGGGATGGTCTGTGCCACTGGATTAGATCCAGATGAAAGATGCTGAACGACAGATTGCGGAGATACAAACTTTGCTTCAACATCGCAATCTTGAAACGCCGAACATACATCCCGAGAGCTGGCCAACAGGTTGAAGTTGACACTCAGCAAGAAGGTGCGCATTAACTCCCGTGGTGTAGGCCTACTCACTGAGCTCAAGCCGGCAACAGAGGGAGTGCTAACAAAGTTATCTGTGAATGCAAGACTGGCATCACTATTTGGATGATGCCAAGTGGTTGTGATAGCATCTTCGGTTTGACGTACAACAGGTAAAACCGTCAAGTTTTCCTTACTGATGTACCGAAGCGTAGCTTTTGCTAGGAGTTCCCATTCTCCACTATAGCTCTTCAAATGCTTTGGAAAAAGCTCATCATACCGCCAAAGGTGCAGTTTCAAAGACTTGACATCAGCTTCCCCAAGTATTATTCGCCCCGCATGCTCAATTAATTTAGCATAAGCTGGGGCAAGTGCATGCTCTACCAGTATTCGATTCCATCTATGGATGAGTGGGCTCTTGTCTGAAGTATCATCTGATTTCGCATAATCATCGCCTTTTGCAAGATTCTTTCTTGCCGAACCCAACTCAAACGTCCCACTCACGTGCACTGATAATTTGGTGTAAACCGGCAGTGGGAGAAAGCAGTACGCCTTGGGCCGCTGAATTGTTGTCATCTCCGTTCTGCTATCCTTGAGGAGAGCCGCTACTCCACCACGTGGAATCTTTAAGCTACAAGCTCTTGACACCGACTGACATTCAGACTCCAAACCTTCAAACCCCAGTGTCTGAGAAATGAGCCATGTTTGTTCAGCGCCAAGCGAGTCACTTGTCATGAGGGTGTACACTTGAGACATGGGCTCAATTGTCTCACAGGGGTCATCTGTGAAAAGCTTGAGGTGCTCTGCCAGCTGTGAGCGTCGATCTTCGTCTTGTTCTGATAACTTTGCACTGATGCTGTATTCTGTTGTCAGGTTGTTGGTGTGTTCATCAATACATGAAACACTGATCGTTTTGATGTTGTTGAGGAAAAGAAGAGCTTCATCTGACACTTTTTGGAATTCACCAAGCAGCTCCTTTACTCTTCTTGGATGGAAAGTCTCTTGAGAAAGCCTGGATTGCTGTTTCCTGAGTGGGAACCGGAAAACTGTTCCCCCCTTTCCATTAAAGGCAGGTATATCCTCCAGATATCCTCTCAACATGTCCGGGAATTTTTCCCTGAACGGAGCGTCTGCCAACAGTTGTTTCCCGGGTGAATTATTCTGTGTCACTGGAGAAAACATCAATAGCGGATCAAACACACAAAGGGTGTCACTGTTGCTCAGGAAACTCGGGCAATCAGTCAGGTGGTAGACTGCATTGAAACCGATTCCAAACTTCCCAGTTGTTGTTATGTCGTCTCTCTTTCCTCCAACTCCTACCTTTTGAATGCCTTTGATGTCTGCTTCAGTGAATGGCTTGTCATTATACACACAGAGCGATGGAAGGTCTCCTACGGCAGCCCAGGAATCACATATGACCTTCTCTGCTTCGTGATGACGTGGATCGTAAACAAAGTGTATCTCTGTTGATCCTGCATCATCGGCATTTTGAAGAAGCTCTTTGAATACATCAGAGACGTTTGGGTACAACCCTAGTATGTTATTCAGACGATCCGTTAGTTGTTCACTCTGGCCGAAATCTGTTGCAAACCCTTGCAATGGTAGGCAGCTATCAATGTACTTCTCCCTTTCAGTGACGATACCCAAAACCTTAGCATAAATGGGGGACGATATATCTCGATGTGTATACTTTTCTTCGTCACGACTTCCCTCCCATTCCATATCGTTGTATGTCAGCTCTCCTGGTAACCGCAAGATCCCGCAGATGTCTGGGACATAGATTAAGCCCTTTTGTAAGCTGCTTTTCCGGCTACCTTTAGTGTTTTCTCCATGCTTTTCTTCTAACTTGGAGACAACTTCTGACAACATCATCGTCGCGGTTTTCAGATCTGATTCACTCAGAGGTTCCTCGCCATATGTTTCCTTCAGAAGCTGAAGTGTTTCAAGGAAGTCCTCTAGAATTGAGTGAGTTCACGGGAAACTTTGTACAGATATGGTCCATCTTTGCCTTCGTAGAGAAAAGCAAGTTGTTTACACTTTCTGAATTGGCCATCACAGAAAACGAATCCTATCGAACGAAGCTTGTTCACAGCAGCACGGTGCTCTTCTTTGAAAGTATCTTCACCGTTTGGAGACTCCACGCAGATTTCGCTCTGGAGATATTCGTATATACTTCGAACCATTGATGTTTGATGAGCCACCCCAGGTGCTTGATTGATCAAAATATCAAGTTGTGAAATGACATCATTGACTGCAACTTGTTTTCCCGTGAATCCAAGAAAGGTTTTAACCTTGTCACTCATTGCCTCAGATCCCAATCTGTTCTCGTCCAATAGTGGTCGAACGGACCCAAGAAGGTTCTGGTGTTCTGGTGTATGAAGCATGTCTGCAGACATAAACTCATTGTCAGAGTGACACCAATCAATAGGATAGCTAAGGGGCTTCTCCAGGACTGGAAGGAAAGCTGCTTGTTGGATGCGTTTCCTTTGATCGGGTGTTGGCTCGTCAGACCTTCTGAGCTTTTCATCCATCAGCTTTAAAAGAGTCACGCACCTCTGGACAACATTCTTGCCCCCTGAAAGTGATTGTGCTCTCTCACAGATATCTTCCCAAGATAAGTCATGCAAAGCCATCCCTAGCTGGGATAAAGACAGAAGACGTTCTTGTTTACGGTACAGCTCTCCATATGGAGACCGGCAGTCAGTCTCGCTATACAGTGATCCAACTGGTGATTCAGGATTCACCAAATCCTGAGGTCTTGCCAAGTCTTCTCCTTCTGGGGAAGTCGGTATACACTCCGTATCCTTCAGTAATTCATCATAATCTTCCAGTTTTCTTTCTCCAAGACGAAGGTCTAACATGTAAAGAACAATCCTGTTTCTGTGGGTAGACTCGATGTCTTGAGGGTTCTCTTCAACATCGGAAATAATACCTCAGATAAAAATCGCTGGATGTTGAAGGTGTTGCTGTCGAAAACTTCTTGAGCGTCTACTTGTTTGATGCTGTCAACTACATCTCTTTCCAGTTCGACCCATCGTTTCTGATTCTGTTGCTTGCTTAGCACAGTTGTTATACTTCGTCTCACCTCTTCAGGATCGGTCAATCCCCAATCAGTGAAGAAACATCGATGGACTGATACCCACTTACTTTGGTGAAAGAATACGTCTGGGGCATCGACACAACTTCCTATCTTCTTGTAGAAGGCTTTAACGAAAGGATGAAAATCAGTTTCAGACTCACTCCATCTGGGCCACAAAAACTGGAAGTTGCGAGCATCAACAACATCTTTTTCATGCAACATTTGAAGATCTTTCAGTAGATTCACAAAAGCACGCAACAAGACTGATTCCATGAAGCAGATATTCCAACGGGTCTCAAATTCTCCCGTGTCGGAGGAGGATTTGCTCCACAGCTGGCGACGGTTAGGTTGCAGCAAGAAGTTGCCATTGACGTGGAACGGTAGCCCAGTTGAGACGGCAAGAGGTCTCTTTGACACCCATGCTATTTAGGAAACATCTGTACTGGAGACAATCCTCAGGAACAAGGCGTAGATAAGGGGTCAAAGAAACACCAAGTGTCCCGTTGCTCAGGGCCATCTTGTCAGGAGTGGTGAAACCAGAACCATGCCACACCCATGGTTGTGGAGCACTCATGTGCTCGTGAAAAAGGTGTCTCAATTGTACATTCTCTGCTCTAGTGAAGAAGAAATATACCTCGGACACTGTATGAGAAACAATATGCACATTATCACGAACATTCTGGTAGTTGTTTGCAACATTCTTAAGATGAAGCATTACCCGTTCGACGTGTTGGTAGTTGCTGGAATCAAGATTCTGTTTCCATCCAAAGGCATTCAGTAATTCATCTTTGACGTTATGTAACCTGACAAGAGGGAGCACAGAGCCTTGAAGCAGAGCAGAATCAATAAGTCCTACTTGTCTGGGTGAGTAGAGTGTTTGGGAGTTTCCAATCCAACCAGCCTTGTTAGGGTAGTCAGCAGGTGGTGAAGCTTCACACGGAACCCAAAACAGATCTTCAAGAAACTTATATAGTGCTTTACATGTCCTGTTGCTCGTGACCTGTTCACGTAAGAGACCCGGATAGTGGTTGATGTGTTGTAAAAGTACTGATCCCCTTTCAACATCATGGCAGTTTGTGGTTTGGGAAACCTCCGTTGCACACCTCAAAACGTCATTTGGTGTCACGTCTGCCTCTGTTTTGAGTCCGACCCGTTTCAAGTTGTCTAGCAGTCTGCCTTTGGAATAATGTCCAACTGGAAACCTGCTGCTTCCTCTAAACATCACCTGAAGGGTTTGAGAGGGCTCGAACAGCTCCTCTGGACTTGCTTTGCATCCAGAAACTAGAATAAACTTCAAGTCTGTCACCAAGTGGTCAAATGTTACTTGCTCCAAGACCCACCTCATGATTTTCAGTGAATCGTCGGCACTATAGAATCCCTCCTGTACTGCAGGGAGGACGTTTCTTTGTAGAAACTGAACAACAGATTGCTTTTCAACCCCAAGTTGTAACAGTAGCTTGTCCGACTCATCAGATCTTAGCATAATACATCGACGTCTCAGAGCTCTCACTGGTAACTCAAAATAGTCACCAGGAATTGAAGTTGGACATGTCCTGACTGCAATATATGTCCCATCACTTCCACGAAAGAAAGAGAGAGACTTCAAGATGTCACTTTGTCGGTGCGTTAGGTGCTGGAGTTTTGCGAGGAAAGTACATAGTTCGTCTTTTGTGCTTGCAGCCAAACCTTGAACCTGTGCATCGAGGTTATTTTGGCTGCATGCCTCTAGAATGGTCATTACTCCTTCGGGTGTCGGAGCACCAACAAATTTGTTGACATGTCGGTGATTACTTATATAAGACGGAAGATCCCGTATAACAACAGCCCCGACAGACACAAGAAATGAACAGATGTTATCTGACAAGCGTGCAGGATAACGCCCATAAGAGCCCCCCTCCTGCACCTGGCAAATTAGCTTACTCTGTTGCAGTCTGGCAATGCGACTGTGTGCTACCGGAATGAGGGGAATACCTTTGAACGCCTCAAGGTCTGTTTTTGCCAACCATCTCCAAAACTCCTCTAACCACTCCTTTGTTGGTTGTTGGTCCTGTCCCGGGGTCCATGGCACGGTATCATCTGTTCCTCCTCTCCACGTGCTTGGAAGCATCTCTTTCAATAGAGGTGCAACATCATTAACGCCAATGCGTTTTAGCTGTGTGTGCTCCTCTATTCTCGGATCTGTTAGCAATGTCGATGGTAGGTCACTTACAGCGAATTTTGACGCCCCATTTGGGATCAGAGAACTTGGATTCTCTGTGGTCGCAATGTATACTATTGGCGCATCGTTACGAAACGCAACAAAATCGCCACTCTGCAAGGGAAGCAGACGCAGGTTTTTCAGATCACAAACTGGTTCACTGGTCACGTATTTAAGAAGCTCAAACTTCTCGTCACGTGACAGGAACTGCAGTGGATCCCCTCTGATCCAGTCACTCACAAGTGCAGGTGTAACCGTGTTGTAAGTCACACCTGCCCATTGAAGAGACTCCAGAACGTGGTTTGGAGGCTGTGCAACTGGACAACCTTTGATTATCAGCACCTTTGAAACCAAGGGGCTTTCCTCTGGGTCAACATACAGGTCCATTGGCTTTTTCCAGGAGCCGCCATTATGCTCTGTGTAGAAGATGGGCTCGTTCGCTAGCAGCTGCAAGAATTTCTTGACCCCAGCTGACCAATTTGCGTGTATGTGCTCAATGGAAGGCCACGCTTTATACACATCCAACGGCGTCGTTGGATCAGACAGATCTTTACTCTTCTTTATAACAGCCTGGATGACCTTTGCATAAACTTCCGGAAAGACTTTCCGTGTGAGGAGCTTGTTCCAGAGTGCCTTGTTGTCATGCTGGGACTCTTGATCTGGCCACTTGATACTACGACGGTTGTCTCCAAGACCGAAGTAGCCGTGTACGTGGACTGGCAATCCAGTCTTCTCACTCTCTGGCAAAGGTAAGAAGCAAAACACACGGCCACTTCGCTGTTCGTCATCTAAACCTGCTGTAGAGCTTATTAGGAAGGACATCCCCATCCATGGCAGCAACTTCAGTTCATCATCTTTGCTAAGTTCTTGGAGACGTCTGGATGTGCTCTTGAAGCTGTTCAAGATGATGTATCTGCTGGTCGTTTGAGCTGTCTGTGATCCAGTTTGCTTCTGGATTCGTACACAGCTCATTGTTTGAATGTCTTGATTCGAGATAATCTGGCTCAGGAATGTTGTTCTGTCCATACGAAGCTGATGACGATCGTCTTCGTGAATCTGTACCTTACAAATAAGTCTAGGATTGTCAGACATAAGATCTCTTTCATACACGGCTATGGATTCTACATGCTTGAGAAACAACAGAGAGATCTCTGCATCTCTCTGGAATGACGCAAAGAGGTCATGCACACGGGCATGATCAGTGAACACCGACTTACTGACCAGTGATTCCCTGGTTCGCAATGGAAATCGAAAAACAGTACCCTCTAATTGACCGTTTTTAAAGTTGTGTTTATTACAGTGAAACAAGTCAATCAGGTATGGTGAAAACTGGTCTGGAAATTCAGCCAGAAGATCGGCTGTCATCTTCCACTTCTTACCACGCCTGCCTTTGTATCTTGTGTTGGTGTGAGGGTCATGGATGAAGTTCTTCTCCAGTGGGTCCAAGAAACCGATTTTGTTGCCACTGATGATGCAGGGCATGTCTGTGAGGAAAAGAAAAATTGAAAACCTTGATAATCATGACTTTTGTGTGAAATTAAAAGTACGCTAATGCAAAGAGTATGTTGATAAAAATGAGGTTGCCAGTATACATGTTACTCACCTGTAAGATGGTAGACAGAGATGAAGCCCAGGCCGAACCTCCCAACCTTGGTAAGGTCTTCCAGCTTCCCACTCTGCTCAGGGTGCTGGATGTTGTACCAGTCTTGCTTCTGAAAGGTTGCATCATTGTAGGCATACAGAGCTGGTCCTTGGAAGTCCTTCAATGTCTCAGACCACAATTGATGGCTCGGATGTTGTGTCTTGTCGTAAAGAAAAATCGCATTCTTTGCTTTTGCATCATCTGCATTCTGCACAAGCTCCTGAAATTGACAGATATTTATATTCAACAGGACAGCTTTAACTTCGTTTTTCTATTCACAAAGGTCAAACCAGTGATTAAAAAAAACCACATAATGTTGAAATTAGTTTTTTATATACAAAATTGAAAACACATTTTGTAAAATTTCTAACGATAGTCTTTCTGCATCATGTACAGACGAATATTCCTACCTTCAAGATCTGTCCACCTTCCGGGTATTTGTCCAGAACCCTCTTAAGGTAGATGTGTAGCGGTGGCAACTGCTGCCCAAAATCCCCGTCCTCTGCAAAATGGAAAATACGCACTAAGGATTATTAACATAAATCTAATCAGCATCATTTATCAAGGGGACTATTTTGTTCGTTTTTAGGACCCATATCTCGCCATCATCACTCGAGTTGATCATTGGCGTAGTCAGGATGCCGTTTTTACCAAGACCAAGAATACTAAGATACCTCTTACAAAAACTGTGGTTCTAGTGTGGCTCAAGTTCACGTTGCTTTTATATGAGAATACATCATTAATGATAGAGTCTTTAATAAAAACAGGTCATTTCACAGATAGGACTTACCATCACTAGAATCTGGCATTGTGTTTCAATTCTGCACTAGATGAGCTCGTAGCAAATGTGCATACTATAGTCGGATTTATTTCCTCTCTCCGCAGACGAAGTCTGTAAAGTGACGTTTGTTACAAAAACATTCATTATACAGACCCTAAATATATAGATTTGGGATAACAGCATTTGTTATCGCCATCATGCAAGAGAAAACTTAAAATTTGACTTCAATATGGAATAAACAATAAAGCTAAAAAAATATGACAAATCAACCTTATTTAAAGTGTGGATTAATAACTCAGTGAAGATGGGTTAAGTACGAAAACTTATATTTTCCTACTGTTTTTGGCTAAACGGCATTATATGTTGATTTTCTGATATATTATATGCGTGCTTTTCTCAGGCACTCGGTGTCTCAATGTGACATCAATTTAATTTTATAGCTTTTCCCAGCCAATTTCCTAAAATCTTCATTCACTTCTGAAAATCTGAAATTCACTTCGTCTGAATTGGCGAATCGCTCTGAGTACGCGTTCCATTTTCGCTACCAGAGCATTCAATTCCATTTCAGTTCAATCAATTAAGTGATTGATCAGCACCTTTTGTTTATGTCAATTCAGATTCGTTGACAAGACTTTTTTTTCGTTTTTAGATGGCGATTTTAAACATTCTTCATTTTATTTCACTTTACTTTAATGACATTGGCACCAGATACAATTAGGAGTTTCTTTTTCATTAACCGTCAATCAAATTAGCTGTACCTGAAATCAATTTAGAAAAGGTATGCTTGCGTAAATGAATGCACAGGTAACGTACAATTGGCCGTCTGTTTCTCAATAAAAGTGAATGTACGGACAATGAAAACGGTTGAACTTTCGTCGAATTGAAATGGAATTCAAGACGTGCATTCAAATCCAGACCAAAATGAATGACCGATCTTTAGAAGTGAATGAACATTTCAGGAAATGGGCCTGGAAAACCCGCTTCACTAAAAAACCCAGCCCATAGCGAATTTCTTTGTACTGCGTTGAATGATAATAACCATAACAAAAGATATAGATTTATATAGCGCACTTATCCGGAAACTATGCAATGACATACTGGATACGGATTAAAATGATACCAGGAACAAAGAAAATACGAATTTCGTGCTAAGGGTCTGTCCTTAAAGGGACTATACAACATTTGCAAACATCAAAAACAAATCTACCAGATTATCACGAAATACCTTACTGGACTGTTAGTGAGTGACAATTTAAAGCATTCCGAAACTCATGGCCCAGTGGTGTGCTGACATTTTCAACAAAAGTGGAATTTTTGTATCAATACGGGTAAAACGGGCTGAATACAATACCATAGTGTTATCGAACAGGGTTGAAGTGTTGAACGTTTGCATACCATCATTTGAGAAGAATAAGAAAATAAAGTGATATCATCCATCGAGACTTCTTCGAATATTAAATTCGAAAGTAACCAGAGATCAACAGATTTGGGATCAAGATTATGGAGGGATTTTAAAGGGATATTACGGTCTGGAATGCGCCCAATTTGGGCTACATAACGCGTTTACAAGGAAATTATATTACATGACGTTTTTGTGTTATTCTTGCGAGAACCATGCAGGAACAAATTTCGTTTCGGGGGTCACAATTTTGTCCCCGAAAAATCGAGGTGTTCAGTTCTATTTGTGATTCCAACCGCACCTACCTACCTTTGTTCACATTTTACGGACGTGTAAGAAACAAATTCTGTGTAATGGTGCTGTGTGTAATTAATGTGACACACACACAACGTGTATCGTACATTGAACGGAAACGACATGAAATACGTATGCGTACTCCGTCGTGTCGATGCAAACAACCTGCTGGCTGTTTTTTAGTACTCTTTTCTCGGAAACGGTAAGACATTAGGTTAGTTTCTTTTCAACTAGAACTTAAAAATAGTATATTAAATATACAATCCAAAACATGCCTGGGAAAAAAATGTTGCAACCTGACGCCACTTCTGCGCTTGTATACAAAGTCTATGGAGAGTCAAGAACATTTTTAAAGTATTTCCTAACAAAATTGGTAATATTTCTCAGTCCCAGATTCATGTCTTATCATCATTTTTGCAATGAATGAACTTCATCGCGATGATATATGAAGAAAGAAATGGCGTCAGGTTGCAACACTTTTTCCACGTGCCTTTTTGGGGATTTCAAGCCGTAATGCCACTTTCAGAAACAGCATACTATTCTATAGCAAATATAATGAAAAATAATCATTAAATTCTCCATCTAAAAATGAAAGTTGTAACTGGTACTCGGCCCCCTAGGTTTGTGTACGAATTGCCCGGTTTGTTTGTCATCCAATCCCAAGATGTAAATCAGACAATTGAGGGGCGTAGCACTTCATTGTGTTTTTTTAATTTTATAAATGTTGTCATAATTATTTGCAAGATCGTGGTGCATAATAATGAAGCTAACAACAAACGAAAAGAATGTTGCAACTTGACGCAATTTCTTTCTTAATATATCATCTCAATGAAGGTCAGTCATTGCAAAAATGATGATAAGACACGAATCTGGGACTGAGAAACATTTCCAATTTTGTTAGAAAATACTTAGAAAATGTCTTGACTCTCCTAAGACTTTGTACACAACCCCTGAGGTGGCGTCAGGTTGCAACATTTTTTTCCCGAGCAAATCACCCTACCACCTAGTCACTTGCATAAGATGTGTCAATAACCCCTCGTGTGTCCATATTTCGTCTTTTTTTTTTTAGGGGAAAACAAAATTATAACTCACCAATCATGCCAACAAATAATGTAAACCATTCATTGTGAGTGGTTGAAGACATTAATGGAAGCTACATGTACATATGACCATGGAGGAACACGACTTGGCTATAGCCTCGTACGGGATTGTGGAGTTTCCAATCCGATGAATTTGAAAACGCAACAGCGTATCCACTATTCCAAGCGGAAATGATGGCAGGAAAAAAGTAGGAACTTAAGGGTTGAATAATTACACAGAGTACGTACGTGTACATGTATGCCCGGCCTACAATGCGCACGCGCATGCCCCCGCCAAGCGTCACTTTATTGTAGTATTGCTCATTCCAGAAATCCCAGCAGCCATCACGTGTCTGTCAACGGGCTGCGGCGCTTATATTTGCAGCACACATCGTCAATGATCATGACGATGTTTATTCGATGTTTCTATGTTTATTCATAAGAAAATAATAACTATAACGTCACACCATTGCTATCACTCAGTCATGCATGTACATTAAAGCATTTCAAAGAACGGCTTTCGTCGAGCTGCCACAGTGGCCTAGTGCATAGTGGAATGAACACAGTGGATCGCAAAATGTGTGGTTCGAACACCCATGTCCATTTTCATCAAATATTGTTTGTTGGTTGGGATAAGCTTAATTGAAGGGAAAACACGACGAAAACCCACTAAGTACTGTCTTCCGTCCACACAGAGTGATAAATATTCATGTTAGGGTGCGTGATGTGTGATTGGTTAAAATACGATGTACACTGCAAAAAAATGCAATCTAATTTTCTTTACCGAGTGGTAACACTCAAATTGTATTCGTGTTAACATAGTAAAAAACGACAAAACAAAAAAAAAGAACAAAAAACGAAAAAGAAAATAATAAATTCATCAAATCAATGAATGAACTGGTACTTTTTGTTTACACCATTTCTTGTATGTATTGACTATTTTGAGGAAAACCTTTTCCAGACAATAAACTCGATTAAGTACACAAGAAAAACCCGAAATTTAAAAAGTGAGACTTAAATTGCTTGTTATTTATTATTTAATTGTATATTGCAAACTTGGTTAGGGGCAATGTCATGAATAATTCAGTTTTTCCTTTGAATCATTGCAAGACTTAGGTTCTCGTTCTATTTTCCCCTTAATTTAATATTATCTCAGTGATAAATTTGGAGAAGAAAAATAGCTGATGAAAATGAGCAGCGACGACGTGGATTCGAACCAGGGATCTTTGTATCCATAGCTCATCTCGCTATCCACTAGGCTACTGTGTGGTAGCTCGACGACAACCGTTCTTTAAAATGCTTTAATGTATTGTAACTAGTTGAGTATACAACAATGCTGTTGATGTCATTGTTCGTTCTCATGGATAAACATGAATTATTCATGACATTGCCCCTAACCCTCCTAGGAATAAAAACTACGCGGTCAGGCAGCCTCCATGGCTAAAAATAAAAATGACGACATTGACGGCCCTTTTTCAAAGCTCGGCTTCGTTTCCGATTTCGCTTTATCACATAAAGCTTTTAATGCTCCGATCATTTTTTTTAAAATAAATCACTTGCTTCATATATCATACAGTTATGATATACAGTTTAATACTTCTGTAAGAAAACATTGACTAATTTTGACCTGGAATCTTCAAAGTTAGACACCCAAACAGCACTGTAAGCAGGCGGAGCCGAATTGAGACCACACCGAGTTTTGGAAAATGCCGGTAACGGTCGTCAAATTCAAACTAGTGCATGACGCAGCAAAAAGTTCGCCCCTCGTATACGATCCGAGTGCAAAATCGTCGTTGAATTTCAAGTTTTCTAAATAAAAGCAATGGATATTAATTATCAACTAGTTTTTTTTTAAGTTTTTAATAAGCAATTAGCAGTTAATAAAACCTATATTATACTCGGAAATACTCGGACACTATCCGATTGTCGAAATGAATTCGGCAAACTTCGGACATTTTCGGAAAAAGGAGGAATTCCTCCCGTTTTAGTCACGTGACGTAAATTGTAATACAATGTATTCCCGGAGGCTACCGGACCTAAGATTCATCAGGAATAGTCAGAATCTTTTGGTCTGGGAACCAGACTAGTGGTTGGACGAAAGAAAGCGCGTTTCAGCTTGCGCATGCGCAAAGCACGTACTGGCAATGCTAATAAAACAGGTGTAGCGTGAATATATCCCACTCCATTTTGGACTCGTTGGTAGTATTGCGCATGCGTAATCATGATAATAGCCTATAAATAGACCTATTTATAGAAGAGTGACCTGTCACGCGCGGGATTAACCAATAATAGGCACAAGAATTCTGATTTTCATCGGAGTCGATTTTCATAGGACACCGGGTTATTCTTAGACTTGAACTCAAGTCCAAGGCTGTGTCATAAAGGGACGCCGGACAGCGCTACTACGTCTAGTCTCTATACGTCACGCAGTCGTATTTTTTGCATAAACCTTGACCAGCCTACCTGAAATGACTTTGGACTTGTAGAGTAATGGGCCTGATGCATTGTTTGATCCAGGCAAAAGACGTTGATGATTGACTGAAGACACGTGCTCGGCTGTTTGATGTTTAAATCGTATCAGATTTTCAAATGTTTTGCTGAATATCACAGTAGCACAGTACGAAAGGCGGACGTTACGTTTACACCCACCATTATTATCTACAGAAACTACATTACTACAACAGGCCAACATGGCTGAGCTAGCGTCTATTCTGAGTCTTGGCTTGGTTGCAGCATTAGCGTATGCAGTCTGTGTCTTGGTGCGTTATGTTCAATCACAGCGCAGAATTCGAGGAATTTTAATAAAACACTGGCCGGGACTGTCAGACCACTGGTTTTACGGTAATCTTCACCAGGTAAGAGATTCGTTTCATGTTAACCCAGACAGAATAGTACAGTTTTGTAAGCGAGATTTACGTCAAGTACGAGCAGTGCCATCGTGATCGTATATAGAATTACCCTGCTACGCTAATGAATGGGCTAAATTTGGCTTATTGCGTAGAGCAAGGTACCGTACAGTATAGTTGAAAGTCATGCTGGATCAATAATTTGAACATAATTTTATGAGCTTTGAGAACAGCTTTACCAGGCTTTGCTTATTTTGTTGATGTGAATGTAACCTTTTTAGTGCAAACTTTGAAAATGCACCTTTGAATGCTAATGTAAATTTCCATATCCATGAGCAAAAGTGTGATGTCATTTTAGATAGAAACCTCAATATTACAGCTATTCAGCACCATCATTCGCCAGCATTTTGGATATTGTTTTTTTTTGGCGGGGGGGGGGGGGGGGGAGTGATTAGTTGTTGGGTACTAGTAGCAGTTTGTTAAACCATGATCACTGCAACAGTGCCCTCAGTCGTAAGGAAAAGCATGGGGGAAAAATAAGTAACGAAAACTCAGTAGTGCACTTTTCAAATAAAATTAAACGAAAAGGAACGTCATATAGTTTTCATACATGAAGAGTAGAAAGTTAGACAATGCGTACCTAAGAAAAAAATATTGCACAAACCATGGGAATGATCCTATTAGTGTTCTTGGGAACCGAAGCATATCTTTTCTGAATTTATAGTAAAATGCTTACAATATTAACTAAAATTAATTGTCAAGCTAATTATCTTTACGCTTTTGTAGCACCCTATGAATGATCCCAAGGTTCGAGAAGCCGGTTCCGAGGAAGAGTTGAAATTTTGGCGGGAAATGGATGCTAAATTCCCCCGTGGATTTCGCTGGTTTCACGGGCCTCTGGCCATTGGTGTGACAGCCAACCATCCTGATATAATGCGGGCAGTAATGAAGGGAAGAGGTAGGTATATAGACCACGTTGCGGCCATCTTGATTTGTCCCATTCAAATCAACTTAAACGAGTTGAGGCTGGAAGGAAAAATAGTCTGGTTCCACTTCCTTTTGCACAAAGTCTATAGCAATAGGTCACAGATAGGTGGAATGTGACAATGTAGAGTATCATTATAGGTGACGTGACACGATCTCATTTATATCAAATCAACGATTCCTGAAGCAGCTGTCGTGGCATAGTTTAAAGGAAGAGTAAACCATTTTGAAGCTATCCAAAAAGTAACCGACCGAGTTACATCAATTGTGAAAAGGTTACTCAAAATATACAGCAAGCACAGGGCATCAGGTTAGTTCTTATAAGCATTCGTCTTTAGAGTTTGAACACTTTCGTCTACTCAAATGAAAAGAAATCTACAAATTACAAGTATAGGAACCTATGAAATCACACGGAAACGGTATACATGTACCACTATTTAACACCCTTGCTCATGGTGAAGATAGGACTAGTACCCTAGTACCCTGAGAAATATTCCGCCTGATATGAAAGTCATTCGAAAGAAAACTATCATTGAAAATGGTTTAAGGAATATGTGCCGGTGGATGCAGTTTTTTTAAAGTGCGTAACGAGACCCCAGAAAGTGCATAGACGTTTTCTCTGTTTTCTCAATCATGCACTGAGCTCAATCTTCAACAGATTTTGAGCAATTTTGTCGAATCAAAGTTGAGGACAACAAATTGTAGAAAAACCAAAGGATCCAACTTACCTTTTAATCACACATGTTTGATTTGTTATACGCAAACATTTTTCTGAAATGTATTGTTTAGAAACCGTATTGTTTTATAATCTACCCATCTTTCCTTCAAATCCCTACAGATCCCAAGCCTACTAAGGCATTAAGTTCTGGTTACCGTTTTCTTCTGCCTTGGCTGGGGTATGGTCTGCTTCTTGCTAGTGGAGATACCTGGTTTCGTAATCGCCGCCTCATTACCCACGCATTCCACTTTGAGATCCTCAAGACCTACATGACAATCTACAACAAAGCTACCGGCATCTTGCTGGTGAATATCAACATGTATAATGTGTATATAGAATCATTTTACGCAATAGCGTGGGGAACGATATTAATCATATACTGCTAAAGTTGTTGCTAGCATCTCAAGAATAATAAAACATTGTACGAATTCTGCAAGCCATTTTAAACTTATTTCAGGTAAATACTTCCAAAAAGACTTTTATCCAGATACATATACCCATTCATCTAGCAGGGATAAACATTTTGAAGGGTTTCTGTTCTTCCGAATTGATTCTGTTGCCTACAGAACAAGATGAGTGAATGTGCAGCAAGTGGTGAGAGTTTTGTGGTGACAAAGAACGTCAGTCTGTGTACGTTGGATATCTTGCTCAAGTGCGCTTTTTCTTATGAATCCGGCTGCCAAATAAGCGGGTAAGCTTATGTCTGTCGACATACCATCTCGTTCTTATTGATAATTATGTAGGAAAAGAAACTTTTTGTTTGCTATTACAATTTTGGTATCCCTTCCCGAATGGAGCTTCATCGGTCGATGTGAATGCATCACTTCAAAATAATTATTCCAAAGTGATGGCAACTTCTCTAGAGAGAATATTTTACCTCACTTGATGTTTATTGCTGAGTTCTATTTTTCGCAATTATATTAACTTTATTTATATTGAAAGTGTTGTAACATAGTCTTCAATTGTTTTTTTATGTGCAGAGACAGTCACCCATATGTTACTGCGATGAATGCAATCGCTCTTGCAACCAGAGAGCGAGTATTGTAAGTGCTTGTAATACCTTTTAATAATAATCTCAAAACAGTTTGCTCTGCTTTGACCTTTATTTTTTAATTATTTGCATGATTTGTCAATCAAACACGATCATGAATACATAGAATAAAGTTTAATAGTATAAGAGCTTTAATATTTCGCCATGTGTGAGATCAAATTCTGTTGTCCCATGCACAACGGAACACAAAATGGTGTATACGTTTTTCTTTCTTCTATTAAGTGAGTTCCACTCTTATAGCCATGGGTCTTATTCACGAGTCGGCCATATTGAATTGAAAGTGAGGTAAAATCTTATTGGAAGATAATTATCTTTTTGGAACTTGCGAAGAGAAATGAAAGCAAGTTAATTCCTCATTAATTCCAGTCTGCTTCAATGAATAATTGTAAATTTGTAATCTTAAATTCGATGTTTAAAGCCAGATTTTTTTAAAAAGACAGTAAAATAAGGCTGCAATGTGCCTGCATAAATAGTCTGGCGCCATCCCATCGAACAGTTAACACTTTAAATGAAATACGTTCAGTGAACTCGACAAAAATGCCCAACTCGTGAATAAGGCCCATCATCTTTCAGCTTCAAAACACGGATGCAGTTCTTTGTTTACCTACATCGTTTGTCTTCCCTTCTCTAGCAATCCTTTTCTTCATCCAGATTTCATATTTCAGAGGACTGCAGTTGGGAAAACATTTCTCAAAAATGTAGACTTTGTGCACCAGATCGCCGATAAGGTTGTCAAAGAACGTCGAGACAAACTGGTAAGCAAAGTTGTCTTTGAAAGTTCTTTTTTCTTCTTCTTCTTCGTGTGTTCGATGGGCTGAATGTAAGTGTGACAGGATATTTTTTTTGAAAAGGTGAGCAAATATTTTGGATTCAAGTCACAAATTTTGTGTCTTCCAATCGGTTGTTAGAAAGAGAAAGAGGCCGATCCTGAGCCCGTGAAATCTAAAGACCAGCCCCTGGATTTCTTGGGCATCTTGCTAGCTGCCCGAGACGAAGACGGCAAGGGACTGACGGATCTAGAGATCCGTAACGAGGTGGACACTTTTCTCTTCGAGGGTCACGACACCACGGCTAGCAGCCTGACCTGGATGCTGTATGTCATGGCAACCAATCCTGAACATCAGAGGAAAGTCGAGGAGGAAATTGATGAAGTGATGGAAGGCAGGGAATCAGAGGTAATTCAATGGTAAGTCTACTTTGGCAATTTCCGGTGTTTCAGCCCTCTGTCCTTATAACAAAAGCCTACATGTATAGTAGGTTGAGCAACTGCAGCAATTTACTGCTTGCTACTAGTCGTGAGCGTTTGCCTCTTACTGTTCTAGGGAGGACCTTGGCAAGTTCAACTACTTGATTCTGTGTCTCAAGGAAGCCATGCGACTCTACCCTCCGGTACCAATGATCCAGCGTATTGTTGCAGAGCGAGATATCATGGTCCACGACAGGTTGATTCCTAAAGGCGCGTTGGTAAATTTGAACATCTACGCTCTCCACCACAATCCAGAGATTTGGCCCAATTCTATGGTAAGTCACGGTAATATTGTACCCAAACAGGCGTTTTACACTCACTCCATCTTGTGAATTTTAAATCACACTAGATAGTTCTGTTTCACCACGTCATTTCATACTTCATTTCCATTGATGCAGGAGTTCATACCGGATCGTTTCACACCGGAAAATACCAAGAATATGGATCCCTTCGCTTACTTGCCATTTTCGGCAGGTCCAAGGTAAATGATTGATGGAGTTGTGTCCCTTAATCCCCCCAACACACACACATCAGCAGATATTATAGCCACCCTCCCCTCGTGGTAAAGCGTTGATGATTTTTTTTTGTCACGAGAGTTTCTAAGAGAGAGACCTGCCATGTACATTTTGTACCCTTACTAGTTAATTGATTGTTTTGCTGTTCAGGAACTGCATTGGACAGAACTTTGCCCTGAATGAGGAGAAGGTGATAATAGCTCGAGTTCTGAGAAGATTTCACATCGAGTTGGATCCCGACCACAAAGTGGCCGCCAGATTGCAGTTGGTTTACAAGGCAACCAACGATATCAAGCTTAAACTGAAACCTAGGTTTTGATCCAATAATCTGGGCATTCAAATTTCCTCGGATCAGCTGATTTCCTCTTAAATTCACCTGCCACTAAATATTGAAAAACACTGTACACATCTTCAATACAAGTCTTGTATTTTCTTCTTTAGTTGTGGCTTAATTACAATTGCATGACTAATTAATGTAAAATAGAGATAATTGTTCAGCATTATGGACAACGATCCTCCCTGCCATGTTCATAAAGCTTTAAAGGTTATTCATGTACATATGTATACAACATTTGCTTTTGCTGTAATTTTCAGAAATTAATGGATTTGGGTTTGTTTTTTACTGCAATATTGTAACACTGACCTATTTAAATATTTGTGTTTATAGACTCTGAGGAAAAACCAAGAAAAAAATGCTGTCCTTGTAGTCTCGTTCCCTGACCCTACGTCAGACGACACGGAACACTTTATAAACGTCGGGGAAGTGTCAGGTCAAGGAGCCAGACTAGCTGGCACCCGTTCACGGATGTGTAACCGATTGCAAACAAAATGTGAACTAACTAAATTTGGTAAATCTGGGGCAGCATTTGAAAATAAGCCAGTTTTTTTTTCGAGCGATCGAAGGTCAGCCGACAATCGTTGAAAATTGCTACAAAATTGTAACTTTTATTATAAATGACGGCACACCGGGTGCCAGGATTTCACAGGGTCCTTGTAACTATTATTCACTTACAGTCAAGTAAAGTTATTTTATATTAATTAAATTTGGTGTTTTTTTATTTTTGCAAAATGTTGTAATTACCTTTAAGGTATGCTTTTACTGACATTGGCTGCTTCATGCTAATTTGTTCAAACTTACTGATTTAGGAACATTGTCAGCTAAAACATGTGTCGAGTTCTAAACTGGTACCAGCGACCTCTATTTGCTTTGATTTCTTATTGGACAAACTTTGCCTGAGAGAGCACTTACGCAAGCGCACGCCTGCACATGGTGTGTAAATTATGGTGATGAGGCTGAACTAACCACAATGGACTGCGTGCGGTGTTTTTATCTGCAGCACACATCGTCCATGGATCGTGATTATTCAGATATTTATTCATGAAGAAAATAACAATGACGTCACACCATCGGTATTGCTCAGTCATGCATCATAAAGGGTGCACGCCTGTAAATAGGCCAAAAATCCGTCCGCCGAGGTCATGAATATATGTTATACCCTCAAAATATTCTATATTAGAGAGTTATGAGAGCCATAAAATTGAAAAATTGAAGAGATATGGCAACGAACCTCAGGCCCGGACTTGGGGCTTCCAATTCTGAGCATTTTAGATGCAATTGGGCTCGAAAGTGGCACTATTTTGCCATGTTGTGGAGGGATTGTTTTTCAAGATGGCTTCTTTTCCGCTTTGGGAAAAATAAGGGTTGTCTTCTTTGGGGAGAATTCATCGAAAGTCAATGGTCAACCCACCAAAAAATGAAAAGAAAATGAAAGATGACATGTTGATCATCATTTTTCTGTGCAGCTTAAATACCTGTGAGAGTTTTGAGTATTTTTAAAAGAAGTTTGAAGTATGGGCATTTAGCAAAAGTGCATTTGGGAATTTTAATGCAAAAAAATAAATGCAAAATACGCCAACGGGCAATTAATATTTTCAAAATGAGCATGCGTAAATGTTTTCCTGGCAAACGACGCTGCTTGTTGCTGTTTTTTTTTTTTTTTTTTACAGCAGACGACACCAAGCTGATGACGACGAAAACATTTAAATAATAAAATAGACTCAAATGCAATGTTTTAGTTTGACAAAAATTATCATTTAAAGTGGGATTGTGTTCAATACATAACCTTGTTAATTTGTTGACGATTTCATTACTGCTAATTATAATGAGAGGCTTTAAGTTCAGTTTCAGGTTGCAAAAAAATCAAAATTGTATTTTTTTTCCCGTGAACTAATGCCATGTCCTTCCAAAATATCATTTTCCCAGCAACAAGAGCCCCCCGCTGAAGTAGAAGGTGAACAAAGTAATTCTAGGACGGTATTTTTTACTCCGGCACTTTCAATTTTTTTTCTCCAAAGAATATGAGTTTTGAGAAACTGGCCTATTAAGGTCGAAAACCGTTGGTGAATAGTCTGGTTCCAGGACCCTAGGAACTATCTGCAGAGATGGAAACTTATCTTGCTAGACAACGTGGTTTCACGTCCAGTACACTGTGACGAGTCCGCGTCCAAAGCACTGAGTACGAGTACATCAAGGCCGAGACACTGGGCCGAGTCCGAGTACCTAAGCCCGAGTCCGAGTCGAAGTACACTACAGAAATAGATAAAATAAATAAAATATACTATTAAATAAAATAAAACAAACACAACATGCAATCCAATCAACACATTTTATTAGTGTTAAAAATGCAAAAAACAAAAACAAGAATGAAATCAATGAATGAACTGGCACTTTTTGTTTTCATAATTTCTTAAAAAAGAGAAGAGAAATTATGGATAGCTGGGTAGACACTTGAAGTACATGTATTAACTATTGTGAGGAAACCTTTTCCAAATAACAAACCCGATTAAGTACACAAGAAAAACCCGCGAGACTTCAAAAAGCGAGACTTTAGTTGCTGGTTGTTTGTTATTTTAATTTTAAATTGCAAACTTGCAACCCCCAACCTAACTCAAGATACGCCACCACTAGCGTATCCAGCTTGTGATGTCGGGGGGGGGGGGGGGGGGGGGGTTGGCAACCGTACATCCGCGCCGAAATGTAGACAATTTTTTTCTCCGCACACTTGGCTTCTGTAAAATCAAAAATCAGGGGGGGGGGGGGGCTGGTACCTTTCTTCCAAATGGGGGCGCCCTTCAGTACTGACCATTATTGTGCATAAGTCTATGCCGATTTGCACGCCGGCATTGTAATGGTTTTTAGCTGGTTTCCTTTTTTAGGGTTGATGTCAGAACTCTCCAACATTTATGGATATACTTACTTAAAAAAACATTCTTTTAAAACAATCTGCGGGGGGGGGCAAGTCAACCCCCCCCCCCCCACCCCATCCCCTCTGGATACGCCACTGCAGCGAGGTTAAACAGGTAGGCCCTGGTTGGAACGAGATAAAGTGCTTCAGCTTGCGCAGCACAAAGAATGTAACTGGCGGTTTTGAACTCAAGGCCAAGGCCGTGTCATGCGGGCTATACGTCACGCAGTCGTTTTTGTCTAAACCTTGACCAGAATTAGCTGAATTGACTTTGGACTTGTGGCATTTTGGCATAATGCATTGTTTGAGCCAGGCAAAAGGCGCTGTGGATTAACTGAACACACTTGCTCGGCTGTTTGAGTTTACATCGTATCGGACTTTTAAATGTTTTGCTGAATATCACAGTAGCACAGTACGAAAGGCGGAATTTATTACACCATTATCTACACTAAACTACACAAGTACAAGCCAACATGGTTGAGCTAGCGTCTATTCTGGGTCTTGGTTTGGTTGCTGCATTGACGTATGCAGTCTGTGTCTTGGTGCGTCATGTTCAATCGCAGCGCAGAATTCGAGGAATTTTAATAAAACACTGGCCGGGACTTCCAGACCACTGGCTTTACGGTAATCTTCACCAGGTGAGAGAATCGTTACATGGTGATCATAAAGTTTTGTAAGCGAGTTTTACGACCTGTAGTCTGAGAGATATTTGAAGACATTATTCGTCAGATCATAGTTGTTTTTGTCCCAGAACGAAACCAACCTAGATTGCGTCTGACCGATTCACTGATTGACTGTCACGTGTGAACCTGGCAGTGCTTTCGTATAGGATTACCCTGCTATGCTAATGAATGGGCTAGATTTGGCTTATTGTATAGAACAAGGTAGTGGAAACGCATGCTGTATCAATAATTTTAACCCTAAAAGGGCCGGATTATTTTGACCATCTCTCAGCCGGGGGTCCACCCCCCCCCCCCAAAGATCTCTGCCACCGAGTGACGAAAAATTTTGAAACTCTGTACATGCATTTAGCAACTCTTCATGAACATACCCAAGAAATTTCATGACTTAAGGTCAAAAGATTTTGGAATTATGGCTCATTAATTATTCATATGTACGAATGGTAATTCTGGTCTGTGTACATGACGTATATGGGAAAATGAAGTTTTCACGGCGCGTAGCGCCGGAAAATTTTTCGCTACGCGGCAACCCGAAGATGCGCGAAGCTCGAGGCTAAAAAGTCATAACAGCTCGGGTCGCGGAAAAAAAAATTGCAAGGCTATCGCGGAAAAAGTTGAAGGGGGGGGGGGGGCGGATTCCGCCCGGCCCTTTTAGGGTTAATATAATTTTATGAGCTTTGAGAACAGCTTTACTAGGCTTTCCTTGTTTTGTTTATGTAAATGTAACTTTTTAGTGCAAACCTTGAAAATGACCATATGATACATCCCATTGTCATTGTTTGTATTGCCAAGGATATTTTTGTGGCTTTTGGGTGTTCATGCTAATGAGAATTCCATATCCATGATGTCATTTTAGACAGAAACCTCAATACAGCTATTTCAGCACCACAATTTGCCAGAATTTTGGACTTTTTGCTGCTGTAATTTTTTTTTTGGGGGGGGGGGATTCGTGGTTGGGTCAGTAGTAGCAGTAAAACCATATAGCAGATGTTTTTAATGAGTACACTTTTTTGAGGTTAACATTTTGAACAGAAACCACCTAAAGTGAAAAGTTTCTTCCTGAAAATGAATTCACAGCACAGCAACAGCACCCTCAGTTGTCAGGAAAAGCATGGAACAAATATTAATGTTTAAAGAAGACTAAGGGCACTTTTCAAAATAAAATTAACCAATAAGGAACGTCGAGTAGTTTTCATACATGAAGAGTAGAATGTTACATGAAATGCGTCCCTAAGAGAAATTTATCCTATAAACCCTTTAGCTGGTATGGGAATTTTTACATTAGCGTTCTCGGGAACCGAAGCTATATATCTTTTTTTTTCTCTTTCAGATTTATAATTAAAATACTTTACAGTAAAATCTAAAATTATCCTACTTTTCAAGCTTATTATCTTCACGGTTTTGTAGCACCCTTTGAGAGATCCAAAGGTTCGACAAGCCGGTTCCGAGGAAGAGTTGAAATTATGGCGGGAAATGGATGCTAAGTTCCCCCGTGGTTTCCGCTGGTTTCAAGGACCTCTGGCTATGGGAGTGACAGCCAACCATCCCGATATAATGCGGGCAGTTATGAAGGGAAGAGGTAGGTATATAGACCATTATCATGTTGCGGCCATCTTGATTTTTTCCCCATTGAAATCAACCTAACCAAAGCGGGGCTGGAAGGAAAAAGAGTCTGGTTCCTTTTTGCACAAACACATTGTCATTCAGTACTGTTATTGGATACAGGGAACACGACTGAAATGGTGGCAGCAGGATAAAGGTCTATAGCAATAGGTCACAGATAGGTAGAATGTGACTTCACAATGTGTGACGTGACACGATCTAATTTTTATCAAATCAACGGTCCCTTAAGCCGCTGTCGTGGCATAGTTTAAAGGTAGAGTAGACCATTGAAGCTATCCCAAATGTAACCGACCGAATTACATCAATTGTGAAAAGCTTCTCAAAATATGACTCGGCAACTTTGTAATCGAAATCTGTTTTCTCGAAATACAGCGCACACAGAACGAAAAGTTCATCACGTTAGTTGTTAAGCATCCGTCTTAAGATTTTGAACACTTTTGTCGGTTCAAATGCAAAGAAATTCACAAATTACAAATGGTATACTAGGCTATATACAAGTAGGGAAAGCAAGTAGGAACCTGTGAAATCACACGGAAATGGTACACCATTATCTAACGAGAACAACCTTGCTCACAGAGAAGACATGACTGGTACCAAGTACCCTGTGAAATATTCCGCCTGATATAAAGTGATTCGGAAGAAAACTATCATTGAAAATGGTTCAAGGAATATGTGCCAGCGATGCAGTTTTTGTTAACTGCGTAACGAGACCCCAAAAAGTGCATACATTTTCTCTGTTTTCTCAAAATATATCATGCACTGAGCTCAAACTTCAACAGATTTTAAGCAATTTTGTCGAATCGAAGATGAGGACAACAAATGGTACAAAAATCAAAGGATCCTACTTACCTTTAAATCATAATTTGTTGATTTATTATACGCATTTTTTCCCCTTTAACTGAATAAATTTGATTAGAAACCATATTTTTTTGTTATACCCATCGTTCCTTCAAATCCCTACAGATCCCAAGCCTACTAAGGCATTAAGTTCTGGTTACCGTTTTCTTCTGCCTTGGCTGGGGTATGGTCTGCTTCTTGCTAGTGGAGATACCTGGTTTCGTAATCGCCGCCTCATTACCCACGCATTCCACTTTGATATCCTCAAGACCTACATGACAATCTACAACAAAGCTACCGACATCTTGCTGGTGAATATCAACATTTATAATGTGTATAAAGAATCATTTTAGCAGTAGCGCAGGGAACGATATTAAACATATACTGCTAAAGTTGTTGCTAGCATCTCAAGATTAATCAAACACTGTGCGAATTCTGCAAGCCATTTAAAAACTTATTTCAGGTAAATACTTCCAAAACGAGTTTCATCAAGATATACATACTATTCATCTGGATGGTAGGGATCAACACTTTGAAGGTTTTCTGTCTCCAACATATTCTTCCGTATTGATTCTGTTGCCTACAGAACAAGATGAGTGAATGTGCAGCAAGTGGTGAGAGTTTTGTGGTGACAAAGAACGTCAGTCTGTGTACGTTGGATATCTTGCTCAAGTGCGCTTTTTCTTATGAATCCGGCTGCCAAATAAGCGGGTAAGCTTATGTCTGTCAATATAGCATCTCATCTTTATTGATAATGTTGGAACAGACTTGTTTTCAGCTATTACATTTCTTGTATGCCTTCCTGCATGGAGTTTCATCGGTCGATGTGAATATATCACTTCAAAATATTCGAAAGTGATGGCAACTCTTCTATATAGGTTAGTGGGTAATAATTTACTTTGCTGGACAATTATTACTAAGCGATAGTTTTCGAAATTATTTTATTCAATTTAAATTATAAAGTTTGCGGTAACACCATGTGGAAAGAAATATCTTCTTGGAAGAAGTGTGGTTCTGAAAAAAACCGGTTGGTTTCTCAAATGAATACCTTGCCGCACTCGCAAGGTATGCTGTATAGACACCTGCCTTGCATGGTGTGTCGGTCTTGTTTGTCCTGCAGCGTACCTTGTGAGTGCGGCAAGGTATACATTGGAGAAACAGGACGGGACATCAAGACCAGAATCAAGGAACATCAAGCACACGGCAGGAAAGGAGAAATTGACAAGTCAGCCATCATCAAACACTCACACGGGCACAATCATCGCATCAACTGGGACCAAGCCCGCATTATCGCTCCGGTCACCCACTGGCACCCAAGACGCTTGTTGATCAGTACCAAGTTGATTCCAAACGGGACAAAATGTCAACTAGAAAATCATCTTCATTATCCTTTGTTCACCCTACATCTAAGAAGGACTGCTACAGATACTCTTTCGTACCAAGAACAACAGCTCAGTGGAATCTACTTCCTACAGAAGTCAGGGAAGCTACTTCAGTGGAGTCCTTTAAGTCAAGACTCCATGAGATGCAGTTGTCTTCAACACTAAGGGGGCCTACTAACACAATTGTTTAGGGATGCTGCTAGCCACCACGCGCCTGCAACCGTATATCCCTTAGTGGAGTTTGCTTGCAGTACGCTACAGATACAGATACAGATACATCGGATTCCATATCAACAACATCTCATCTCATCCAGTAGCATGCATCCAACTCACCTCAGCGCATCCAGCATCCTACATCCGACTCACTCCAGCACACAAGCAGCCAACATTCTACATCAGACACACCCCAGCGCACAAGCAACAAGTCACACCCCACTGCACACGCACAGCCATAAAACCTCCAGCGTCTTCCACATCTCATCACTCAACCTCCTGAGGACGGAAACAGCACACTGTCCGAAACGTCGATTTCTACAAACAAAACCAACCGGGTCTTTTTAGAACCACACTTCTTCAAAGAAAAGATTTCCTTCAACATGGTGTTACCCGCCAACTTAATAATTTATCTCATCCGCCATGCAAAGCTTAAGTCATATATTATTCAAATTACTTTATTTATTAACATTGAAAGTCCTCTAACATAGTTTTCAATTTTTTTGTTATGTGCAGAGAAAGTCACCCGTATGTTACTGCGGTGAATGCAATTGCTCTTGCCAGCAGAGATCGAGTATTGTAAGTCCTTGTAATAACTTTTAATAATACTATCAAAACGGTTTGCTCTGCTCAGACCTTTTTAAATTCGAGTAGGAATGGCCAATCAAAATATGATCATGAATAATTAGATTAAAGTTTAATAGTGCAAAGAAGCTTTAATATTTCACCATGTGTGAGATCAAATCCTATTGTCACATGCATAACATAATACCAAATGGTGTAACATCTATAATGATTGGTACACGTTTTTCTACATTCAGTGAGTTTCACTTTGAGAGCTATCTTTCAACTTCAAAATACTGATCCAGTTCTTTGTTTACCCACTTCTCTTTCTCTAGCAATCCTATTCTTCATCCAGATTTCATATATCATAGGACTGCAGCTGGGAAAACATTTCTCAAAAATGTAGACTTTGTTCACCAGATCGCCGATAAGGTGATCAAAGAACGGCGAGACAAACTGGTAAGCAAAGTTGTCTTTAAAAGTTTGTTTTTCTTCTTGTGTTCGATGAGCTGAATATAATTTTGATAGTATTTTCTTTTAAAAGGCGAGCAAACATTTTGGGTTCAATCAAGACATCCTTTGTTACTTCCAATCGTTTGTTAGAAAGAGAAAGAGACCGATCCTAAGCCCGTGAAATCTAAAGACCAGCCCTTGGATTTCTTGGGCATCTTGCTAGCTGCCCGAGACGAAGACGGCAAGGGACTGACGGATCTAGAGATCCGTAACGAGGTGGACACTTTTCTCTTCGAGGGTCACGACACCACGGCTAGCAGCCTGACCTGGATGCTGTATGCCATGGCAACCAATCCTGAACATCAAAGGAAAGTCCAGGAGGAAATTGATGAAGTGATGGAAGGCAGGGAATCGGAGGAAATTCAATGGTAAGTCTACTTGGGCCATTTGCCGTGTTTCAGCTCTCTGTCTTTACCACAAAAGCCTAGGTTGAGCAAATGCAGCAATTTACTGTTTGCTACACCTCTAATAGTCATGAGTGTTTGCCTCTTGCTATTTAGGGAGGACCTTGGCAAGTTCAACTACTTGATTCTGTGTCTCAAGGAAGCCATGCGACTTTACCCTCCAGTACCAATGATCCAGCGTATTGTTGCAGAGAAAGACATCATGGTCCACGACAGGTTGATTCCTAAGGGCGCGTTGGTAAATTTGAACATCTACTCTCTCCACCACAATCCAGAGATTTGGCCGAATTCCTTGGTAAGTCACGAAAATATTGTACCCAAAGAGGCGTTTTACACTCACTCCATCTTGTGAATTTTGAATTACACTAGATAGTTCTGTTTCACCACGTCATTTCATACTTCATTTCCATTTATGCAGGAGTTCATACCGGATCGTTTCACACCGGAAAATACCAAGAATATGGATCCCTTCGCTTACTTGCCATTTTCGGCCGGTCCAAGGTAAATGATTGATGGAGTTGTGTCCCTTAATCCCCCCAACACACACACATCAGCAGATATTATAGCCACCCTCCCTTCGTGGTAAAGTGTTGATGATTTTTTTTTGTCACGAGTTTCTAAGAGAGAGACCTGCCATGTACATTTTGTACCCTCACTAATTCATTGATTGTTTTGCTGTTCAGGAACTGCATTGGACAGAACTTTGCCCTGAATGAGGAGAAGGTGATACTAGCTCGAGTTCTGAGAAGATTTCACATCGAGTTGGATCCCGACCACAAAGTGGCCGCCAGATTGCAGTTGGTTTACAAGGCAACCAACGATATCAAGCTTAAACTGAAACCTAGGTTTTGATCCAATAATCCGGCATCAAATTTCCTCGGATCAGCTGATTTCCTCTTAAATTGCCATATATGCATTTAAAAATGTAAAGAAAAAAAAACAACGATGGTCAGCCTACCATGGCTTAGTGGAAATAGCTACAAAATGTCCACTTTTCGTGAAACTGACAGCACACTAGGTGCCAAGATTTCACAGGATGCTTGAGACTATTATTCACTTACATTCATGTAAGGTACGGTATTTTATAATAAATTGGTAGTTTTGTATATTTTTATCTTTGCAAAATGTTCTAATTACCTTCAAGGTATGCTTTTTTCTTCATGCTAATTTGTTGCAACTTACTAATTTAGGAATATTGTCAGCTTAAAAATGTGTCGAGCTCTAAACTGGTACCAGTGACCTCTACTTTTTTTATGATTTCTGATTGGATAAATTTTACTTAACCAGTGACCGAGAGAGCTCTAGTACGCAGGCGCATGGTATGTAAATTATGGTGATGAGGCTGATGAGCTAACCACAATGGCCAATGGACGGAATTATACGTCCACAGGCCACAAAATAATAAAACACGTATGTCACTTTGACGTTAATCATTCTGCATTTTATTGAAATAATAGGCCTATACATGTAGTTCATTTCCAAAAATGTTCAATTAATAAGACATTAACAATATCAAATCTGGTTATACATGCAACTATAATTATGCACACTGCTGAATTGTCCCCCAAAGAGGTTACACTGTAAACTGTTCTGAAGGGGCAAAAGATCACAATGCGTCACCGTTCAGGTTCCACGAAGACATGTCTGAAATGACCATTCCCCCCCCCCCCCCCCGATTTCGATATTTTTCACCATTTGGCTTTAAAACATCGTGCTTAACCGTTTTTGACATAGCCATATGTTCTGTGAGCAAAACATCATGAATTTCTTAACTTCATTAATGATGCAAGGGGCAGGCATCTCAATCAATTAGTGCATTTTGCGTGTTCACAAAGAGACACGAACATAGGTGCTCTTTGAATGCGTACAAAACTGGAAGGAAAGGCGTATAAGTAGGTCCAGAGAGGTGTTCGTTGTCACGAATTAAGAGCCACATATCTTTATTACGGGGCCGTATCATAAGTCCGACGCCTCATAGGTCCAGCGCCTCATAAGTCCGAAATTTCGGACTTATGAGGCGTCGGACTTATGAGGCATAAAATTTATTTATTCCGCCTCATATTATAGGTCCGACGCCTCATAAGTCCGACGTCGGAAAAACGAGGCGTCGGAGCTATGAGGCGTCGGAGCTATGAAGCGTCGGACTTGTGTAGCGTCGGACTATGAGGTGTCGGACTTATGAGCGGACCCCTTCATTACATTTGTGCGTATTAAGGGTGTTCCTTCCATATGAACAGACATCTTTACTTATTAATTTTGGCTAATTAACTATTGTGCTGCTTCAAAATACTGGGTTTAGATACAAGTTTAACTTTTAGAATAGTGGGAACTTCTCTTGCGATTATCTCGAAAAAGTTTTTCCCTTCTTTAAAATACAAGTGTGGCTCTTCGTGAAAACGGTGACATGAGACTGTATCATAATATTGGGATTTACATGTCGAGATAATTTACCTTAAGTATTTGCATAATTATCTTCAAATGTTTAAATTATTTTTTTTAATTTTACTGCGTATATGTTGTGTATATGTTGAGCTGTAAACAGGGCATAAGAAACAATTTATTAGCCTAAACTAGAAAAGAAATCACATAATAAATAATAGATACATGTAGGCTACATGTATAATACCATTAGTGTTGGCATGATTTTTCAACCATTGCTTTATTTGGTAAACTAAAAATAAAACATTCAAATACAAACTCGTTATATAGGGGTCTACTATACAATGTTCACCCAGCGCATAAAAGACCGTCACGCTCAAGTGTTTCTGACCAAAGTTCGTCCATTAACGTTGGCTGGCAAGGGCGGCAATGGTTCATGATGAGTAAGATCAATATTAAAGCTCATAGATAACAGTGGAAGCCAAGGTCTTCCGATGAACAATGGTTTGTCTGTGTAAAGGTGCGTCAGAAATGTCAAAGTCATATCGAAGACGCGTTGCGACCCTTGGTGCATGTGCACTTTACCCTACTTTGTACTTACGAATTAGTCTGGTTCGTTGTTTCGGCTATACAATGTACACCCAGCGCAAAAAGACCGTCACACTTGAGTGTTTCTGACCAAAGTTCGTCCATGTAACGTTGGCGGGCAAGGGCGGCTCTGGTTCATGATGAGAAAGATCAATACTATAGATCATGGATAACGGTAGAAGCCAAGGTCTTCTGATGATCAATGGTTTATCTGGGTAAAGGTGCGTAAGGAAATGTCAAAGTCATATCGAAGACGCGTTGCGACCCTTGGTACATGTATACCCTACTTTGTACTTCTGGATCGTTATTTCGGCTAAAGGCCTACGTGTACTACACCCAGCGCAAAAAGACCGTCACACTTGAGTGTTTCTGACCAAAGTTCGTCCATGTAACGTTGGCGGGCAAGGGCGGCTCATGACGAGAAAGATCAATACTGTACATCATAGATAACGGTAGAAGCCAAGGTCTTCGATGAACAGTGGCTTTTCTTGGTAAAAGTGTTCGTCAGAAAATAATGTTAATTGACTACAAAGACGCGATGCGAAGTTGCGAACCTTGCAATACATGTACACAAGGCTATACCTTATACTTTGTACTTACATAAGTTAATCTGCCTTCTTTGTTTCCCGAACCAAACGATTCCGACTATTCAGTCTGACGAATTTTAGGTCATGTAGCCGTCAGTGTCACGTGACCAAAACGGGCAGAAATGCCTACCGTTTCCAAAATGCATTTCGTAGTCTATACTCTCGGATAGCGCCCTGGTATTTCCGGGTATAAAACAGGTTTTATATACCTGATATGTTTATCAAAAATTAAAAAAAGAGTTGATAATTAATATTGGTTGCATTCGGGGGCGGCGGAACGCTTTTCAAACTGGACGGTGGGGGCAACACCAAATAGGGCACTTATCCAGAAAAAGTGTGAAAGTGAGAGCCCAAACTTCGTCCCCAGGGTGTTGAGCAGTACGCGGCCACCACTACCTGCTTTCCCACTTGGAAACGAGGTTGGAAATAATGTAAGCACTGGGGACGAGGTTGGTGAGAGCTCTTCAGCCTCCGCACTGGTGGATCCAGAACTCGTTTTTTTTTGGGGGGGACCAAATTTTGTCCCCAAAAAAGTGGGTCCACAAATTGACAGCGTGGTTCGGGCCCCAAAAACAATGGCTTGTAGATGATGCTCTGTGGTGCGATCTGAAGCAATTTCTGAACACTTTTAACCTTTTTTTTTAATAGATAGGCCTAGTGGTGTACGTAGCTGCCTTAATTTTTTGCAACGTCACTAGAAAAAAAAATGGGGGGGGGGCATGGTTCCGTTGCCCCCCTTGAATCCGCCCTTGGGCCTTCGGCACACCGCCCCCCCCCTTTCGCCCCAGCATTATACCTCTCTGGGTACGCCCATGAATTTGACTAATTATGTAGAGAGGTAGAGAGACCATTTTTTTATCGCGAGAGGGGCACTGTTGCTTTTGATGGCCAGCTCCGACGGTGGCCATTTTCTTCGCGGGAGGAGCACTATTATTTTTAAAGGCCACTTTTCCATGAGAGGGGGCACAAGTTTAATGGTGCGAGCGGGGCACTGATAACATTGTGCTTTCGAGGGGCAGTTTACCATCTTGAGAATGTATCGCGAGAGGAGTACTATTGTATTTGATGGCCAATATCCCATCTCAAAGGGCACAATGTTATTATTACGAGAGGGGTATTTGTACTTTCGAGGGGTAGTATCTCCAGAAGGTGCACAACGTTGTTAAGGCAAGAGGGGCACTTGTGTTTTTGAGGGGCAGTTTTCTATTACAAAAGAGGAGACAATTAATTTGTAGCGCGCGATGATTTCATACGTGTGCGTTTGAGTTTAGTTTGTTTTCATCTCGAGGGGGCACAATAACCGTGAGTGGGACACTTTTGTAGACCTGGGAAAATCTGGGGTGCAAGTACAACCCCCTATCCCCCCCCCCCCCCCCCCCCCCCCCCGCCACACGCACGCACACACACCCGGTTCTGACGCCCCTGGTTGCATTGAACAAAAAAACCCATGAAAGACAATGACGACTTTATGCACTCGGATCGTACGAGGGGCGAGCTTTGCTGCGTCGTGTACTATTTTGAATCTGAAGCAGTTACCTAGAGGTATTCCAACACTCGGTGTCGTCTCCATTTTGGCTTCGCCTGCTATGTGGGCCCCTAACTTTGAAGATTCCAGCTGAACATTAGTCAATGCTTTCTTACAGAAATATCAAACTGTATGAAATTTGAAGCAAGTGTTATTTTAATTCATTTTTAAAAAAAATGTAATTATTCCATGTCTTTACCCAGGGTACAAATGCAAGTATACGTATCTCAGAAATATTAAAGAAAAAAAGCTATTTATATAAAATACATGTATACTGTACATGGTGCACTGTACATGTATACTGTACATTATAAAACAGAGACGACCACCCCAGCAGAAGAGGGGCCAACCACGGATTAAGCTGAATATTTGAAAGAGAGAATGCAAGTCGCTCATGACAGAGTGAGGGAGTGAGGGAATGGCTGGGAACGATTGCACGCCACCAGAAGCGGACATGATGATAGGGGCACCAAGGAGGCTGCCTATGAGGTGGAGAAATTCGTGTTAATGTTCAACCCTGCTAAGAAGAAAGGCATCTCTCCTGAACTCATGTCCCACTGGGAAGGCCCTTATCTAGTCCGCAAGCAGTTGTCCGACTTTACCTTCAGAGTGCAATGAGCACAGGGGGGGGGGGGGGGGGGGGAGCAGGTGGTGCATGCCCTACGGCCTCAACCCGCTGAGACCTATCAGTGAGACAAGACTTGAACCAATTCAGCATCAATCCACAAATCCCATACTTAATTTCTGTAAGAGAACACAGTGATTCACAGGAGATCGGTGATTCACCAAGAACTAAAGAACAACATAGGGTCAATGGTATGTTTGTATAAATTGTCCTAAAGATACCCCTAAAATACAATTTCTTTTGTTCTGTAAAGGTAAAAACATGCCTACCCCCAAACCTCAGAAATTCCCAATTTCAAACATAATTTTTTAAAATCCTTAAAAAAAAAACAATTAAAAAACCCCACCCTAAAATCTGTTAATGTCCCGACAAATAATACTGAAATCAGGAAGTCTGATTTGGCAACAAATCGGGAAGTCTGATTTGGCAACGCAATGAAGCTTAAAAGCTCAGCACATTTTCAACACCGTGCTGGGGATGGATCTCTCATGATGCCATGTGGACTTGAAAAAAGCTATTTTTGGTTAAAAATTGTCATGGTCCCAGCTGTTAGTGCTTAAAAAAGTCTGTTGATTCGCCTTTTCGAATGAGACCAATGACTTCTTCCATGTCACAGATGGCGTCGAACATGCCCTCAGCGTGATCATTCTGCAGTGCAAATTCTTGCAACTTGTCCAGGTATTGCATGGCTTCTGCTATGGAGACAGCTGAGCGGGGGGTTGGGGATTCATATTCATGTTTAATATTGTTAACTTTTGCTACGCTGGAGGATACTGTATCGTCGACGAGCTTCATGGTGCATTGCTCATCTGAGTCAACTGCGGCGTAAGATTCGAGCGTTATTTCCTGTGGAATATCCATCCCCGCATCTCTCAGTTGATCAAAGAGGTCCTTGTCTTCAGTGAAGGAGTTGATGTCAGCGTCAGGCTCAGCTGTTTCGGTGTCCTGGGCAGTGGCTTTCTTGTTATGAAAGCCAACAAGTTCAAAACAGTGAGTGATGGTGCTTTCCTTGACCTTTTTCCAGGATTTCTTGAGGAGAAACATAGCATCCAACACGGTGGGGTTGTACTCCTCCTTTTTGTCCACTGCTGTAAGGAGCGATGTGAGGAGTTGGCGGCGGTAGTGCATTTTCAGATTTTGAATGACACCCTGTTTCATGGGCTGGAGTTGAGCTGTCGCAATGGGGGGAAGAAAGACCAGATTGACGCTCTTCAAATTAGTGATGCGGGGATGTGCAGGACACTTGTCAATGATGATAGCGATCTTTCGCTTTTTCTTTTGGTACAGTTCGTCGACGTTATGAGCCCATGCTTCAAAGATGTCAGACGTCATCCATGCTGTTTTATTTGCCTCATACTGCGTTGGTAGTGACTTCACGTTAGCCAAACACTGTGGCTTCTTTGACTTGCCAATGACAAGCAGAGGCAGTTTCTCGCTTCCATCCATGTTGGCGCACACCATGGCTGTTAGACGTTCATTACTTCTCTTACCTTCACTGAAGTCTTCCCTCTTGAATGTTAGCGAGTGGTTGGGAAGACGGCGGTACAAAAGGCCGGTCTCATTGGCATTAAAAATGTCACATGGTTCGTACACAGACAGGAGTTGACGTATGCTGGTTTCCAACCAATATTGCATCATTTCTGACATTTCAGTAGCACCCGCTCTAGCAACAGCATGGAAGGTGATGTTATGTCGCATCTTAAAACCAACCAACCATCCATCAGTGCATATGAAGTTAGGAAATCCTATCTTCTTGGCCAGATATCTCGCCTTTTCTTTACAGATCGGCCCCGACACTGGAATGTTCATGGCACGTGCTGCCTTGTACCACGTCAGCAAAGCTTCTTCCACCTCGGGCATTGCAGCCTCTCTCATGCGCTTCCTTGCTGGAGCAACAGATTGGTTTTGGAACTGCTCCAACACCATTCCCTTGTTCTTCATGATGGTACACAGTGTGGATGGGTGCATTCCCCATTCCTTAGCGATGTCAGTCTTGCTTTTAAAGCCTCGATTCTCAACTTCTGCGATGAATTGAACCTTCTCAGCAATTGACAAGGTCTTCCACCTCCTGGCTGTTGTCTCCACTGTCGCTGATCGGGCACTTGTAGTCTCACCCCTGAAAAATATCAAAGTGAAAGGACACCCTTTTTAAAGTTTCAAGCAACGAGTTTGGAATGTCTCGCATCCTCAAATGTCCACTACACTAAGCCAGCTTCTGGGTCTGATAGGACACCACGAGTGCAAGCTACAATTGGGCCAGCGGTAGCAATCAGGTTAAAGCTATAGTCCATCATTTGCAGCCATCCGAAAAGTAACTGGCGTAATTATTGTTGAAAAACAAACTTGGTTGAAAGATAGTAAGTGAACTAAACTCCCTGTGAAATTATTCTTTCTGGGAAGCTGTCATTTTGAAGTAATCAACGAAAGAAGGCATTTCCAACGGTGATTCTTAAGAAGCACCGTAGGAAAATTTAAATTAGTAGTTCGTTTTGTTATTCAGCGCAGCGCGCACAAGTATTGGAACGACGCACATCCGCGCGCGGTTGTTATAATTCGTCGGATCAATGCGCTACGTTGCGTATAGCTGCAATTCAAAACATGATTCAGTAACTTTTGATTTGAAATTTAAATCTTAGAATGCTGTTTTTCTCGGAATGTACAGCTGAAGCTTAGCTGAAACTTCATCAGGTTAGTTGCTCAGTATCCTTCATTAGATTTTGAACTCTTTTGTTGCTTCAATCGAACAAAATGCACAAATTACAAATGATGGACTGTAGCTTTAACTCAAAAGCCAGGCTCGCAACATCCTGGAAGGTTTCCAATGCAGGCACGTGGCCCAGCAGAGAGCCAAGAAAATTGCTGCGATTGACCCGCCAGTGTGCAGGCTACCATTGGGGTATCAGGGTTCTTTTTACACTTTGTGACTGTTTTGGCAGCGGTTTCTAGCCTGAGGCAACAGTGGGGGCCTTTGAGTTGGGGCTGGGGGTGTGGGTATTCATGTTAATATGCTATTCTCTTGATGGGTATTACCTCGAGATAAACATACTTTTGAGCTATCTGCTTTTGAGTTAGTACTGCCTCACACTGGACTTGACGCCCCTTGACAGATTTACTATAAAGAAGGTACTATTGGGTTTCTGCACAGTGACAGACTAGGGAGGATTCAGGAGGCTTCCCAGCCAACAAAGTCTAAGGATTTATAGTGACGGCGAGGGTTAGTTTCACATTGCTGTAGTCTAGTCCATCACATTTTCCGTAAAAAGTAAATTACAAGTCCTAATAATATTAACAACAATAGTGGGTATAAAGTGCATGTATCCACCTGGTCTGGTGCTCAAGGCGCTACATTATTATTACCCCTGCTCATTGGGCCCATGAAACATTCCAAGTACCATCTCAGCTCCCTGGGGAGTATACAGCTCAATGCTGCCATTTAAGCGCAAGGCAGCTAGGTCAACCACAAATACCACCTCTGTCCTCACAGGTACCCATTTACTCCTGGGTGGAGAGAAGCAATGAGTGACAAAGTGCCTTGCCCAAGGGCACATGCACCATGACCCCAGGCTGGACCCGAACCCACAACCTGCAGCTTTACCGCGGACCGTGAGGCCACAGCACTCTCCAAGTCCTTCTCACAAGTCCAGTCATAAGTAACAAAGGGTTAACAACAACAGAGGAATCCTTAAGTCAAAGTTCATTTGAACAGCTTCCGACTTGACTTGAGACTGGAGAGCTTGTGATGGACCTGTGATGGACTTGTGAGGGACTTGTGATGGAATTTTGAGAGTCTTGTGTGGACCTGTGATTGACTTGACTACAACACTGTGGTTTCATGCAAGAATGCATTTAAATCCGAAAGCAAGAGACGAGCCTCACTTGGTAGCCGGTTTGAGAAAGCAGGCCTCGCAGCAGTACTTGCTGCCAGGCCTGGCGCCTTTGACACAGCCTTGCCCGTAGCACTGGGGTGAGTCCTCCTCTGCCGCTGTGTGAAACTGCCGGACTCGCTTGAATTTCAGCTCATCGATGGTGGGCTTCTGCTCGAATTGCTGGCGCTTCTCTGGTTCTTTCTGAAGGACAGGGCAGGGAGAAGTGACAAGTGTGAAATCGAGGCAAATTAAATAAAGTGTTTTGCCCTTCACCTATGGGAATTCTTTGCGTAAATCCTACGTATGACACAGGTTCTGCTCAGTTTCAGATACTTTGACTGTTGGTGAGCTTGTGACCTGGCCTCCTGATGCTAAACTGAAATGCTAAAAACCCCAGTCTGTTCCAACCCAAAAATATGGCTGACCATGCCGCTATTTATGTCTGATTTTATTGTATGAAATGACGAGGAAAATTTATATTTCCCTTCAATGTGATGCAAGTCCATGGCAGGTTACTCCCTGCAAAATGCCGGCACCCTTTTATGCTCCTGGATCGAGAAAGGCAAGTGGGGATGAAGTGGCTTGCCCAAGGACACAAAACACAGCCTGAAACAAGATTTGAACCCCTGAGCCCACACCCTAACCACTAGGCCACGCTCCCCACCCACATCAAGTGAACAGACCAAACATCAGCTTGGGATGGACTGTGAATTGAATACTACCTTTCCGTGCCTGACTCACCTGTGTCCCTTCGCCTTCCCATTGTCTCTCCTTCTTGTACTTTCTCTTCTTCTCTATTGCAGGGTCCATCTCAGGTCTTGTGGAGTGGCCAAAGTGATCCACTAAGCTGACATCAACAGTGGGAGGAGGTGTCTACCAATTAACACAAACAAAATAGCAAAAACTATCACAATTTCCTATTTAAATACCCCCAAACCCTTACCCAAAATGACAATTTACACGTAGCCCTCCTACTGCGAAGTAAATGGTCAGAAAATTATATAGAACACTTCAAACTCGTTCAGATTTCTCATGCAAAGGGTTTTGGAGGCATTGTTTTACTGGGCTACGTCAAAGGACTCACGACTGGACTTGCGACTGGACTCGCGACTAGACTTGCAACCGGGCTTATGACTGGACTTATGACTGGACTTATGACTGGACTTATGACTGGACTTATGACTGAACTTGCGACTGGACTCGTGACTAGACTTGTGACTGGAATTATGACTGGACTTATGACTGGACTTGCGACTGGACTTGACTTTATCCCTGCAGTTGACCACTTTAAATCGATTGGTACACACATCAATTTCCAGCATTATGACCAAGTGTAGTCAAACAGAAAAGTTTGCTCCTAGATTGTCACTTACCCTGGCGTAGAGCTCAGGAAAGCTGCTCTGTGAGTTGGTATCTGTATCTATGCTGTTTGTCTTCCAGGATTCCGACTGCTTAAACATACGTTGCTTCCTCAGAGATGTCTGTATGGGCGGGGGAAAGGAGAACGATTAACGTATCTTTGCTTCATGACATACAGGATCACTTGCACTTATCCCAAAATTTAAATCTACCGAATTATTCTCAAAAAGCTTACTTGGATTACAGGTCGTACTGTGAAATTATTTCATCTGGCTTGCTGTCATTTAGAAGAAATGAGGACATATAGGTGATTTCCAATGATCAGTCAATTGAATAATCTTTGGAAATAAGAGTGCTTTGGACAAAATCGTGTTTCGTTGTCAAACGGTGATGAATGGTTTGCCAGTGTTTTCTCGAAAAGTGTAATACACACCGAGCAGAAATTCAACAGGTTATCGTTTGAATATTCTTCTTGGGATTTTGAGTGTTATTATTGTACAAAATGCATGAAAAGCAAGTGACCCTTGTTTGTCTATAAATGCAAAATTAGCATAAATATGGGTCAGAGCAGCGGACCAATAGAATAAATAATAATACAAATTTAAACATTTATGTTGGGCAAATTCCAATAATTACCAAATGCGCATCATAATTATTATCCCTGTTCATCATGAATGAGACACTGCAGCAGCTCGAGATCCGCGCAGAATGGTTTGTACCTTCACAGGTACCCATTTATACTCCTGGGTGGAGACAGGCAATTGTAGTAAAGTGCCTTGCCCAAGAACACATGCACCATGTTTCCCGTCAGGGTTTGAACCCATGTACCACGGCACACAAGTCAAACACTGTAACCATTGAACCATAGCACCCCTCTTCTGCACGGATTACTTACAAAGGACAATCGAATGCACTGTTTGAACCGACACTTCTGTCTTTGTTTGTTCTGGCCACCAAACTTCGTCTTATCCTGAAAAAAACAATGAAGGAAACTTCATCTTGAGCAGGTAGTCCTTTCGGGAAGAATTCCATCACTAGTTATTCCTTGCAGTGACGTATCAGCCATCAGAAAATGATAACATGTCCTAAAAAGTTAAATTTAGCAGGGGAAAAATTGAAGCATGTACTGAGAAAACACTTCGGCATTTTCAGACCAGTCTAACATGCCTTAAGCACAGGGTGTCAAGTGATGTCCAGGTAAGGACATTTTTGCGTCCTTTCAATCACGATCTCTGAAATGCACAACAATCTTTCACATTCATAAAATTTGAAAGATATTAGATTTGATGCGACACTGCATTTTTGGGTTTACAAACGAGTCATCACTTTGTACTTCTGGAAACTGACCAAAATCTCAAACAGTTCTAAACATTTGAACACTTCTTTCCCATAACTGATGACAACAAATTCCATTATGATGGAAATCAACTCATGTCTCAACAGCATTATTAACCTTAAGACTAAGAAAGTTGGGGCAGTATACAAAACTAGCTGCACTTACCAGACAGAAATCACACTTTCCACAGTCGTTGACAACCTGGCAAGGCCCACACTGACCACATCGCTTTGGTCTCCTCTGCTTCCTCTGATGAAAGAAAACAGGATGACAATAAGATCAAAAGAGTTAAATGAAACAAATACTGATTATCAAAATATTCCTATTTTATCAGGATAGAACCATCACTTGTGTAACAACTGTTTTCCTGGCTGAATAGCAAATAAGGATATTAGTTTAAATGAAGAGTAACATGGGTTTGTTTCAGTGTGCATATAATTCACATTATGGACCAGCTTTGGGCCAGTGAGGTGGCTGGGTGTTATAGTTGTGTTATTACACTTCATACATATTTATGAGCCAAACTCTGTACTTTTATTGGTCAATATTCTTTGTAAAATTAATTGGTCAATGTAAAATCAGCCATTTAATAATTGGAAATGCAAATTATCCTTTATGCCTTTGAGTGTGAAATTTGAGCAATTATGCGTCAGAGAAGTGGACCAATAGCATTTCAGGGATTACTTACTTTGGCCAATCGGACGTACTTCTTTTTCAGTTTGATCAGGCCACTGTACTTATTCACATCCTAAAAAAAAATAAAGGAAAGGCTATTTTGGTCTTGCGGTAGAGCATAGGATTCATGATTGAGAGATGGTGGGTTCGAGCCCCACCATGACCATGCGTGCTGTGCCCTTGAGTAAGGCGCTTTACCTCAATTACTCCTCTCAACCCGGGTGTTAAATGGGTACCGACATTTTTCAACGCCTGGGAAGGTAACAGATTCGCTGTGGAGGAGGTTTGGCGATCCCCCCACAGCAGCATTTCATGGACTCGGGTCTGGCCCAATTGCTTCGAAAGAGAGATAGGCACTCTGTTCCTGTAATCACAGGTTCACCCCTTCACCTTATTAGATTGATAAGGTATATTTTAAAAAAACTTGGAAAAATATAATGACATCTGGTGTGACACTTTAATATTTGGATTAACAAACAAGTTAAATAATGAAAGGTTTGCGGAAACACCATGTGCGAATAATTTCTCAACTAGGAGAATGGTTCTGAAAAGAACCAGAGGTATTAACTCGACGTTCCGCACATGGTGTTTCCGCAAGCCTTTCATTATTTAGTATCTCCACCATGTAAAGCCTCAAATCTTACTTAACAAACAAGTTATTACTTTGTAGTTTTAAAAATAGACGAAAATCTTAAACACTTTTAAACACTTCTAATTAACACTATATAGGTCAGAGCAGTGGGCTGACAGCATTGGAGGGATTACTTACACTACCGAATTGGACGCACTGTTTGAACCGACATTTCTGTCGAAGTCTGTTCTGGCCACCAAACTTCTTCTTATCCTGAAAAATAAAAATGAACGAAACTCACATCACGTGGTATTCGTTATTGCTCCCATTCATGCCGAGCCTCAAAAAGTACTATCCGCCCATGGGGAATGGGAAATACTATTCAACAGTTAGGATCATGACGCGCCATTTGTGTGCAAATGCATGCTGCTGGTGTGCGCGTTTAGCGTTGCGCGCAGGGTTGTCACCAGGCCAAATTTAGTGCCGGGTAATATTTTGGCGAAGCGTAGCGAGAGGAGCTCTCGCGGGTCACGGCCAGGGGTCAAGGGGCAACGCCCCGGCGGGGTCGAGGGGGCTCCCCCCCCCCCCAAGCTCCAGGATTTTGGGGTCTTTTTGGGGGGGGGGGAAATTCAAGTTTTTGAAGCATGATGTTATAAAGTGTAATTTGTGTTTGTAAAATGTGGAATTATCATTAAATATAGATGAACACAGAATGAAACAACATTTGTCTCATTATTCCTCCATGCTCATACAAGGTCATCTGTTCATTATTGTAAATCAGTATTTAGATTAATGAACAGAATTAAGAAAAAATCAAAAGATGGTTTTGTAAGCACATTTGTGTACCCTTACAGAGATGAAACTGGCATATGGCGATAAAAATCGGAAAATAGGCCGAACAAAATACGTGTCCGAAATCTGGGCCGCGCTGCAGTAAACACACATGTACATGCATGTACAATATTCATGCCCAATTTCCGGACACAAACTCCTCCTTTATTTTGATTCAAACAAAATTTTACCATGAAAAAAAAATGGTCAGAGTTTTCATTGCATAAAACGCCTGAATTATGGTTAGAGTAATGGAGTCATCAATAAAGAAGTTCACTTCTTCCTTGAGGAAGTCGAGGGAAAAGTCTGAAAGACAAGGGCACATTCAACCACACAACTGCACTACTCCACTTGCATTCATACGTGGGGGAAAATTAGGAAAATATCGTCTTTCTCTTCCAACAAATGCCAGTGAAATGTTTCGCTAATGCCCTCTTCGCTATCCTCGAGATAATCATCACGATTTTTAAAGCATTGCATTTTGTACAACTAAATTTGAAACCTCCGAAAATCGCACAACATAATGAGTTTATCCACTGGATCGTTCACAAGGCTACCCGTTCCCGACCGGCCATGTGCTAGCGGACGGTACAGTGCGGTACGTACGCTGGTACCATTGCATATCGAACGCACGTACGTGCGACACTGATTTTTCCATGTCACCTGTCAATGTTTTACCTTTTGTCCAGCCGGAGAAGGCTCCGATCAGTGTTATGCCCTGTGTTTCTACCGTTGAAACACTCCAATAACGACTGGTGAAAGAGATTAAGACTAAGTTCGCGATGATTTTAACTAATGGGGTCTGTCATATGGCCGCCGTCGTATGGCCCGGCTTGGTGCGTAATTGTAAGCTCACTTCGCTGTTTTTGCGGTTTAAAACAAAGAATTAAACACAGAAAATATCATATGATTGCTAAAGATATGGACATACATTAGATTTTTTTAGATGTTTCAGAAATTCTACCAACTCAGGGACTGAAATATGTGCCGGGCGGTCAGGCTCAAAATTACTCCGAGTGCCGGGCGGAGATTTTGAGAGCTGGGCGGCCCCGCCTGCCGCCGCCTGGCGTGGCTACAACCCTGGACTTGCGCGTAGCGCGTATTGTTCCAAAGAGCCAGCGCTACAGCGTTGGGTTCAAACATTTTCGTGAAGGGTTGATTTGGAAGAGAGAAATGCATTTTCCTCTAGTTTTGTACTGAAAAAAAAAAATTCAAATATATCAAATGACAAGGATCTATATGTCAGTTATATAAAACAAATATTGAGTGGCTTTAAATTGTGAAATGGGAGGAATATTATCGCACGGTAAAATCTGGACTTTTCCAGTTCACTCGGCTTCGCCTCGTGAAATGGAAAAGTCCAGATTTTACCTTGCGATAATATTCCTCCCATTCCACGCCGAGCCACTCAATATTTGTATACCATTACAATCTCTTTCAAATAATGCACAACAATTTTCACATTCAACAAAATTGGAAAACTGTTATGATATCCGATGCGACAATGCATGCTTGGAATTAGAAACAAGTTATCAAGTTGTACCCCTTAAAACAGACAAAAATGTAAAACCGGTTTTTAATATTCAAACACTGCTATCCTATACTTCACAACAGACGACTCCATTTATCATGGAAATCAACTCACGTCTAAACAGCATTGGTAACTTTACATTAAGAAAGTTGGGTCAATATACAAAACTAGCTGCACTTACCAGACAGAAATAACACTTTCCACAGTCGGTGACTACCCGGCAAGGCCCACACTGACCGCATCGCTTCGCATGCCACTGATGAAAGAAAACAGGATGATACTAAGATCAAAAGAGTTAAATGGAACAAATACTGATGATATAATTATTCTTATTTTACAAGGATATCGCCATCAATTGTATAAGAACTGTTTTTGCAGCGGGATAGAAGCTCAACAATCATCCCATCTTTCCGATAGTTAGTTAGTTAGTAACATACACTGACATTGTCTATTGCTCCTACATACTCTGACCGATTTCAAACAAAATTTGTCAAAAGTATCAGTAGCCCAGCCCCAACATGTCACATGACCAAACTGGGGTCAAAGGTCATCATTGGACCACTGGGGTAACAAATCTGATCTTTTTTTTAAACTCACAACACTACTCCTTCCAGAAAGTACATGGCACAATCACAAGACTCAGGCATGAACATAAATTAGTTGGCCTGCAGCTTTCGCGATATTTCTGATCGCGCTTGTTCCTGAGCGAATAGCAAATAAGGATATTAGTTAAGCAGTTTTCAGATCAGCTTCTGCTGAATTTTGAACATTCTTCTTGGGATTTTGAGTGGTGTTATTATTGGGAACAAACAAACTGCATGAAAAGCAAATAATCCTATATAACTTGAAACGCACAATTTGCGCAAATATGGGCAAGAGCAGTGGGCCAATAGCATTACAGGGATTACTTACACTGGCCAATCGGACACACTGTTTCAACCGACACTTCTGTCTCAGTTTGTTCTGGCCACCATATTTCTTTCTATCCTGATAAAAAAATATAAAAAAATACATCTTGATAAGGAAGTCCTTTCCATAACAATCTCTGAAATTCACAGCAATTTTCACAATTAAAAAAATTGGAAAAAATTATGACATCTGATGCGACACTGCGTGTTTGGATTTACAAATAAGCTATCACTTTGTACTTTGGAAAACAGACGAAAATCTCACACACTTCTAAACATTTAAACACTTTTAACTTGTTGACAACAAATTCCATTATCATGGAAATCAACTCATGTTTCAAGAGCATTATCATCAACCTTAACTCTAAGAAAGCTGGGGCACTAAAATGGAACTAGCTGCACTTACCAGACAGAAATCACACTTTCTACAGTCGTTGACTACCTGGCAAGGCCCACACTGACCGCATCGCTTTGATTGCCTCTGATGAAAGAAAACGGGATGACAGTAAGATCAAAAGAGTTCAATGGAACAAATACTGATAAGAATATTCATATTAATATTCAACCCTAACCCCTTGGGCTCTTTTACTAGAAAGTATCCTGAATCCGTCAAAATCCATCAATTTTGCCATGCAAAAAAATGTTGGTGGCCAGTGAGTCCATCAGAATCCACCAGTTAGGTGGGGGTAAATCTGTTGACATCCTGAATCCGCCAAACTTTAAAGCTCAATATAGAGGTATCCTAAATCCATCAAATCCTGCAGTTCCGCTCTGCTTACAGTCCTGAATCAATCAAAATCCTCCAGTTTGTGCAATATGGAGGTATCCTGAATTTACAAGAACAGCCCTCATCAGTTGTGTGAGAACTGTTCTCCCCGAGGTTATTAGTTCAGCAGTTGTTGGTTATGGTCACAACTTTGTGCATACGAGTCATAATATAGACCAATTTTGGGCCTTTGAAGTACTTGGGTGATATAGTGTGTTATTACGCCTCATTCATATTTATAATAATAATAATAATAATATTTGTACAGTGCTTGCCACAGGTGTTTGAAAGCGCTCTCTACTGTGTGATTAAGTATGTTTTTAACCGAGTTTGGAATAAGCTTATCGAGGGTGAGTCTTGGATGGGGGAGCTTGTTCCAGAGTGGGTTGACCGTAACATATTTTTGAGTCAGCCTGTCTACTTTCATTGGTCAATGTTCAAACACGCTGGCGAGGTAAGATCAGCTACCCCAAAAGTGTGCACGTGCCAGGGATACCCAACATTTGCTCCTAGACAACCTCGGACCCAGTTGTTTGCCCTGTGACTGATTGAGTCACTGATTGGCTAACCGAGTCACTGACTGATTGACTGAGTGAGTCACTGACTGACTTCCCGAGTCACCGACTGACTGACTCCCCCGACTCACTGACTCCCCGAGTCACCGACTGACTGACTCCCCCGACTCACTGACTCCCCGAGTCACCGACTGACTGACTCCCCCACTGACTGACTCCCCGAGTCACTGACTCCCCGAGTCACTGACTGACTGACTCCCCCCCATCGACTGACTGATTGAGTCACTGAATGACTGACTCCCCGACTGAGTCAATGACTGACCGACTCCCCGACTGAGTCACTCCCCAATTCCCCGAGTCACTGACTGATTGAGTCACTGAATGACTGACTCCCCGACTGAGTCAATGACTGACTGACTCCCCGACTGAGTCACTCCCCAACTCCCCGAGTCACTGACTAACTGAGTCACTGACTGACTCCCCAATTGAGTATCACTTATATTAATAACTGAGACTTTCAATTACAGCTTGAAATAGGTAAACCAGTAAATTAAAAAAAAGTGAATTCTTAAATGTATCACAACTTTTCAACCAACAAACAAAAAGATATTCATCTCACCACTGCTGTCCCCGTTGCCTTGTGGGCTTCTTGTTTCGAGGTGAAGCTGGTCGATGTCTTAGTTTTCTTCTTCTTTATCTGTTTCCTTGTCTCCTCCCTGGTCGATGTCTTAGTTTTCTTCTTTATCTGTTTTATCGTCTCCTCCCTTTTGAATTTTCTCTTTTGGCGTTCAATTTGCATGGAGAACCTCAGCTTCTTTCTCTTCCTTGTCTTCTTGAGCATCTTCTGGGATGCCTTCTCTGTGTCGTCCTTGTCTCCGTCTGGCTCCTTCTCCCTGCCTGACTCCTGCTCGGCTGGGTCCTTGCCCTCCTGAATCTCTTTGTCAAAAGTCTGGGCGTCTGGATTGGTCTCTATTAGGGCTGTCCAAAGAAGTAAAATATTTGACCATCAATCGAATATTCAAATAGCTTTTTGACAGTTTCAATATTTTTAAACAAAAAACTACGCACATACACATGTTATTGATGTTATTTTATCGCAAAGTTGGCACTTTTTTGGGAAGGGTATTTGCCAGCAGCGGTTTATTGTTCACATCTTTTTAGCAGGTTAAATCTTGTTAAAGGGAATATACAACATTTGCAAACATCGAAAAATAAAAATACCAAGTTTTTACAAAATACCTTACTAGGATGTTGGTAAATCACAGTCTAAAGCATCCTGTAAAATTATGGCACCTGGTGTGAAGTCATTTTCAAGAAAATGGTATTTTTGTATACATTTCCAACGGTGATCGGCCGACCACCGTTGGAAAAACCTAACTATTGTTCAACTACTGCTCCAAATTTACAATTTTTTTCAGTCCAAATTTTGTTTGCTATTGGTTACATGTTCATGAACGGGTGCAGGCCAGCTAGACTGGTTCCCTTACCTTACAATATTCCAACATCTATAAATTGATTCTTTTTTATCTTCAGTGGAGTCAGGGAACCAGACTACTTAAACAATTTTGTTTTTCTTGGTTTTTCAAGCATTTTCTAACACAAACCTTCAAACATGTCAGTTAAACAATATTTGATCAATTATACTAACCCCTCAAATAGTTCATTTCTGAAAATTACAGTAAAAGCCAATGATGTACATTCCCTTTAACAGATATGAGATGCTGTAAAACATGCTAGCGCCCCATATCGATTGCTTCATGCAAATTTATGACCGGCACAGTCTTAATTAATTAACCCTAACCCCCTAGGCCCTTGTTGCTTACAACCATCCTCAATCCTCCAAAATCCTCCAAAATTTTCCAAAATTTTGCAACTCCGCCTAAATTTTTCAAAATTGTCAGACAGTCCTGCCTCAAAATGCATTCATCCTCAATCCTCCTCAATCCTCCTCATCCCAAAACTTTGCACTCGTGTTTAAATGAAGGATAACCAACGCCAAATCCTTCAAAATCATCAGACAGTCCTGCCTCAAAATGCATTCATCCTCAATCCTCCAAAATCCTCTTGTGCTTCAATCACCATTCATCCTCAATCCTCCAAAATCCTCATGTGCTTCAATCACCATTCATCCTCAATCCTCCAGAATCCTCATTTGATTCAATCACCATTCATCCTCAATCCTCTAGAATCCTCCAAAACCGCCAGGAGGATTTTGGAGGAGTGAGGTGGGTTAGGGTTGGAATTGTTTACCGTTGCAGCATGCAGGTGAAGCTGGCATATATCCGAATATTCGCTCAAAGGCAGATTCGATTAACCAAACACTAAATTCAAAAATGGACATCCCCAGTCTCTATACCAGCACCAAATAATATAAACATAAGGTAATTCTGGTAATCAGAGACAAGCACCCAATTAAACAAAACAATATGCAACAGTGAACTCCACTTCCACTACATTGTATGACAACAGTTTTGTAACAAGTTAAGACACTTTTTTTGAAAGTGACTTACAAAAGTCTGAAACAGTGTTTCAGATTTAATGTATAACTTCAAAGTTTCCATTTGAAGATGGTGCAAGTTACAGCATACATTTAAAGGGACGATTCCAGTGAGTGTTCTTGATTGTCTTACAGCCTATCAATGATCAAACTAACAAGGCTAATGCCAGAAAACCCGGTAAGAACTCACCAGAGCATGGTGGGCATGCATATCTTTTCATGCATTCAGAGGTTTCCTTCTCTAAGCCAATGCAGTCCCCGTGGTACCACACTTCACAGTAATCGCAGCATCTGGTGAAAAAAAAACCAAAAAACCTTTCGACTCTCTTTGCACATTAAAACAAATCCCAAAATAATAACACTCCTTTCCAAACACAAATGTGCAAGTTGTAATTTCAGTCAACATCAATCAAGTGACTGTTTTCAACAGTTAAGAGCTCCGAACCTGCATAAAGCAGGATTTGCCTAACTTGATACAGCTGTGCTTTTATTTGACTGATTGGCAAGACAGCTTGTGCCTACTACTTGCCTGCTTTTGTCTGTTGACTGAATTTGACTATTGACAGTGCTTGCTTGAAATACGATCTGACCACTGGTGACCACTGGCTAGCCTGTGTAAAGGGCACTGCAGGGGAAGAGGATTGACTTTTTTGGAGTGCCTGTGACTGTTCAGAGCCAGCAGGAGGGTTAAGGGTGTGAGACGTACTCCATCAATATAAAAAATCCACAATTGGTCTGATCACTGATTAAATAACAGTTTTCAAAATTTAAACAATCTTATCGAAATTGATCGATTGATCTTGTTGGGTTCCTGGGTTCCTTCACTGTTCGCTTACTTTCTAAACTTTCTGAACCTGCCTTTTTAAAGCTCAATCCAGGAAGAATTCCATACATGAACGTCACTAATATTTTCCTGCATTGACCTATCAGCTATCAGTAAGCTATAACATGTCCTACGAAGTCAAATTCAGCTTGAAAAGTATTGAAGCATTTTACTGAGAAAACAGTTGGACTTGTTCAGTCCAGTCTCTTCAGGTTTGTGCGCAGGGTGACGAGAGATGTCCAGGTATGAAACTCTTTCCCAAGATCCTTCAAAACTGACCAGGATTCTCAAGAATTTTAAAAGATAAATCTTAAAAGTCGAACAGATAAATTGACTGAAGCGGGTTTGAACCTGCGACCTCCGGATTTCTGTTCCGATGCTCTACCGACTAACCCATCCCCCTGACCTCCTTTGTCAATGTCTTTGCTAGTCAGGATTTTCAAGGATTATGGAAGGTAGGACTACAACTTCTAGGACTTTGTGTCTCTTAAAATTTCAGTCTTAAGAATATGCCATTGGGATCCACACCACCTTCTCAATTTGTAAGTAGGTTCAGAGATAATACCAGCAAAAACCGTCTGATGAGTTTTCGGGTAAGATATTTCTTCTCTGATAGATTACCCACATCATAAATCTTGTCATATCGGTGGACCAGCACACGCCGCAGTGTCTGGGCTCCTCAGCTTCATCGTTGGAGGTCTCATTCTCCTCTTTGTCCCTTATGTTCATCATGCTGAGGAGGCCGGCCTCCTTGGCCTTCCTCCATGGCAGGTAGTGGAAGGATATGGCAATTTCATCTTGCTGTAAAACACAAAGGAAAAATGCATCACTGCTTTTTCATCCTCATTGAGCTGCAGGAAGACTTTTGCAGATGATGACTGTCCAGTACCGAAGTGACTTTTGCACACTATGTATATATGTTTAAAGCGGAAGGCTTTAAAGCATGAGGTCACAGATTTGGAAAGAATGTTGCAACCTGAGGCTGCCTTTTATTCACATATCATCTCAATGAAGGTCAGTCATTGCAAAAATGATAAGACATGAATTTGGGTCTGAGAAACTCTGTTAGAATACTAAAGCCCGGTTCATACTTCACGCGAAAGCAAGTGCGAACCGAAATTCGTGTCGTCAACAATGGTGGACGCACTTCGAACGTATTGTTTGACGTCACGAATTTTGCTTCGCTTTCGCTTTCGCGTGAAGTATGAACCGGGCTTTAGGCCAAATAAAAAAAACACAACACATTAGCGTCCCCGCCCGCTTCCTTTTTGGAGGCCGCCTCCTTTTTTGTTTCGAATTTTTTTAAACTGAAAAAAAAATTGATAAATTTTAAACAGTGACATCATTTTGGCCTCTTTGTCTGTTGCATATAGCCCATATATCCTCAACCCTCCATTATCTGCGCAGGTAACGCTTGCATACGCGTGGGCGTTGTCACACACAAATTGAAGGTAAATGCATAGAAAATGGACAGCGTAGCTTTAGGGGGTCTGACGATAAAGCTTGTATGTCATTTCCTGAGTCCTGTAGCAGCCATTTAACAAAAAGTGGCCGCCATTTTGAAAAATTGCCCAGGCAGCCATTTTGGAGGGGAAAAAAAGCGCCTCCCGCTTCTTTTTTTTCAAATTAGGGCAGGATGCTAACAAAGTAACATGTTTTTATTTTTATTTGGCCTTAGAAAATTTTCTATCTCTATAGACTTTGCATACAACTGCTGTGGTAGCGTCAGGTTGCAACATTCTTTCTGAAATTCTGCAGATTTGTATTGGTGTCGAGTGCAATTTGAGTCCCCAGCGCAAGTTTAAACTTGCGTGTGCAAATTTAAACTTGCGTGAGGGACTCTAGAAACACGCAAATTAAACTGCACCATTTAAGTTTGCGTGCGCAAATACAACTTGCGCAAAGGCGATCGCAATTTGAGAACCTTGCGGGCGGGATTTTCCGATTGATGAAGAAAAAAAAAACGTTGAAAAAATGAGTAGGTACATGGAGAAATAAAGTAATAAACAATGGGATAAATTAATGAACAAAGAAATAAATAAAAAGGAGAATTCAATTAGCATCAATGAAAAGAAACATCGCAAGTTTAAACCTGCGCGCGCAATACAACTTTTACAAGTTTAAACTTGCGCGGGGACTCAAATTGCGCTCGACATCGCCATCCATCGGCATGCCTTTTTGTTTAGTCTGGCACGCGGAAACGGTGATTACGCGTATGGGCGCATATTCCGTGTTGCTGCGTTGTGTGTGTGAAGCGTGAATGGTACCCGTGTCTTACGGCGCCGCGCCAGTCACGCCGGTGTAGTTACATCGCGCGGTGTTCCGAGAAAAAATCATAACTTTTTGTAATGTGAGACAAAAAGCTGTTTCAAAAGTCAAAATATTGTCTATGGAATAAGGATTCTCATGAGATTAAACATCTTGATAGGTTTTGACTCGGTGTTCGACTGTGTTTCGATTTTGTTTCATGCAAGTGGGCGCGGCGCGATCGCGGCTCGGCGAGGTTGTGTCGGAAACACAGTCTTTTGGTATCAAATCGCGTAGCGTGCATATCGTGCATTAAATTAAAAACAAATAAACAAGAAATGTTATTAGAGAAAAAAACGAGGCTTTAAAGATATGACATGTATAACGTTACATACCTGAGAGCTGGTTCCTTCACTATATGACATGATTACGAGTTTACAAAGCTCCCCGAATGGCCCAAAACCTCGGCGATAGATCTTCAGTTTGCGAACGTCGTCACGAAGTATTACGCTGCCATGCGACGCCGCGCCCACCACTGCACTGTACGGGGCCGGCCCGGGGATACGACGACGTACGACGCGCACGTGTTTATATACTCCCCTCCTCTTTGCCGTAGACTCGCCCAGTCTCATCTCGTGGATGGTCGGATGGTCTGCCTTTCTGCACCTTTGACTGTCTCTAGCTCTGTACGTCCCAGGAAAATTGAGGGTCACGGTTCCATAATGCCATCGGCGTCACATTTTGTTTCCGTCAGACCGTCACATTTTTCGGCGTCGCATAATAGTACTCGCATTTAAGCTCTGGCAGGGATCCTTTTTGGAAAGAATGTTGCAACCTGACGCTGCGCTTTTCTTCAAATAATTTCATCTCAATAATTACAGTCCACTCTCGTTAATACAATCTCGTTCGGACCAAGCCAAATTGTTTGTCATCAGTCAGAATTTTTGTATTAAGAGGAACATCAGTCCGATTCATTGTGCACATAAATGCACAGTCGGGACCAAGGCTTGGTGCGTGTGTTTGCTATAACCAGAATTTGTATTACAAACATTTCAACTTTTGTTAGTAAATACTTTGAAAATTTTCTTGACTCTCTATATAGACTTTGTAGTTTGTACACAACCGCTGAAGTAGCGTCAGGTTGCAATTAACATTCTTTCCATCATTTTGATCGATTTCATGATCATATTATAGCAAGACTTTCATGCAAAAAAAATTTCATGGGGGGCGTCATGTATAGGGGCGTCAATCGCTTCTCAAAAGTGGGGGTGGGGGGACATACCTTGATCAGAACTGATGCGAGCGCGAAGCGCGAAGCCCTTACGGCGTGGCCGTGGGGTTCGGGATTGGATTCTAGATGTTCTGTGGTGTGATCTGAAGCAATTTCTTACCACTTTCCTCCATGCTTTAACTAATATTTTCTTAGCAAAAGATAATTATTTGAACATCGTTTTCGAGGTTGGAGTCATTGAATCAGCTATCGGTATTCTGAGCTATAGGCGTGGGGTTCGGGGCCCGCTTAAAGCCCCGAAAAAATTGGATTCTCGATGCTCTGTGGTGTGATCTGAGGCAATTTCTTACCACTTTAACCAATAATTATCTTAGCACAAAAGATAATAATTTAAACATAATTTTCGAGGTTTTCTCAGCTAAAGGCACAAGAAAAATTTTTGAACATTGTTTTCAAGGTTGGAGTCATTGAATCAGCTACCAGAATTCTGAGCTATAGGCGTGGGGTTCGGGGCCCGCTCAAGGGCCCCGAACATTTTTGGATTCAAAATGCTCTGTGGTGCTATCTGAGGCAATTTCTGACCACTTTAACCAATATTTTCTAAGCAAAACATACATTGTAGTACATAATAGGGCCCTGTTAATGAGACACGAGTTCAAAAAAAAATTGGGGGGGGGGGGGACATTTGATATTGTGTCCCCCACCCTTCAAAAAGTGGGGGGGGGGGGGACGACCAGTCCCCCCCCCCCCCCCAGGATTGACGCACATGGCGTCATGTAGATCAATGATAATTTTTTTAGAAACTCAAAATCTCAGTTGGGGGGGGGGCGACAAGGAAAAAGTTTGTGCGTGGCCGATTCGCGTGATATCGCTGACTGAAACTGTGTGACCCACGGACCACCTGTCTATAATACGTGTTCCGTATGGAACGCCAAAGAGGCATTTAATGTGATCATCGAATCGGTGATGGACTTTTGCAATCGGTGATGCATATTCACGATCGGTGATGGACTTTCGCGATCGGTGATGGACTTTTACTGGTGATGCATATTCACGATCGGTGATGGACTTTCGCAATCGGTGATGGACTTTTACTGGTGATGCATACTCACGATCGGTGATGGACTTTCGCGATTGGTGATGCACTTTTACTGGTGATGCATATTCACGATCGGTGATGGACTTTCGCAATCGGTGATGGACTTTTACTGGTGATGCATATTCACGATCGGTGATGGACTTTCGCAATCGGTGATGGACTTTTACTGGTGATGCATATTCACGATCGGTGATGGACTTTCGCAATCGGTGCTACGCCACTGATGACCATAAAACCTGTCCCGTCCAAAATGCGATTCAAGAATTGTCGTCACAAATGTCTTCAAAGATCACCAGGGATGAAACCTCAGTTTAAAAGTTAACTTTTTTTAACTTTTGAAGGCCCGTCTTTTAAAAAGTGGATTTTATAAATCATTATTGTTTGTCTAACCAGGGTTGTTTATACAGATATTGTATAGCCTACTACCGTTGTTGAAAAAAGTATTCTGTGTCATTTTCCTTGTTGTTGGACGAGACAGGTTTTAGGGTCATTGCGTTTAAATGGTGATAATCTTTGAACGGTTAACTTTTTAATCTAAAAGTAGCTTATGAAATTTGCTTTCCAGTCGTTATTATTGTTTGGTGCTGCATATTTTTTAAAATATAAAATATATTTTGTGGGGTTTGGGTTCCGCTTTGACTCACCCTGTATGTACCAAATACCATGCTTGTATCATCAAAGGCATGGTCCCGTAAATGATCTGCCGTACTAAGAAGCCGCAAAAACCATGAAGAGCCTAAAGCCAAATCAGCAGAATTAAAGAAACGATCGATAAAATAGAGGGTGTCACAACTCCAGCAAAAAAACCCCTGGAACTCTGGTTATAGAGAACAGGGTATTTTAGCTGTGCAAAACAAAATAATGTTTTTTACCATTTTAAATGAAGGCCCTAATGTCGCACACGTTTGTAATTAAAAAAGCGAGCAACGTTTTTAAGTCGTAATGCTATGCAGAGGTCGTTAAACCTGGGCTAGACACAAAGCTAGAAAACACGACGAGATGAGAGTTTGGGCCGAGCCGTGGATGATGGAGATGTTGACGTTAAAGAAAGGCATCGAAAAACAGGTGCCTAAGAGGTTGTCTCAAGAAAAAAAATGTAAAAAACAACAAACAATATTAGTTCCAAAATGTATTATTCAGATCCCCAAGTTACTTTGCGAGCTGTAGCGAGTAAATTGTAAGCTCACTCCAAGTGCGCCACCTGTAATCTATAAAACATAATTTTCATAAAAACTCGTGGAAAAGTCAATCACAGACATTTATTAAATCACAGTATACATGTACATGTACATGCTGATACAGCGTTCTGATCCTAATCTTTTAAAAAGAGGGCAACTTTTCAGTAAATTTGAAATGTGGCGTATGTTGTTTATGCCGTTCCTTGTAACTTAACCAATCTTTCCAGCCTTAGTGATTTTTCAACCGTATTTTTTTCATGGCTATGAAGTTCATGGGCTAAATGATTTTAAGCACATTCCACAGAAACCAGAGACTTTTTTTGGGGGGGGGGGGCTTTATAGCAAGAAACAAAATGTTCAGCAAGTTCTCCGTTTTTAAATATAGGTTTTCCCAGCAGATTTCCTGAAAAAAGTTCATTCACTTTTGAAAATCGGTCATTCCTTCTCGTCTGAATTTGAATGCACGTCTTTAATCCCATTTCAATCCCGGGACATACCGTTATTTCGTTTTACCGTTTTGGATTTCCTCAAAAGCAAAAACAGTAAACGAGCCATTGACTGTTTTGTCGTTTTACAGTTTTGTAAAACGGTCAAACGGTATTAAGTCACAAAAAACAATTAGCTTTTTATTGTTTTTGTAAATTGTAAAAAGTAATAAACGGTTAGTTGCTTTATTTTTAGAGGTTGTTTTACAAAAACATGACAATGTCAAAACGGTCAATAGTCTTGTCGACCATTTTTTAAATTCAGGTTTAAGTTGGCAATTATAGCAATGCGGCACCTTGGAATATTAATGTGTCCTTGGGATCAAGTCACTGCCTGTCAAATTGCCCTCCTTTATGTTGTTCTAGTTCTCACGACAGAATTTGAGAATATATTGGCTATTAAAGGGCCGCGCTGGCCACTCCAATTTCCTTCAACATATCTGCAACTTCTTCGTACGTCTTACCACCCTGTAACTATTCTGAAATTTCCTCCATGAAATTTTCCAGCGCCATTTTTGTTTGCAACTCTTCAAGCCCCACCAACTGAATCGCAGAAGATGGGGGTCAAGGTCACGCCAGGAATCACACCACGCATTAACCCTAAAGGGGCCGGGGGGGGGGGGCGGAATCCCCCTCAACATTTTCCGTGATAGCCTATAAAAAAAAAATTTCGCGACCCGAGCTGTTATGACTTTTTAGCCTCGAGCTTTGCGCATCTTTTGATACCAATTATGCCAAGGTAACAGCTGTTCGTGCACGGCATGGTCCCCTCCACCCCCCTCCCCCTTGCCCACTGCCACAAAATGCACCACGGACTGTTAACTATGACACTGAAATAAAAAAAAACCAGTCTGTATTCAATACTGACCGTTTTGCTGTTTTTAACTTATTTGTGTAAAACTGTAAAACAAACATCATCGATCGTTATGCTGTAATGAAATTTACTAAACTGATAAAACGGAATAACCGTATTTATCTTAATACCGTTTGCCGTTTTACAAAACTGTAAAACGACAAAACGGTCATCGGTTCGTTTAGTGTTTTTGTTTTTGAGGAAATCCAAAACGGTAAAACGAAATAACGGTATGTCCCGGGATTCATTTCAATTCAACGGAAGTTCACTCGTTTTCATTGTCCGTGCATTCGGTTTTGAGAAACAGACGGCCAACTACGTTACCTGTGCATTAATTTACGCAAGCATACCTTTTCTAAATTGATTTCGGGTACAGCTAATTTGATTGACGGTTAATGAAAACAACCTAATTGTACCTGGTGCCGATGGCGCTAAACTAAAAGTGAAATAGAATGGCAAATGTTTGAAATCGTCCTCTAAAAGCGCCAAGTCAAGTTGTAAAGAAGCCTTGTAACGTTGTCCATATGAATGGACATAAACGAAAGGTGCTGCTCAGTCACTTAATTGATTGAACTGAAATGGAATCGAATGCTCTGGTAGCGAAAATGAAACGCGTGTTCAGAGCGCGCGATGCTCAAATTCAGACGAAAACGAATGACCGATTTTCAGAAGTGAACGAACATTTTGGGAAATTGGCCGGGAAAAGCTATTATAAATTTACTCGCAAATGAAGGGTGGGTCATCTGAGAGTGCCTTCTACTTTTGAAGTAGGTAGCTGTGTAACTCATCATCGCTATGTTTTTTCCCCTCTGGATTTTGATAAATAGCAAATGTAGGTCTACATTTTGAGGTGGGACCTTGTCTTTCTAAATTATCAAGAATTGTTAACATTTTGTGAAAATATAGCATGTGACTTTGTATATTTAAAATGTAATCATTACTCCACTGTGTATCACGGTCCACTTCCAACTCATATTGCCTCCTCCCACATCTGAAAAATACAAATACATGTAATTATAACAACATTTAACATAAAAAACCCGTTGTGTACAGTGCAGTCCACTCACATACTTCATATTAAAAATGCAGTCGACTCTCGTTAGTACAAACTCTGTTAATACAAAATTCTGGTTATAACAAACATAAAGCGTTGGTCCCGACTGTGCATTTATGTGCACAATGAATGGGACTGATGTTCCTCTTAATACAAAATTCTGATATAACAAACAATTTGGCAAGGTCCGAACAAGATTGTATTAACGAGACTCGACTGTAGTCGGAAAAAACTCATGGAAACAAAATAAACCACAAGGCAAGCTGCGAGTGTGTTGTGTGGTATTAAGATCGAGAAATCATTGTGGCGCAGTTAAAATATTAAAAATGAAATATCTGTGAGTGGTGTTTTGTTTAATTTTATTTCATTTTAACTGTTGTGGCGTGATCAGGACATCTCATACAGTTCCCCCCCCCCCCAACTGGAATAACATTTGGGTGTTGGTCGTGACTCCATCTTAATAGGTCTAGAAAATGTTTTTTTTATGCAAGACCAAAATAAGGAGGGCAGTTTAAGAGATTCTTACATCATTTTAAGGGTCCATCGTTGATAGCTTTTGAATCGTGAATGAAACAGATTTGGGCTGCGAATACATCTGTTCTAATTGCAATGAAAAACAAACAAATATTGAACCAGAAAAAAAAAATATTTGGTAAAAGTTGATTAATTTAATAAATAATGTATTGAATTCATTAACAACATTAATCGTTTTCTGTCTGTTTTATTTCGCTTTTCTCGGATGTTTGTTGAAAACTCTACCCAGACTGCCTCAGGATAAACTTGTACATGATATGCCTGCATATTGTTCCTTGTAACATTCTGGTACGAAACATTAAGAATTCCATTAAAAAGGCCCACTGACTAGATAAAGCACCACTAGTCTGGCAGGCTTGTGAAGAAAAAATACAATTTAAGAGTGAACCTTACAGACCTCAGAACTTTAAAAAAACAATCCTGACATCAGTTCAAGTCTGATTTGGCCACACAATGGAGCTTAAAGCTCAGCGCGCAAGACCGTGTGCAGGGTTCGACCTAAACGGTAGCCTACTAGCCAAATGCTTATTAAATCAGCGGATGGCTAGTCAAACTATTACCCTGACCCTGCTGAATCCAACAGGATCCAACTATATCATAAACCCGTTGGAACATGTTATATTGAGCAGTAAACCCCTTGTACAAATGTACACGTGCATATTCAGAGTCGGATTCTGTTGGGTTAAATAACGCCAAGTTGGACTCTGTTGGATCATAGAGCTCGGGCCCAAGGAGTTCGAACTCGAAGACTTCAAAAGTAAAACGATGGTCGCCGCGCTCGAAGCAACAATAGAAAGCACCTGCACGGTGGCCAGCTTGCTCAGTCGCTCACTACACTAATCTCTACACATTAAATACCGCGCTCACTAATGCTAGAAGAGTTTGCTTTGCTTTGTAGACAGTACCATGGTAGATACGCATGCGAAGTTGTCATACATCGCCAAAAATGAATGAGTTTGAAGTGTTTGTTCGCAGTTGAATGATACTGTATATCAATGTGGTTAACATCGCTGAAACAATCATTTCATGACAAACAAAATGCTCTATATACTTTTAGTATGAAAACTTGTGAAATTTCCCCAAAAATCACATTTCATAAATCACATATTGCCAATTAAAATGTCCGAAAAGACATAACTTATCTGATAAAATCCAATTTATCTTCAAATTACAGGGACAGATAGCGCTTTCAAGGACCAACAACTTCACATCGATAACTTGAATTAATAACTCACATCTAACAACTGCGCAGTTGTTAAAACCTATTTTGTGTTCAAATATATTTTTCAAAAAAGAGCAGCGACGTGACATGACTTATTATGCAGCATACAGGGAGGTTGTTGGTTACCAACTAAAAAGGCGGCGACGATCATCGTGTTCAAAGGCCGCTTGCATGCACGCAATGAATGGCCCAGGCTTGTGGTCACAGTGCTGTAGCTATGGACATTCCCGAGGGATTGGAATGTTAATGGTCAAAATGTAAATCGCCCAAGAGTTCCGACTCCTTGGGTCCTAGCTCTATGGTTGGATCCAGCAGAACACTAAAACTTTGGCACAGTTGGATTCTGTTGGATTGAGCAGGAAGTAACAATTGGACCCTGTTGGATTTAGCAGGGTAGTCCTGAGGAACCCTTAGGGGGGCTAGGGTTTTACGTAGCCTGGCTTGCGAGTCAAAAATTATTGGGATATGGCAAAGATGAAAGGACAGGAAGAAAAAAACAAGCAAATCTGTATCAATTTGTGTGTCTATTTCATTAACTGTTTAAGGTTAAATTATTTAATCTGTTTATTAAGAACAGTGACAAGATTGCCTCAGGATCACTTTTTCTTTTCATGTAAACACATTGTTTATGAGACACTATCAAAGAAAAACATGTATGTGGACTAGTCAAAATGCCGGCGGGCTAGTTAAGAGTCTGTTTCAGTATCCCGGCTGGCTAGTGAAAAAAAGTTAAGGTCGAACCCTGGCCGTGTGGGCTTGAAAAAGGAAAGTCTCAGGGTCCCAGCTGTATAGTGCTTGCAAGAAAGTTTGTGATCCTTAAGTTTTTTGTGTTGCCGTTTCTTTTCGAACGCGACCAATGACTTGTTCGATGTCACAGATGGCGTCTAACATGCCCTCAGTGTGATAATTCTGCACAGCAAAGTCTTGCAACTTGTCCAGGTATTGCATGGCTTCTGCAATAGAGACAGCCGAGCGGGGGGTTGGGGATTCATTTTCATCTTCAACATTGTTAACTTCTGCTATGCTGGAGGATAACGCATCTAGGATGGCTTCGTCGGCGAGCCCCATGGTGCATCGCACATCTGCGTCAACTGCGGCGTAAGATTTGAGTGTTATTTCCTGCGGAATATCCATCCCGGCTTCTCTCAGTTGATCAAAGAGGTCCTTGTCTTGAGTGGCGGAGTTGATGTCAGCATCAGGCTCAGCTGTTTCAGTGTTCCGGGCAGTGGCTTTCTTTTTACGAAAGTCAGCACGTTTAAAGCAGTGGGCGATGGTGGTTTCTTCGACCATTTTCCAGGCTTTCTTGAGGAGAATCATAGCATCCAACACGGTGGGGTTGTACTCCTCCTTCCTGTCCACTGCTACAAGGAGTGATGTGATGAGTAGGCGGCGGTAGTGTGTTTTCAGGTTTTGAATGACACCATGTTTCATGGGCTGGAGTTTGGCTGTCGTGATAGTGGGACGGAAGACCAGATTGATGCTCTTGAAATCAGTGTTGCGGGGATGTGCAGGACACTTGTCAACGATTATAGCGATCTTTCGCTTTTTCTTTTGGTACAGTTTGTCGACGTTACGAGCCCATGCTTCAAATATGTCAGGCGTCATCCATGCTGTTTTGTTTGCCTCATACTGCATTGGTAGTGAATTTACGTTTGTAAAACATTGTGGCTTCTTTGACTTGCCAATGACAAGCAGGGGCAGTTTCTCGCTTCCGTCCATGTTGGTGCACACCATGGCAGTCAGGCGTTGTTCGCCTCTCTTACCAACATTGTAGGCCTTCCCCTTGAATGTGAGCGAGCGGTCAGGAAGAAGGCTGTAAAAAATGCCGGTCTCATCGGCACTAAAAATATCCCGTGGTTTGTAGGCTGCCAGGACTTGATGCAGGCAGGTTTCCCACCAATTTTCCGTTACTTCTGATAGTTCGGCAGTACCTGCTCTAGCAACCACACGGAAGGTGATGTTGTGTCGCGTTTTAAAATGATCCAACCACCCATCGCTGCATTTGAAGTTAGGATGGCCCAACTTCTTGGCAAGGGATATTGCCTTTTCTTGAAACATCTGCCCTGACACTACAACATTCATGGCATGTGCACCCTTGCACCAAGTCAGGACAGCTTCTTCCACCTGAAAGCACCTGAACTGCTTCATCACCTTTCCTTTTGCCTTAATGACTGTATACAATGTGGATGTGGGAATTCCCCATTCCTTAGCGATGTCGATCTTGTTTTTCGAGCCGCAGTTCTCAACTTCTTTGATAAGTTTGACCTTCTCAGCAATTGGCAAGGTCTTCACCTCTCTGGTTGTTGTCTGACTCATGCGCTTTCTGTCTGGAGCGACAGACTGGCTTTGGAACTGCTCCATTACCATTCTCTCATTCGCCATGATTGCAAACAGTGAGGATGTGGAAATTCCCCATTCCTTAGCGAGGTTGGTCTTGCTTTTCAAGTCGCGGTTTTCAACTTCTGTGATGAGTTGAACCTTCTCAGCAATTGACAACGCCTTGATTTGTGTGGCTGTTTTCTCCACTGTCGCTGATTTGGCACTTGTAGTCTTACCACTGAAAAATATCAAAGTGAAAGGACAGCTTGTTTAAAGTTTCAAGCATAGGTTCAGCACTTGTAGCATCCTCAAATATTGCTGCGCCAACACATGTCCACTGCACTAAGCAAGTTAGCGGGCCTGATAGGACAGTGGTAGCAAAATCAGGCTAACTCAGAAGCCAGGTGCGTGGCACCCTCAAAGGTTTCCAATGCCATCACATGGCCCCGCAAAGAGCCAGAAATTGGCTGCGATTGACCTGTGAGTGTGCAGGCTACCATTGGGCCAGCAGCAGCAATCAGGCAAGCATGAAAGCCAGGATTTGTTGTGATTCAGGCAGGTTATGGTAAATAGTCCAATTACAAAGGTAGTGTGCGCACTGTGTCCCCAAGTAAAAAGACAAAGTACGTTCGACAGAAGCGACTCCTGAAAAAAAAGTATCGGACTTATTGTTTTTGGTAACTTCTTTGTGACTGTTATGGCTGCGGTTTCTTTTAGACTAGCCTGAGGCACCGATGGGGCCTTTTGAGTTGGGGGGGGGGGGGGGGGGGGAAGGGGGCATTATTCATGTACATAATATCATATTCTCTTGATGGGAATGAAGTATGACTTCGAGATAAACAGACTTTCAAGCTACCTGCCTTTTGAGTTATCCGGAGTTTACTGTATTAATTCACACTTTGCTTGACGTCCTTTGACAGATTCAGTACAAAGAATGTGCCGTTGGGTTTCAGCACAGTGATAGACTGGGAGGATTTGGGAGAGTTCCCAGCCAACAAAGCCTGAGGAGCTAGGTGAGGGTTAGTTTCACATTGCTGTAATCATGCCCATCACAAGTCTGGTAAAAGTAAATCGCAACTCCTTTCACAAGTCCAGTCACAAGTAACAGAGGATGAAAGGCAACAGAGGAATCATTTTGTCACAGTTCATTTGAACAGCTTGAGACTTAACGTGAGATTGGAGGACTTGTGATGGACTTGTGATGGACTTGTGAGGAAGATTTGAAGGACTTGTGAGGGACTTGTGATGGACTTGTGATGGACTTGTGATGGACTTGTGATGGACTTGTGAGGGACTTGTGAGGGACATTTGAGGGACTTGTGATGGACTTGTGATGGACTTGTGAGGGACTTGTGAGTAGCTTGTGAGTGGCTTGTGAGGGACTTGTGATGGACTTGTGATGGACTTGTGATGGACTTGTGATAGACTTGTGAGGAAGATTTGAAGGACTTGTGAGGGACTTGTGATGGACTTGTGATGGACTTGTGATGGACTTGTGAGGGACTTGTGAGTGGCTTGTGAGTGGCTTGTGAGTGGCTTGTGAGGGACTTGTGATGGACTTGTGATGGACTTGTGAGGGACTTGTGAGTGGCTTGTGAGTGGCTTGTGAGGGACATTTGAGGGACTTGTGATGGACTTGTAAGGGACTTGTGGTTTCATACAAGAATGGATTTCAAACCAAAACGAGACTCACTGGGGCAAGTCCTCCTCAGCTGCTGGGAAGCAGACTCGCTTGGGTTGTGGCTCATCCATGGTGGGCTCCTGCTGGGATTGCTGGCGCTTCTCTGGTTCTTTCTGAAGGATGGGGCAAAAGTGTGAAATCGAGACAAATTAAATACAGCGTCTTCCCAGTCACCAATGTCATATCATTGTGTAAATCCTACGCATGACACAAGTTTTGCTTTGTTTTAGGAAATTCAACTGTTTTTGATCTTCTCACTTTTAATGTACAAAAGGCATGGCCTCCTCATGCAAAGTTGAAATCTGTTTTAAAAAAACCTAGTCTATCCCAACCACCCAAAAATATGACTCATCAGGCCACTCTTTATGTCTGGTTTGTTTGCATGAAATGACGAAAAATATTTATACATCCCTTCGATGAGACGCAAGCCCATGGCAGGTTACTTCCCTGCAAAGTGCTGGCATCCATTTATGCTCCTGGGTTGGGAAAGGCAAGTGGGGGGGGGGGAATGACCCAATACATAGCCAAAAGCTAGATTTGAACCCCTGACCCCACTAAGTCCACTCCCTAACCACTAGGCCACACTTCCCTTCCAACTCAAGTGAACAGACCAAACATCAGCTTGGAACGGACTGTGAATCGAATGCCGTTTTCCATGCCTCAGTGACTAACCTCATGTCTTGTTGTGTAGCCAAAGTGATCCACTAAGCTGACATCAACATTTGGAGGAGGAATCTATCAGTTAATACCAATTAAAAAGGTTAAAAAAGAAACTCCATCAATATATCAATCAATCACAATTTCTTTTTTACATACCCCTTTGTGCACACATACAAAGTCCCTGAAGTCTGTGGAGGCGGACCGTGTGTTGATCTTGAACTGGCCGTTGTGCACGGCCTATTGTCGTACTATTTACGCTCCAGTGCACACCCAGAGTATTGAAACATGTGAGGTTTCAGCAAGACATATCGTACAAATACTGTTGAAATGACTCTTGCGAACCACTATTTGTGGCGTTTGGCTGTACTGTGTATCAGAAGTTGGCGGGAAAATTTTGCCAACACAACCCACCGCAAATTGGTTAACATTCAAGTTTTGTAGTTGTGACAATATAAGATGCCAATTTGTTTCTCCTTTAATACATTTCGGTCTACGATTTTATACTATTTCATTAAAAAATGTGCAGTAGACATATCAAAGATTCGAACTATTAATAAATCTGAAACTCAGAAAAAGTTCATCTCAATTCAGGTGTTTGTATTTGTATCATTTTGCCAGAAGTCACACTTTCTAGAACACTTTCAGACTTTTCTTGGGAAAAAGGATTTTGAGGCATTATTTTACTGGACAATATGAAAGGTTGTCCATAATAAAGAGACAACGAGTCTTGCAAACAAGTTTGCAGTGAAGCATGGCAGACAGCCCAACAGCTTGTAAAGGGTTTTAAAGGGGCATAGCATGCTGGGGAGAACATCTGAAAGATTTTAAAATCTGAAATGGGTGGCTGATCAGTGGGCTGAAATTTAACAGGTTAGGTTTTGAACATTCTTCTTGGGATTTTGAGTGGTGCAAAATGCATGGAAAGTAAATGATCCTATCCGCTCCGTTCACAAGTACCCCCTCACCGGCAAAGAAAGAACAGTTTGGGTTGACGGACCAACGCCATCTTGCCTGACTGCAATTTTGCTGCGACGCGCGGCCGTACCACTGCGTGTACATACTACAAATCCACTGGTGTACGTGCGTCACACACAAAGTACAAGGAACAGTGCGTGTCAACCAGCTAAATGTCCCATCCATGGGACGTCATTGCTAGGTAAAAGGGTGCCCTCTTTCATTGGCGCATGGAGCCCATATGCCTTTAAATGCACAATTAGCACAAATATGGGTCACGGCAGGGGACCAATAACATTGCACTTGCAGGGATTACTTACCCTGGCCAATCTGATGCAATGTTTCAACAGACACTTCTTTCTCAGTTTGCGCTGGCCACCGTATTTCTTCATATCCTGACGAAAATGAAGGAAAGTACATCTTGAGAAGGTGGTCCTTTCTATCATGATCTCTTTAATGCACAACAATTTTCACAAAATTGGAAAAATATCATATCTGATGCGACACTACATGTTTGGATTTACAAACAAGTTTAATATCACTTTGTACTTCTAAACATTTGAACACTTTTATCCTATAAATGATGACAAATTCCATTATCATGGAAGTCAACTCATGTTTCAACAGCATTATTATGCTTAACACTAAGATTCACCCACGTTGTCTTTTTTAGCGGTCGATTTACATTTTGTGTTCTTATTCTTGTAGAAGCCGTTCATTTTCAGTTCAAGAAAAGATTGGCTCCTGGAATGTATTTGTTTCTGTGAACCAATAGTATTTTTACATTTTTGTCCATTGAGTTATGACCTCAATTTACCCCTGGATGACCTTTGACATTACAACCTCAAAGCAACACATCAGCAGCCCTAAACCTTAATTTTCAGCAAAATTGTCAAAAAAGGTCACATTTTGTGCATTTTTAAACAACCTCAAATGACCTCTTCATGACATTTGACCTCCAATTTCTAAAGAATTGTCATGAATTCATGGATTACTCCATCTAAGTTATATTAAAATCCAGGAAATTCTGTAGGCAAAGAAACATTTAATTAAAGCATATTTGACCCCTGCATGACCTTTGACCTCAGTAATATGATGAAGAATTGTGTCTTACCGCCCAAGGGTCACTGTATCCAAGGTTCATCAAATCCATGAAACACGTAGACACTATATATTTTTTCAAAAAGTGAACCTAGACTTAACCATACGTACAGGGATACAGAATTTAAGACGGGTAAGTGTTCCCCAAAACTTCGTTTAGGCGACACAAAAACTAGCTGCACTTACCAGACAGAAATGACATTTTCCACAGTCGCTCACAAGCTGGCATGGTCCACACTGACCGCATTGCTTTGATTTTGTCTGATGAAAGAAAATGAGATGATATTATTATTAATACTTATAATAGGATCAAAAGAGTTAAGTCGAACAAATACTAATGACAAGAATATTCATATATTTATTAATTATTTTACATTTTATTTTACCAGGACATCCCAAGTCAGTTGCAGATTGGCCACATTTATGGGGCTAACTTATAAATTATGGAGCTAGTATTATAAAAGTTAAATCAGACTCCAGTCTCTCTCAGTTAGACTTACACAATCGTGTAAGTGGCGTCAGGTTGCAACATTTTTTCCGAATAAAACGAATCGAGATTTTATCGGTGAAACAGGTATACATACCGAAGAGCTGGTTCTTTCACTCTCAGACATGATTACGAGTTAACAAAACTCACTGATTGAAAACGAGTTTGACACACAGGCAAAATGTTCCGTAGGACCATAGAGGAATCCTCCCATAGAGCAAGGAACCTTGCTCTTAAATAGGACCGTCTTTTCACCAGGCTGATCTTGGCACGAAAATTGGGCCGGATTTTCGGCTGGCCGGATTTTCGGCTAGGCGCTATTTTTACGGTGGCGCACCGCCGTGAGGATTGCCACTACGGTGGCCCTAAACAGTCATTGCAAGTGCACCTTAGGAGAAAACGAATTATAAAGGAAGTTCAACTTCTTATCAAGGTTGATTACCTGAAACTGTTGTTTATTCGACTCTCAAGTAAATCGTAATGAAGACTGTGGCAATTGATTTTCAGAATTGGGAATGTTATGTTATAAGTTTTAACGTTACTGAATTAAGGTTCTGCCTAATAGCCGATGAGAGGGCGCTATATCCGCCAGACTACTCCTTGAGTAGCGGTGCGTGGCGGGCAGGACCGGGTCCCAGGCATGAGAACAGTGGCATAGCCATGGGGGGGGGGGGGGGGGGGGCCTGGAACGTTTCAGGGGGGGGGGGGTGGCCTGGAACATTTCAGGGGGGGGGGGGCTGGAACATTTCATGGGGGCGTCATGTAGATCAATGTAATGAAATGTAGATCAATGAAAATCTCAGGGGGGGGGGGTCGACAAGGTTTCACGGAGGGGCTGTCGCCCCCACGCCCCCCGTTGTTTTTTTGCCAAAATATCCTTTGGGGCCGCCTGATTTCACATCTTTCTTTCCTTTTTTAGCAAAATGTTCCTTTTTTTAATAAAAATTAATACTCATACGGCCCGGCCGCGATTTTCTTTTCCCAGACTACATGGTTGTTAAGCGCCCTCTACGATGCCAGAAATGTCCCGTTCCGATTGCACACACGGGTTCAGGGACATCCCAAGTATATTCTATTCGCGCCCCGAATAAATCGGTATTGAAACAGAGTCAGCCCAATTAAATAAATCCCACGATTGATAAATACGAAACAAAACAGCCATTTTCCAAAGAAAATACGGATATCCCATTTTGAAATGATTTTGTACCATCCTAAATGTCCGAAATGTCCCGTTCAAATTGCACACACGGGTTAAGGAACATCCCAAGTGTATTCTATTCGCGCCCCGAACAAATCGGTATTGAAACAGTGTGAGCCCATTTAAATTAATCCCACGATAGATAATTACGATACAAAACAGCCGCTTTCCAAAGAAAATACGGATATCCCATTTTGAAATGATTTTGTACCATCCTAAATGTCCGAAATGTCCCGTTCAAATTGCACACACGGGTTAAGGGACAACCCAAGTGTATTCTATTCGCGCTCCGAATAAATCGGTATTGAAATAGTGTCAGCCCAATTAAATTAATCCCACGATTGATGATTACCATACAAAACAACGGTTTTCCCAACAAAATACGGACATCCCATTTGAAATGATTTTGTACCATCCTAAATGTCCGAAATGTCCCGTTCCAATTGCATACACGGGTTAAAGGACATCCCAAGTGTATTCTATTCGCGCCCGGAATAAATCGGTATTGAAATAGTGTCAGCCCAATTAAATTAATCCCACGATTGCTACTTACGATACAAAACATCCGTTTTCCAAAGAAAATACGGATATCACATTTTGAAATGATTTTGTACCATTCTTAATGTCCGAAATGTCCCGTTCCAATTGCACACACGGGTTAAGGGACATCCCAAGTGTATTCTATTCACGCCCCGAACAAATCGGTAATGAAATAGTGTCAGCCCAATTAAATAAATCCCACGATTGATAAATACGAAACAAAACAGCCATTTTCCAAAGAAAATACGGATATCCCATTTTGAAATGATTTTGTACCATCCTAAATGTCCGAAATGTCCCGTTCCAATTGCATACACGGGTTAAGGGACATCCCAAGTGTATTCTATTCGCGCCCCGAATAAATCGGTATTGAAATAGTGTCAGCCCAATTAAATTAATCCCACGATTGATAATTACGATACAAAACAGCCGTTTTCCAAAGAAAACACGGATATCCCATTTTGAAATGATTTTGTACCATCCTAAATGTCCGAAATGTCCCGTTCCAATTGCACACACGGGTTGAGGGACATCCCAAGTGTATTCTATTCGCGCCCCGAATAAATCGGTATTGAAATAGTGTCAGCCCCATTAAATTAATCCGACGATTGATAAATACGAAACAAAACAGCCATTTTCCAAAGAAAATACGGATATCCCATTTTGAAATGATTTTGTACTATCCTAAATGTCCGAAATGACCCGTTCCAATTGCACACACGGGTTAAGGGACATCCCAAGTGTATTCTATTCGCGCCCCGAATAAATCGGTATTGAAATAGTGTCAGCCCAATTAAATTAATCCGACGATTGATGATTACCATGCAAAACAACGGTTTTCCCGACAAAATACGGACATCCCATTTGAAATGATTTTGTACCATCCTAAATGTCCGAAATGTCCCGTTCCAATTGCATACACGGGTTAAAGGACATCCAAAGTTTATTCTATTTGCGCCCCGAATAAATCAGTATTGAAACAGAGTCAGCCCATTTAAATTAATCCGACGATTGATAATTACGAAACAAAACAGCCGTTTTCCAAAGAAAATACGGATATCCCATTTTGAAATGATTTTGTACCATTCTAAATGTCCGAAATGTCCCGTTCCAATCGCACACACGGGTTAAGGGACAACCCAAGTGTATTCTATTCGCGCCCCGAATAAATCGGTATTGAAATAGTGTCAGCCCAATTAAATTAATCCGACGATTGATGATTACCATGCAAAACAACGGTTTTCCCAACAAAATACGGACATCCCATTTTGAAATGTTTTTGTACCATCCTCAATGCTCGAAACGTCCCGTTCCAATTGCATACACGGATTAAGGGACATCCAAAGTGTATTCTATTTGCGCCCCGAATAAATCGGTATTGAAATAGTGTCAGCCCAATTAAATTAATCCCACGATTGATAATTACGATACAAAACAGCCGTTTTCCAAAGAAAATACGGATATCCCATTTTGAAATGATTTTGTACTATCCTAAATGTCCGAAATGACCCGTTCCAATTGCTCACACGGGTTAAGGGACATCCCAAGTGTATTCTATTCGCGCCCCGAATAAATCGGTATTGAAATAGTGTCAGCCGAATTAAATTAATCCCACGATTGATGATTACCATGCAAAACAACGGTTTTCCCGACAAAATACGGACATCCCATTTGAAATGATTTTGTACCATCCTAAATGTCCGAAATGTCCCGTTCCAATTGCATACACGGGTTAAGGGACATCCCAAGTGTATTCTATTCGCGCCCGGAATAAATCGGTATTGAAATAGTGTCAGCCCAATTAAATTAATCCCGCGATTGATACTTACGATACAAAACATCCGTTTTCCAAAGAAAATACGGATATCACATTTTGAAATGATTTTGTACCATCCTAAATGTCCGAAATGTCCCGTTCCAATTGCACACACGGGTTAAGGGACATCCCAAGTGTATTCTATTCGCGCCCCGAATAAATCGGTATTGAAATAGTGTCAGCCCAATAAAATTAATCCCACGATTGATGATTACCATGCAAAACAACGGTTTTCCCAACAAAATACGGACATCCCATTTGAAATGATTTTGTACCATCCTAAATGTCCGAAATGTCCCGTTCCAATTGCATACACGGGTTAAGGGACATCCCAAGTGTATTCTATTCGCGCCCGGAATAAATCGGTATTGAAATAGTGTCAGCCCAATAAAATTAATCCCACGATTGATGATTACCATGCAAAACAACGGTTTTCCCAACAAAATACGGACATCCCATTTGAAATGATTTTGTACCATCCTAAATGTCCGAAATGTCCCGTTCCAATTGCATACACGGGTTAAGGGACATCCCAAGTGTATTCTATTCGCGCCCGGAATAAATCGGTATTGAAATAGTGTCAGCCCAATTAAATTAATCCCACGATTGATAATTACGATACAAAACAGCCGTTTTCGAAAGAAAACACGGATTTCCCATTTTGAAATGATTTTGTACCTTCCTAAATGCTCGAAATGTCCCGTTCCACACGGGTTAAAGGACATCCAAAGTGTATTCTATTTGCGCCCCGAATAAATCGGTATTGAAATAGTGTCAGCCCCATTAAATTAATCCGACGATTGATAATTACGATACAAAAGACCGGTTTTTTAAACAAAATACGGATATCCCATTTTGAAATGATTTTGTACCATCCTAAATGTCCGAAATGTCCCGTTCCAATTGCATACACGGGTTAAAGGACATCCAAAGTTTATTCTATTTGCGCCCCGAATAAATCAGTATTGAAACAGAGTCAGCCCATTTAAATTAATCCGACGATTGATAATTACGAAACAAAACAGCTGTTTTCCAAAGAAAATACGGATATCCCATTTTGAAATGATTTTGTACCATTCTAAATGTCCGAAATGTCCCGTTCCAATTGCACACACGGGTTAAGGGACAACCCAAGTGTATTCTATTCGCGTCCCGAATAAATCGGTATTGAAATAGTGTCAGCCCAATTAAATTAATCCCACGATTGATGATTACCATGCAAAACAACGGTTTTCCCAACAAAATACGGACATCCCATTTTGAAATGATTTTGTACCATCCTCAATGCTCGAAACGTCCCGTTCCAATTGCATACACGGATTAAGGAACATCCAAAGTGTATATCGCGCCCCGAATAAATCGGTATTGAAATAGTGTCAGCCCAATTAAATTAATCCCACGATTGATAATTACGATACAAAACAGCCGTTTTCCAAAGAAAATACGGATATCCCATTTTGAAATGATTTTCTACTATCCTAAATGTCCGAAATGACCCGTTCCAATTGCATACACGGGTTAAGGGACATCCCAAGTGTATTCTATTCGCGCCCCGAATAAATCGGTATTGAAATAGTGTCAGCCCAATTAAATTAATCCCACGATTGATAATTACGATACAAAACAGCCGTTTTCCAAAGAAAACACGGATATCCCATTTTGAAATGATTTTGTACCATCATAAATGTCCG